TCATGAACTTCTTCACAAATAAAATTTTTATCATTAGAGAAAAAATTACCAATAATCATCCCACAGATGTAATATTATCTACAGCTACTCTTAGTACCATTGATGTTAAGTTAGACTCTTTTTCTCCAATTGATCTTTCTGAGTTAACTTCACTAATTACTTCCTCCAAACCATCAACGTGTCTTTTAGACCCCATTCCTACAAAACTGCTCAAAGAAGTCCTGCCATTAATTAATTCTTCGATCTTAAATATGATCAACCTATCTCTAATAATCGACTATGTACCACAGGCCTTCAAGCTGGCTGTAGTTAAACCTTTACTCAAAAAGCCATCTCTAGACCCAGCAGTCTTAGCTAATTATAGGCCAATCTCCAACCTTCCTTTCATATCAAAAATCCTTGAAAGAGTAGTTGTCAAACAGCTAACAGATCATCTGCAGAGGAATGGCTTATTTGAAGAGTTTCAGTCAGGTTTCAGAGCTCATCACAGCACAGAAACAGCTTTAGTGAAGGTTACAAATGATCTTCTTATGGCCTCTGACAGTGGACTCATCTCTGTGCTTGTCCTGCTAGACCTCAGTGCAGCGTTCGATACTGTCGACCATAATATCCTATTAGAGCGATTAGAACATGGTGTAGGTATTACAGGTACTGCACTGCAGTGGTTTGTATCATATCTATCTAATAGACTCCAATTTGTGCATGTAAATGGAGAGTCCTCTTCACACACTGAGGTTAATTATGGAGTTCCACAGGGTTCAGTGCTAGGACCAATTCTGTTTACATTATACATGCTTCCCTTAGGCAGTATCATTAGAAGACATAGCATACATTTTCACTGCTATGCTGATGACACCCAGCTCTATCTGTCCATGAAGCCAGATAACACACACCAATTAGTTAAACTGCAGGAATGTCTTAAAGACATAAAGACCTGGATGGCCGCTAACTTTCTGCTTCTTAATTCAGATAAAACTGAGGTTATTGTACTCGGCCCTGAAAATCTTAGAAATATGGTATCTAACCAGATTCTTACTCTGGATGGCATTACCTTGGCCTCCAGTAACGCTGTGAGGAACCTTGGAGTCATTTTTAACCTCTGTCTCTCTTCCACAGCATGTCTTTATCCTGTCTTCCTTCTCTCACCCCAACCGGTCGCAGCAGATGGCCGCCCCTCCCCGAGCCTGGTTCTGCCGGAGGTTTCTTCCTGTTAAAAGGGAGTTTTTCCTTCCCACTGTCGCCAAAGTGCTTGCTCATAGGGGGTCATATGATTGTACAACATAATATCACGTTATTACAATATACATAATTATCACGTTCGTACAATAAAATTATCACGTTCGTACAATATAAATATTATTTTGTACAAACATGAAATGTATCTTGTTAGAACAATAAACTTTTCACGTTATAACGTGATATACTTCTATTTTTCTTTTGCCTGGGTTGCAACTCTACGCTTCCGTAAATATTACTTTCTACACCAGGATCCTTTTCTACGTAGCTGACGGCTGGTAACTGTGCAGGGGCAGATCTAGCAAAGTTTAGCCAGAGGGGCCGATAGGGCATGAACAGGGAAAAGGGGGCACAAAGACATACTTTTCTTTCTTATTCTCATTTAAAATGTCTAGCTTTTAATAAATAATTATCCGAATCTTACACCCAAAGTTTTAATCTGATGTAAAATGTATAGAAGTCCATTACTGTATATACACTGAACAAAAATATAAATGCAACACTTTTGTTTTTGCTCCCATTCCCCATGGGATGGACGTAGAGACCTAAAATTCATTCCAGATACACAATATAACCATCCCTCCCAAACAGTGGTCACAAATCAGTCCAAATGTGTGGTAGTGGGCACATCTGCCATATTGAGATAATCCATCCCACCTCACAGGTGTGCCACATCAGGATGCTGATCTGACATCATGAGTAGTGCACAGGTGTACCTCAGACTGCCCACAACAAAAGGCCACCCTGGAATGTGCAGTTTTGTCTCACAGCAAAATGCCACAGATGCCACAAGCAATGAGGGAGCGTGCAATTGGCATGCTGACAGCAGGAATGTCAACCAGATCTGTCGCCCGTGCATTGAATGTTCATTTCTCAACCATAAGCCGTCTCCACAGGCGTTTCAGAGAATATGGCAGCACATCCAACCGGCCTCACAACCGCAGACCTCGTGTAACCACACCAGCCCAGGACCTCCACATCCAGCAGGTTCACCTCCAAGATCGTCTGAGACCAGCCACCCAGACAGCTGCTGGAACAATTGGTTTGCACAACCAAACAATTTCTGCACAAACTGTCAGAAACCGTCTCAGGGACGCTCAACTGCATGCCCGTCGTCCTCATCGGGGTCTTGACCTGACTCCAGCTCGTCGCCGTAACAGACTTGTGTGGGCAAATGCTCACATTCGATGGCGTCTGGCACGTTGGAGAGGTGTGCGCTTCACGGATGAATCATGGTTCACATTGTTCAGGGCAGATGGCAGCTGAGAATGTCCCAGTTCTTGCATGGCCAGCATACTCACCGGACATGTCACCCATTGAGCATGTTCGGGATGTGCTTGACCGGCGTATACGACAGCGTGTACCAGTTCCCACGAATATCCAACAACCTCGCACAGCCATTGAAGTGGAGTGGACCAACATTCCACAGGCCACAATTGACAATCTGATAGACTCCATGCGACGATGTGTTGCACTGCATGAGGCAAATGGTGGTCACACCAGATACTGACCGGTTCTGGGTCCCCAGACCCCCAATAGCGCAAAAAACTGCACATTCCAGGGTGGCCTTTTGTTGTGGGCAGTCTGAGGTACACCTGTGCACTACTCATGATGTCAGATCAGCATCCTGATGTGGCACACCTGTGAGGTGGGATGGATTATCTCAATATAGCAGATGTGCCCACTACCACACATTTGGACTGATTTGTGACCACTGTTTGGGAGGGATGGTTATATTGTGTATCTGGAATGAATTTTAGGTCTCTACGTCCATCCCATGGGGAATGGGAGCAGTAACAAAGGTGTTGCGTTTATATTTTTGTTGAGTGTAGTAACTATTAAGTCTAATATACCCTAGTAAGCTATAGTACTGTGGCGAGCTCATAAAAGGAGGAGACAGAATTCCGTTCGGTCTTGCTCCCCCGCCCTCTTAGCCAGGGAGCACAGCCATTTATTTACATCTGCCAGGAGAACACTGCCACTAGCTAACTGCTCAGCGCGGCAACAGCACAGCACAGCACAGCAACAACAACAACAACACGCAGGGCGCCCTCTGACCCCGGAAGGACACACCGTCGCAGCGAGAGGGCGTCACCCGTCACTATGGTAACATAAACAAAACATAACTGTAAAAACAGAACCCCGAACAGCCCTGACCCGCTACAGTACTTTTTCCTTTGGGAAGGTACCATCTTTAGATTAGATTAGATTAGATTAGATAGAACTTTATTAATCCCTCGGGTGGGTTCCTCTGGGAAATTCGATTTCCAAAAAAGCACAGCACCGACAGAAGTTACAGAGTTACAGAATATTATATATACAGTATATAAATATATAATACACACACACACACACACACACACACACACACATATATATATATATAAATACAGAGACAATATAAATAAAATATACGAAGGGGATAAATAGAATAAATAGGAATAAAAATAAAATTACAAGTGAATTGCACATTTCAAGTATTGAGTCTAATACTTGAAAGTCCATCTGTGCAGTCTGCAATTTTGTTGAAGAAAGATGTTGAATCTATTTAATTATTCTTGAAAAATAATTCATTTCTGTGCATTTTTTTTCACCCTGCATCAAATTAAAGTTGATTACGTCGATTAAGCATCATGAGGTGGGGGGTGGTTCCCTTTTTTTAAATTTTTTTTTTGCTGGGAGTTTGCAACGCTATTAGTTAGGTTGCTTACTCTTTAAAATACCAGAATAGGGAGGATGGTTTAAGTTTATTAGATTGATCAGTTTTGCTGAACTATGAAATATTTTGGGTGCAGTGTATTTTTTGCATACTGGTATAACAGAATAGCTTTAGTGTGTTTTTTTAAAACTTGAGTTTGAACTTATACAAAATGCAGCAAGATATTAAAAAACAGTTTTAATGATTAAAAAACACACTATATCGGATTCATATCGGTATCGACCGATATCCAAATTTATAATATCGGTATCGGACATAAAAAAGTGGTATCGTGCCATCTCTAGTCAGTACAAAGATTTTAAAATGAATTCTAAAATGTTTCATGACTTTACTTTGAAATTACTGTGACACACACGCGCACACACACAAACAAAAGAATGTGCTAACAGAACACAGAAGATGGCTAGGCCTCCCTAAGCCTGTTTCTATTTCTTCCTGTTAAAAAGGAGTTTTTCCTTCCTGGTGTTGCCAGTGCTTGCTCATAGGGGGTTGTCTTTCTAATATTGCAACTTTTGCGGTAATGCTATGTAAATAAAACTGAATGTAATTGAACAGAATATCTTGATACTGTACATATTTTCTGTTTGTACCTATGCAAGCTACAGAGGCACATAGTTCAGAGTATTTTTGGTCACATGTACTGAGGTGAGTTTGACTTACGTTTAAGGCTGTAGTTTTTCTGGAAATTAAATAATTCACCCAGCCTTTTTTTCTACATAGACTGCAATCAACTTTCTTGCAAGTTTTCCTTGTGTTTTTTCCTTAACTATAATCACAGCCAAAACCAAAATAATTTTGAATAGCACTAATAAACTAAATGGATTAAAATATTTTCTCAGGTGGAATGCTTAAATTAGTTTTTTGGGATTTCGGTTATGAACCTCTCACATGCCATGGTAAAATGGCAATGATAGTCTGCTTACAGTATATATAAATATACATAATGGCATGCTAATTTAAAATGAACATTGAAAGAATATGTTTATAGTTAGGTTGGGTTTATAGTTTTTTAATATTAATTTATAATAGATAATTAACACTTCACCTAAACTAACTCAGTCAGTGCCTTGTGTCTCAGATATTTCTCCAAGCAGTAGATAGCAATGGGATCTCTGTCTGTATCAAACTTATTGGCAAAAAGGTGATGCTGTTCAATCAACCACTGCAGGTCTCCAGCACCATACACACATATTGATCTGACATGATGGCCTTTACATTCTGGGTATGCTGCTTGCAAGGAACGCTCTGACCCCTCGTGCCACTGCCACTTCACGATCCGTGCAATTGCATTAATGTCAGTAATATCGAATTTACTGTTGGGCCACGATGAGCCAGGAACACCAGGCATTCGTTGTATTGTTGCCCACAGAAACTCATCAGGACTGTAGGTGTCTTTGGCCCACTCAATGAGGGCCTGTATTCGCTCGTCTTCCAACACACTGCGAATGTAACCTCGGTTGACCACAATGTAGGCATTTCCTGATAGTATGGGCAGATTAAAGGGAGCTGGATCCTTTGTTTTTCCTGTTGGCTGGGACAATTGAAAAGTTAATATGGTAAATGGCCTGTATTTATATAGCGCTTTACTAGTCCCTAAGGACCCCAAAGCGCTTTACATATCCAGTCATCCACCCATTCACGCACACATTCACACACAATATGATGGTAAGTCAATCTGAATTGAAGGTTTTTACAAATGCAAAGACTATAGAGATTGACAGACTACGTGACTTTCGCGCATTGCATGCCGGTAACTCGTGGCAAAACAATCCAAGTACCTGCATCAAATGCAAGCATTTGCAGCACCGCAAAACGTTCATTCTTCGGTTCCAATAAATTCTTGCTTTTTCTTTGCCCCCCAAAAAGGTATGTACAAAACGAAGGAGAACAATGCCGGTCCGTACAAAGACAGACTTAATGAAAAGTCAAAGAAAAGATACGAGGAAAAAAATCAAACCAGTGAAAGTGTCAGACCCTTATGAGCACACAGAGGGACAAAATACGTTAGCGTGCTGCCCAACTTTCACCACGCTCATATTTATAATTATCTTTGAGTGAGTGCATATTCTATTGATAATAGCAGAGGTGGGACCAAGTCATTGTTTTGCAAGTCTCAAGTAAGTCTCAAGTCTTTATCCTCAAGTCTCAAGTCAAGTCTCAAGTAATGTCAGGCAAGTCAGAGTCGAGTCTCAAGTCACTGGTGTAAAAGTCCAAGTAAAGTCACAAGTCTGAAATTTTGAATTTCAAGTCCTTTCGAGTCTTTAAAAAAAAACGAAAAAAGCATGTTGCAGTTATATGCTAAATGTAAATATTAGACCATGTAATTTTTAAATCTGTGTTTTTCTCAACACATGACAAAATAGTGAACTTAGAAAATATACACAAATTGTGAAATTGCACCTCTATAAAATGCAGCTCAATTAAACCTAGCTCCAAGAATAGTTTTCACCAACAGTTCTGAGATAAGCTGCATGTTGTTCTTGGATGCGCTTGTAGGACCGGCTTTTAAATCGCATGACAAAAATATCATACACATTAAAAAAAACTGCATCACCAACGTAGCCTGGAAAACATTTGCTAGTTAGATGAAGTCAGCTATCTCATCGTAGCATATTTATATGCATATTTATAATTATACGCTTCTTGGAGTGAGTGCATACACTCGTGAAGTTTAGTAACTTCAGGTCACTGCAACAAGCCCAGGTACAGTTTACCGACGGATGGGTACAGGACCTTGAAATGCACCGTGTAGAAAGTAAAGACCATCGTACGTATCATAAGTTTACCAGTCTCACAAATCATCGTCATAAATACACATTCGTTAACCGTTTATTAATAGGACCTTTGAGCTCAATGGTAATTAATTAGTAGTGGAAATAATTTCTGGTAGCATCACAGAAATGTAGCAGTGACAATAATATTGTATGCTGTAATCGCACTGGGCAATTAGTGATACAAAACAACTGTTTTACCCTGTGAATAAAAGTATATGTTTTTGTCAATGTACCATAATAACAGAAGCGAAACACAATATTGTGTCAGGACAATTCACTATTTATGCACAATAAACAAAGGAGCATAGCGCGACAATTTCTGTTCAGCGCCAGACTTGCTTGTAACCTATATCACCAATTATGTTATGAAAATGACGCATTAACTACAACAGCAGACTGACCTTTGTGGAAATGCTTGGAGCAGACTAACCTGTGAGCTGGAGTGTTCTGGGACGTTATATTTGATCTTTGAATGGCTGCAATCCAGTCGCCTCTTTGTTACTTCGGAAACACGGCTTGAACAATTTCTCTTCAACGACGTAATCCGATAACAACCGATCTCTTTACCCGTCGGCTTCCCGTGGCTGTCATGCGACCGGCTATTGCAGTTAATAATACAACGGCTTCTTGACATTTTTGTGTTTCTTTTTATCGCTGTGTAACTGATTTCAATTGAAAGCCTGCGTGCGCTAGTACCGCTTGCCACGAGTTCCCAGAATCCTTTGCGGTTCTACTCGTGAATGACGTCACATTTTCAATCTCTATATAATATGCATGTCAAGTCACAAGTCTTAGAACATTTTTTCAAGTCAAGTCTAAAGTCATAAAATTAATGACTCGAGTCTGACTCGAGTCCAAGTCATGTGACTCGAGTCCACACCTCTGGATAATAGCTACATCATACATTACAAGAAATATCCAAAGAAGTACCTGGATTTGTCCATCAACTACTTGGTAAACATTCATCACCCTCTTCTTTCCTTGAGGCATTTCTTCAGACTCCAAACTGTTACCTCCTTTCAGTGAACGCAAAGCTTGCACAATTTCCAAGTTAGTTTTTAGAGGGAAATCCTGACCACAGAGGTTGATGAAGTATTTCCATGTTGTACTGGTGTTATAGAGATCAGCCATGCAGTTAAGATCAGCCTGTACACGTGTCCATCCAGCGTAGACCACATCCACAGTCTTGCTGACCATGAACACATTTGGGAAACAGGAAGTAATGGCATTCATGGCAGCAAAGACTGAGGCCGGTGCTTTTTTGTCCACATGGACACAATAAATATTTTGAGGTGCGTAGATAGCTCGCAGTAGATGCTCAAAGTTCTGCAACTAAAGATAAAAAGGATTTAATTCACTTTGTAAAATGTTTTTGCTGATACTCTTCAAAAGTAGTACTTTAGATAATAACATTATCAAATTAAATGACATATTTAGAACACCCCAATTTTTCCATTTTTTTATTGTAAATTGTGATCACAAAGGTGTGATACCACAGTATGCTCAACCACTGCTTTTATGCAAACAGAGTGGGGGCAGTTCACCACTGACCTTTTTTCAAGTTATTCATTGGACTTGAATGACTTAAATTTCAATAAATAATTGGAAAAATTGGGGTGCATATGTGTGTGTGTGTATACATATACATACCTATATATATATTTAGATATATATATAGATATATCTAGCCCCGGGACGTCGGGCTAGCGATATTGCGAGCCCTGTATCTGATTGAGGAATCACTCATCTTTGGAAAAGAGAGTTTATTACAGAGAAATGTCTCTTTCCAAAATAAAAGCTATACTATCCGCTTCTTCTGGGCTATATTCTCAGCAGCATATTAAACATATAAGGAGAATCATGTGCTAACAGCTGTCTAAATGACTCGGCTAAAGTTAGTAGCATGCTTGCTTGTTTTTTTTCTGCTTCCACTTGTCTTTGCACTAGGATGATGTCGGCGTAAATGTGCAGTCATATTCGTTGTGTTCCCACTAGTGCTTTCAGGTTAATCTCATTGAAATGACCTTAACGCCACAACACGGCAAATCTCCGTTAACGAGCTACCGCCGATCGCCCCGTGCATGGGGCTAGACGGCCAACACGTTAACGAGCTAACTGCGCTAACACACTAGTTCCCACCCATGTAATTGAGCATTGCATGGCACATCCAACATACTGTTTTACTTTAGTGCATGACTCGCTTACCTTCAGGGTCATACGTCACATGAAAACCAAAATAATTCCAAACGCCAGATCTGAATGAGGGTGGGGGAGGTCCATGTTGCAAGGAGAGCTTAACTTCTGTCTCGCTAGCTTGCCCTGCGCTCTTCCTTCTGACGATGCTGTCTGTCTATATATATATATATTAGGGGTGCAACGATATTCGTATCGATATTGAACCGTTCGATACAGTGCTTTCGGTTCGGTACGCATATGTATCGAACAATACAACATTTGTAATTTATTTTATCAACTTTCCTTCTGACGATGCTGTCTGTGTGGAGCGCTCAGTGAATCTGCGTTCGATTACTCCGCTTAGGCTGCACTGTCGAGCGCAGATCCACTGAGCGCTCCACACAGACACCATAGTCAGAAGGAAGAGCACAGGGCAAGCTAGCGTGACAGAAGTTAAGCTCTCCTTGCAACATGGCAAATTGAACCTCCCCCACCCTCATTCAGATCTGGCGTTTGGAATTATTTTGGTTTTCATGTGACGTATGACCCTGAAGGTAAGCGAGTCATGGACTAAAGTAAAACAGTATGTTGGATGTGCCACGCAATGCTCAATTACATGGGTGGGAGCTAGCGTGTTAGCGCAGTTAGCTCGTTAACGTGTTGGCTGTCTAGCTCCATGCACAGGGCTATCAGGGGTAGCTCGTTAACGGAGATTTGCCGTGTTGTGGCGTTAAGGTCATTTTAACGAGGTTAACCTGAAAGCACTAGTGGGAACACAACGAATATGACTGCACATTTAGGCCGACATCATCCTAGTGCAAAGACAAAAACAACAAGCATGCATGCTACAAACTTTAGCCGAGTCATTTAGACAGCCGTTAGCACAGGATTCTCCTTATGGGGACCTGATATGTTTAATATGCTGCTGAGAATATAGCCCAGAAGAAGCGGATAGTATAGCTTTTATTTTGGAAAGAGACATTTCTCTGTAATAAACTCTCTTTTCCAAAGATGAGTGATTCCTCAATCAGATACAGGGCTCGCAAAATCGCTAGCCCGACGTCCTGGGGCTAGAGATTTTTCCAGTCGGGCTACCAAAATCTATCTCTGCCCTGCCCGTCGGCCTATCGTAAGAAGGAAAAATATATGTCAATGCTTTTGCATTCTTTCGGAAATGTAGCTGCGTAATTATGTCATTGGCATCGGTGAGCCACTGTCAATATGTGACATATTGAAATTGCGTTTGAATTTGCGCTTGTTTTTTGCTTTCACTTTGCAATTGCGTGAACTGTGTATAGAGAGCGACAGCACTGATTGGTGAGTGATGATAATTTGTGCACCAATTCCTCTGACATTGTCTTATTAATCGTTAGCTTACTATGCAAACATGACAAGTGAAATCTCCCGCAGCAAGCTTAAACATGTGAGAGGTTGATCGCGCAGAGAATCGCTGAGCTTATGTGAGTGCGTGTGTAAAAGCAGCAGGATTTATATTTCAGTTCTGCTGAGCCAAATAAGACAGGTCAGGGTGAAGAAGTGACAGCCAAAGAAAAGCTTACCGCAAAACGGAAAAGTTATGACAAATCAGACTATAAGGCAAAAAGAAAGTGCAGCTTTATGGTTCCATGGACAAAAGAATTTCTGTGGCTGCGATATGATGAGCTAAATAACCAGGGCTGCACATAAGTTGTCCGCAGGTGCGCATTCGCTGTCAAAATAAAAAACACGCACAAGGGTTAGGGTTAAATTTTAAAACTGTACTTTTGAGTTAAAATATATATTTATAATTTTAATAAATGACAAATTAAAAAGGCATGAACATTTTTTTTTGTATCGAAAAAATATCGAACCGTGACACCAAAGTATCGACCCGAACCGAACCGTGAATTTTGTGTATCGTTGCACCCCTAATATATATATCTATGTATATATATATATATATATATATATATATATATATATATATATATAATATGTTGTCCTTTCATCTCAGAGAGTGCTGTCATAAAGCTCCTTGCTTGTGTTAGCGTGATCATTTATACACCTTTAGAAATCACCTGTCGAAACACTTCATCTTTTGGTGGATATATTAAAGCACTGGATGATCCAAAATGAGCATTTACATGATCTCTTCTGTTTAGACAGCCACAGTCTGCAAGCAGTTAGCTGCAGCCAACTTCCCAAAAAGAGAGTAATCTATCTTAGCTTTACACAAAGTTTTATATGAGAATGTGCATCTATCTGATTAGTTGAATAATGACGCAGGTAAAGAGCCATGCTTTTGACTTTGCACTCCCTGATTTGTTCTCCTCATGACCAGTGTTGGTCAAGTTACTTGAAAAAAATAATCAATAAATAATTACTGATTACTTCCCCCAAAAAAGTAAACCCATTACTTTATTGATTACTTATTTTCAAAAGTAATTAATTACTTAGTTACTTTTTAAAAACACGATTTACAACCTGAATAGTTGATAAAGCAATTGATCTTTCAGCCCAATTCTACTTTTTCTGCATAATCCATCATACAAAATGTAATCAAATGGAAACGTCTCTTTTTAAAACTTGTTTTATTAGTTTTAATCTTTTAACTTTATGCATCAAGCAAAAATATAATTATATGCAACATTCAAAACGTTAGAGCACTTATGCAAATATGTGATGTCTTGATAAATCGAGCAGATATTAGAAGTTTACACAACACCATTCTCGCATGAAAATATCTTAAAAGTTTATTTTGTGACCCAGAAAGAGTAATATTTCAAACTCCGCCACTCTGTGTTCCTCCACCACTGCCTCATTTGAGTTTTGGACGAAATGGAGTCTGGGATATTGCATTTCGTCATTTCGAGCTGATTGGAGACCAGAATAGCCAATCAGATTTTTTTGCATCCAAGTCTGTGATTGGCTGGTTTTGTGGCACAAATATAACTATGTAGAGAAAGAGGTGAGTGCGCACGGGCAGAAATGTTGAGAGCGCGAGCAACACATTGCGAGCGAGAGGGGCTGCTATTGTGTGTGTGTGTATCAATGTTTTATACAGTCATTGGTGTGTATGGATAATAGCAAACACTGAAATACATTTTTTGCACGCAGGAATGAATTTTGTTCACTCAAATTCAGCTTTTCTTCGCTCAAAATAAATTTCTCCTCAAAATGCAACACTTGCACCTGCAAACTTTTTTTACGTGCGCTCAATTTTTTTTTACGTGTGCTCAGAATAGTGGCACAAAAATAACGCCATATATTTTCACCTGTAAAGTAGGAGTGTGGTAGGCGGAGGTTTGCCCTGGTGCAGGTGTGTCGCAGCGGTCAGTTGAAGAATCCGCGAGTTTCTCTGTGAATTTCCCATTACGTCATTGCGCACTCTGTGCTTGCTTGGATGTTTAGGGATTTTTTTCGCTGTAAAAAGAAGTTTTCTTCCCACGCACAACGGACACTAATGTTTTTGTCACTTTTTACGGAATCAAACTCAAAATAAGCTCAGTTTTTCCCACGCTTTAAACACTGCACGCTCATTCTCTCTCCCGCACTCGATATATTATCCACTGAACATAGAGATTTTTGCAATAGTAATCCCTTACTTTACTCGTTACTTGAAAAAAGTAATCGGATTACATTAACGCGTTACTGCCAATCTCTGCTCATGACCCTTCCAGATGGGAATGGTCAATGACCTCCAGTCAGGGAGCTTGTCCTGTGTGAGAAAACTCCTCCCTACTATAGCTGTTAATGGAGATGGTAATAGGGATGTGATCACCTGTGATAAACCTCAAACACTGAAATCAGATCCCTTTGACACCTTAATGCCATCATGAAATAAACAAAGAAAAGAAAAAACAACAAAAAACAAAACCAGGAATTATGTTCATACTCACACAAAGTTTGTCACAAAGTTTAACTGGTCATTTGGCCACAAACCCACAAATTCAATTCAAGTTCCCGTTTGGTCTAATAGCCACAGGACCTGGGTATCTAACTGAAGAAAAAATTCTCCACCGCAATGGGAGAGACTGATCAAAATCATACATGGTAGACCTTTTTCTCCCCTTCACTGTACATGTCTAAAAACCTTAGTAGGTTACCACAGAAGTTTCCAGTCTGTCATCATCTCATTAATGGCAGAATTACACAGTCTTCCCATTTGCCAGAATCCATTTTAGGATTTCATTGATTACTTTGGAATTATTTCATGGCATGGCTCCGCTCTAAAAACTGTTGGGGGCAGGCGGGGTGTCCTTTTAACGTTTTATCACAAAAATAAATAAATTTCCTATTAGACCACCACCATCATCTCGCCATTTCAAAGGCGTAAAGATGTTTTAAATGTTTTATATCCATCCATCCATTCGCTTATCCTTTTCAGGGTCGCGGGGGGTGATGGAGCCTATCCCAGCTGTCATAGGGCGAGAGGCGGGGTACACCCTGGACAGGTCACCAGTCTGTCGCAGGGGCCAACACACAGAGACAGACAACCACTTTCACTCACACATAGTGGCAATTTGGATTATCCAATTAACCTATCCCCCGCATGTCTTTGGACGGTGGGAGGAAGCCGGAGTACCCGGAGGGAACCCACGCAAACTCCACACAGAAAGACCCCGGCCTGATGGTGGAATTGAACTCAGGACCTTCTTGCTGTGCGGCAACAGTGCTAACCACCGTGCCACCGTGCTGCCCTCTGTGCTGGACTCTCTTTTATATCATCTTCCTAAAATTTTACTCTTTCCTTATTTGTCGTTTTTTGCATTTGTTTTGCTTAAAGACACACACAGGTCTGTATTGGTTATAGGATCTATCCATTGCATGCATTTTGGAATTTAAATGTATTTCATATTGAAATATTTAATCAGATTTTTCAAAATTAATTACCCAACAGCATACTGCTAGATTTTAAATTTCAGATTACAAAACTGTTAGGTCTACACAGGCCCTGTTTGGTAAGGGAATGGCCTCGAGCTGCCCTCTTGTGGTCTGTTTCATTCAGCAAAGGACAGTGACAAAACTCAGACCTTAAAGACAATTGGTTTAAAATATAAAAGAACTAACCTAACCCTTTTTATTTTTAGTTCAGTTAAATAAAATGTTTTTCCACACCTATTTCGGGTTTTACTTTAGTTATATATATAGTAACTATAATGACCTTGGAGAGAAGGTAGCAGACTTTTTATCCAGACTATCAGAAGATGCCTGAGGAGTGGAGAAAATGCTTGCTGGTACAGATTTTTCAAGAACTCAGATAATCTGCAGTGCTGTAATAACTACAGAGGAATAAAGTTCATAAGCCATACCATCAAGCTGTGGGAAAGAGTTCCTGAAGCTAGGCTAAGACGAGAGGTGATGATCAGTGAGCGACAGTATGGCTTCATGCAGAGAGCTCTACAGATGTGATGTTTGCTTTTAGAGTGTTGATGGAGAAGTGCAGAGAAGGTTAGAAGAAACTGGAACTGTGTCATTGTCGATCGACAGAAAGCATATGGTAGGGTGCCAAGTGAAGAATTGTGATACTGCAGGAGGAAGTCAGGAGTGACAGAGACGTACGTGAGGGTGGAGCAGGACATATGGCAACACTTTCAACACTTTGAGCTGATCTTTCCCAATGAAACATTAAAAAAAATATGCCTGTAAATAAAGAAATATGTCACTTGTATAATATTCACAAATCAGGTGGGAGGGTTTTTTTTTGGATAAGTGTTAATACCTGGGGTCAACCTCCTGTGGGATAAAAAGGGGATGTTTTTCTGTTATTTTAGTATCGGCATTATTAGTTCATCAGAATCATATAATCAGCTTTGCATTAAACATTTATTGAAGCTTTTGACCTTACATTAACCTTTACATTACAGTGATTGTTATAACCTTAGGTTAATCTTCTATTTACAGGTACCAGAATAATCATATGATCTTTCATTGCAGGTGTAACCATGATCATCTCACACATATTGCAGTTTGTTGCTCATTATAGAGTTGTGCTCAAGTTAATAAGGGTTAAAAGCTACAGTCAGCGCGAATGTCTGGCTGATCTATGGAGGGGAAAGGCTTCAAGCATAGAAGGCCCCACGCGCTTACACAACACTGATATAATGTTATTCTTTGTGATTCTGTATTCAGTTATATCTTTTGTTATGATTTAAGTAGTGGCAGTTGATTAAACAATATTCATTTAATATTACATACTTGATTCAGAGCATTACACACTGATCACCTTAATCAATCTGGAAATCCTTGTAGCTGCAATGTTGTGTCTCCGCAGGGGGACAGTTGGCTCCAGGAGACAGGTGGGAGTCAGTGCCTGTCCTCGTGAAGGAGAGAATGTTCTTTTCTGTTCTAAATAAACTGTCAACATTGATTGTATTGTACCTGTCTTACGCATGAAGGGGCGTTCTAATACCCTGATTTCATAAAACTATGGAAATGTGGTTTTTGAGGCGAGATCTGAGGCTGTCTGCGTACGGTGTCCATCTCCCACTCGTGTGACCATTAAAATCATTGTTTGAGTCAACCCGGCCGGACCAGTGTTGTTCTTTGGGTTTTTCCTCTTGTGTCCATCCCCAATATATGAATCTGTAACATAATACTAACGGGAGTATAAAAAATGGACATGGAAAACCATAGTACAGCTTTTATGTATAAACATGTGGTTGCTCATTACCTGCCATCCCAAACCAGCAAACTCAAATTCATGTAGTTTTGACTAGTGGCATTAGTATAAAAGAAAAGACTGCCAAGTCAACCCTCCTGATTAAAAACTAATCGAGCTGTCCGTACATCTCCTCAACTCCTTTGCCAGAGTATCTGTAATCGCTATATTTCCTACAGCACTTGAAGGCAGCACATGGCTACTCGTCCGTCTTTGGTCACGCGGTCAGTGACATCAGACGAAGCGTTGGTGACGCAGATATGTGATGGTGCAACACACGTAATATAACCGGCTACCTGTGAGGATCTGTACTTCGTTTTCTCAGTCATACGGAGAGTGGATCTGTCTGAAGCGGAGACTTCTGTCTGTCAGATCTGGTGTAAGCAGCACTTTTGGAGAAAACCGCTTTAGGAATTATTCGTTTCCAGTAAGGCTAACAGTTATTAGCGCTGATAGCATAGTAAGTGAACTTTCACGGTTCAACCTTAACCTACTCGAGGAGGACAGCATAATAGCTAAAGACTAATGTGAACTTTGAACTCTACAGGGGCAAAATTTGGGCAAAAAGAGTGCGTTAGATAACCGTGTAGTACTGTCTGTTTAGCTAGCCGGACTTCCGTGTGTCGTTCGAGGTCATTCTGTAGCGCTCATTCAAGAGACACAGCTTCTGTCCCAGACTCTAGTCATGAAGAGCCTGCCGTACTTCTGTCGGGGAGAGGTCGTTCGAGGATTTGGAAGGGGAAGCAAAGAACTCGGTATTCCCACAGGTGAGTTGACTATTTTACCATTTGTTTGCAGGGCTTTTAATTAAGCTTAACTAAACACCGATTTACGCAAATAACGTAGTTGGAATTAGTAGTTGGAAACAACCGTAGACAAAGTTAACATTAGTTAACTTTGTCTACGCACATGTATTATTTTATATAATACATGTGCGTTATAGCACGTGTGATCAGTTACTCTGTTAGTCCAACTGTTCTTTGTACTGCCCCTTTACACACGACTGAACTGCTCTGCACCTTTTACGTAAATATCGTTTAGTTTTTTACCACAATGTCACGATGATTCACAGCTTTTAATTACTTCATTTATCCTCACGTGTACTTTTCGAAATAAGCTCAGTTTTTGTTTTACACCACCTATAAGTTTAGGGTTTAAGATCTTTACACTTAACCAGTATCAGTCCAATAGCTTTGAAAACAACTAATAAGTACAACGCATCCACTTAACACACTGTTTGCTGCTACAACTACACATGTTTCTTTTCCAAATATTTATTTATAAGTGACTTATGTATGTATGTATGTATGTATATATATGTATATATTGTACTATTCTTAGTTAGCGTATTGTCTGTCTTGTCTTAATGTTGGTTTAAAATGGAGCACTGTAACAAAAAATAATTTCCCCCAGGGATCAATAAAGTATTCTGATTCTGATTCTGAAGGACTGCATTTTAAACACCTGTTGACCAGGCAGCGTTCAGCATTTTTTTTTTTGCTGTAAGAAATGGCCAAATGAATGAACTGTGGGCTTTACTCTAAGAGATCAGAATGGAGCTCTGGGCAGCGTGCAGTCACGGACAAAACCAAAACACATGAGTTTATATGGCCTTGAGCATTTTGCAAGATTTTTGGCTTAAATCAAACTTGCATAGGATATTGGATGAAGTTTGTTTGTAATAAATGTCTTTCATGTATATTTTTTTTGTCCTCCACAGAAGTTTCTCAAGCAGTTTGTCTCGTTTCACAGTACCAGTTTTGAATACACTGAAGTTAACAGATTAATCAAATGCTTTCTGCAAACATTTCTGGCCTTCATTATCATAAAAAGCAGTTGAACGCTTCAGTTAAATAAAAAGTCTTCTTCTAGTTTGAAGTAATTTTGAGAAAATCACTAACTTCTTCCACAGCATCCTTTTTATTCCCATCATCTGATGTTTCCCTCTGACCTACAGCAAACTTCCAAGACTCCGTGGTGGACAATCTTCCAGCAGATATCAGCACAGGGATCTACTACGGCTGGGCTTGTGTGGGTAATGGCGATGTCTACAAAATGGTGATGAGCATCGGCTGGAACCCTTACTACAAAAATACCAAGAAATCCATGGTAAGCACTTAAATGCCATAGTGTTGTGGCCACAAAAGATGTCTTTGATAGTAAAGGGCTAAGCTAATTATGATCTAGTTATAAGTGTCCATCGATTCTACAGCTTTGGGAGGAAAATTAGATTTCACACAAATGTATTTAAGCTGAATATGTGAACTTCTTTAAAAAGTCATCTGACTAAGCTGTGTGTGTGTGTGTGTGTGTGTGTGTGTGTGTGTGTGTGTGTGTGTGTGTGTGTGTGTGTGTGTGTGTGTGTGTGTGTAATATATATACGCGCGCGCAATGTGCCTGGTTTTAAAGAACACTGGTCTATTCCATCTAGCGACATACTTATTTTTGCTAATGACCATGTCAACAATTTGAGACGTGTTAGTCAGGGTGGATTCTCATAAATCTCCTCAGCAATTCATTTATTTAATTTTTGTCTAGTTTACCAGATGGGAATTTCCCCTGTCTCAATCGTGCCCATTGTATATCAAAAAAGGATACTTTTTTGCATCCTCACAGTGGGAAGAAGTTTAAATAAAAAAACAGAATCTCCTGTAGAAAAGAGAACTGTATTCTCCTTGTTAAAATGGCCATGTGGCTAGCATATGCAGGTAAAACTAAGCAGATTTAAAAATAAGGATTTCTGAAGATAACAGGAGCGTAAGAAATGGACACGAGAGCTCCAGTGTTTAGGCATTTTAATGCAGCTGTCTGTCTTGTGGGTTCCCTTCCCTTTCAATGTGTAGAAATGTTACCTCCTCTCAAAAGTGTAGATTCAGACCGATTATTGTTACAGAGAGACAGATATAGCTTATGTGCACTACAGACTGAAAGCCCTAAAGGCTTGGACTGTTAAAATGCTTTTTGTGGTCAATTATATGGGTTATCCCCTCTATTTTTATACTTAGTGTGAGGTTGTTTCGAGTCTAGAAAGTGCCATGCATTCGTTTCTTTGTGAACTTGCCTTTTTTTCCGCCTGTGTCTGTTTTTAATATTTCTAATAATGTTGTGCATAAAATCATTTTGACAGTTTTAGTTTAAACTGTGTTTTGTTGTTTTTGTTTGTTTTTCATCTGGATTGCAGATGGCTTGTAGACATTCTTATTACTGATTTGTCCTTTTTTTTTTTTTTTCTTCACCAGTATTTACTTTTTCCACCAAAGGTCATTTTCACATTGACACTGTCCACTACTGTTTGTATGTGTTTTACATTGAGTTTTCAGTACTGTGCAAAAGTCTTTTGCCATCATTTGTCACTCAGTATTTTTGCTTTCAAGGACTCTGACTTTCTTATAATCTTCTAAATGTTAAGTTTTCTGCAGGTCTTTCAAACGTTGCCTGCTTTTTCACTCATTGTCAGGCCCCACTTTCAGAGGAATGTTTTTGTTTAAGCCACTTACAACTGACTTATGAGTCATCAAAGCATTAAAAAAAACAACTGAAGAAATTAACCAGTGTGATGTGTAAACGCAACACACAGTTTAGCAAAGACTCTGTTTTAAATTGTATCTTCTGACACTTTGTTAATATTTGTTCCCATTTTGTTGTAAAATCTATAAAATAATTCCAACAAAAACAGATTAACAAACAAAATAGTATTTTTGTATCTTTGTACAAGTGGAGAACAAACAGAATAGCAGATGAACCGTATTTAAAATAGGGGGGAAAAAAATCTACAAACACCTGACGCAGAACCTTGAGTTTGGACCTTTAGTTGATGCATCAACTGTTCACTGAAGCCTCAACAGAAATGGGCTCAGTGGAAGGGTGGCTGGGAAACTGTGAGAGAACCCTGATGTATGCCAAAAAGCCCAACATCTGGACTAAAAACTGATTTCTGTCAGCACTAATTTAAAAACATCAAATTCTTCAAATCATTTTGTCCAGCAAAGCAGTCTGGATATGGCGTGTCCTCCACACGCTGGCATTGATTGGCTTTTTATTTTGCAAGTCACTTCTTTTCCCCAGATGCAGGATAGCCGCGAATGCAACATTGTAACATTTTTCTAATACAAAAAAGCAATTCAGTCAATTATGGCTCTTATCTAACTTTATGCATTTTTGGTTATAGGAGACTCATGTGATACACAAATTCAAAGAAGACTTTTATGGAGAAGTTCTCAGTGTGGTCCTTGTGGGCTACATCCGCCCAGAAAGAAGCTTTAACTCACTCGGTATGCCTTTTAGTTACACTCATCTCAACACAGAAGTGATGTAGTGTGATGCCAGTAATGCCCTTTTAAAGTTTTGCTCAGTATTAAGGAATACATTTCCATCATCCCTTTTTTTGTGCGACTCTCATAACACTTTTCTCACCTTTGCCTCCGTCCTGACAGAAGCCCTCATTGCGGCAATCAACAGTGATATTGAGGAGGCCAAGATGAAGCTGGAGCTGCCAGAGCATCACAAGCTGAAAGATGACAACTTCTTCACCAGCACGGCCAACTCCTCTTCAGTCCTGCCCACCACGCCCAGCCCGTCCACGTCACAGACTATTATGAACGGTCACTAACAGCTGGCTAGGACAGCAGTGCTGTGGATACACTCACACAGACCAGAATTAGACAAAGGTTTATGTAAATGCTCAGCCTCGCTGTCACAATGCATGCACATGGACCTAATCATAAGCAATCCTTTTTTCTTTTCTTTTTTTATTCTGTTTTTCTTTTGTTGTTGGTGTCTCTTTGTAAAGAGCTGTTAAGCTTCCTGCCTGGTTTTGTCACACAGACTGATTATGTCTGCCTCTCAACGGTCCTGCTGTATATTTTGGAATCGTTTACTAGAGAAGGCACTAAAAACAGACCTTGGGATTAAGGTAATTGCAACCACTGCAGAGGCAGTTGTAAAATATTGTGTGTAAAAGGTACGAATAGACTATTAAGTGTCTGATCACTATTTATTTTGGTTGGAAATACATGACTTTTCTTTTTTTCTGCTTCAGCGATGGTTAAAGAGAAGGTCTGGGCATTATTATCTGCAACATAACACACATTGTGCAATCTGAGGCTTTTTGAAAGTCTTCAGTTTTCTTGTTTTCTCCTTACATGTCCCTCTTCAGGAAAGGAGAACGTAAAAGGACACTGCCCTAAAACTTATACACTTGGCCAGAAATTCAGTTTTGTTTTGACGCAGGAAGAAAATGGTTAAGATGGTTATTTATTGAATGATATGTTTACCTAAAATGTTTTAAGCAAAGGCTTTTATTAATCTTTATTTTTATTTTATCTTGATTTAGGTATCACTTAACTGTCTTGTCAGTGACCGGTCCTTTTAATCAGCAGTTAATTATAGATGAACACTAAGGCTGAAAAGGGCTTTAAGCACGTTGGGAATTTGTTACTCCCTTTAGCCTTTTCATTTCAGTGTCGATGGCTTTGTTCCAGATAGAAAAACACTGGCAGGTGGAGATGCTAAAAGATCTTTTTAGTACAAGTGGAAGTGTTTAACACCAATTTATGAGAATTTGAACAGATCAAACTAGCACACTATTCTTAGTATCTGCATCGGTCAGCATTTAATATATTTACATTCAGAAACCGTTGTCAAAGCCCTGGCTGGTGTTAGGTGTGTGCGCGCGAGACTGTACCTGTTTGGCTTTTACAATGAAGTGTTTACTTTCATTCGAAGCTCTGATGATGGAAGCCTGCTGATGTGATTTCAGCTCTTATAAACCGTTAGCTTCATAGCATAAGTGCCTAAGTCATTGACTTAGTCAAATGACTTAGGCAATTATGCTATGAAGCTAACGAAACTCTTGTGTTACATGAGACATATTAAAATGTTATTTAGAGTTAAAAAAAGACATTTGTTGTACACTCAGCTGTTTTTGCTGGTGAGATGCCTTTTAGTTGTTCCATTTCTAATGCGTGCAAAGGACTGAACTAATTAATTGTGCTGCTTTATCAAGCCTATCAAAGATATAGTGATATCGATAGATAATTTTTTTTTTTTTCTCCCCCGTCTAATTACTGCAGGGCGGTCTGGTGTTTTAGTCTCACATGTTGCAGTTATTTAGTCTAGTTTACACAGGGACCACAGATACTTGATGTAGAGTTCATTAAAGCGTATCCACCTTTATTTTCATCCATGTTTCATTAAATCAAATCATTTTAATTCAATTGTATCAAAGTTCTTTTCTTCTCTTTCCTTTTTAAAGCTTTATATACATTCAACGCATTTTCAAAAATGATGAAAACAAGAAACCCACATTAAACAATATGTAGCTGTCTGACCTGTTAATACTTTTTGCCACATTACATCTTTGGCTGATACAACCTGAATTTTGTTACTGAACTCGTATTAGCTTTTACAAATATGCAGATATACATGTTAATTCAGATTAAATCGGTTCTGAAACATATTTTCAAGATTAAAAGGCTTAATAAAGTGGCTGGTGAGTGTGTGCAATCTTGACATCCTCCATTGTCGCCATTCTTTAACCACATGAACCCTGAACTGAATTTTATTTTAATCCAGCTTTATTATGAAACAACCATTCACAGCACATTTAACATAAAGAACAAAAAAAAAAATCCCAACTCTTTTCACTTCACATTCAGTGACTGAACAAGATTTGTTATCTCAGCGAGACCAAACAAGCTGCTACGTTAAAGTCACAATAAAGTCAAACTGTAAGAAAAATATTTTAAGAAAAAGTGTGGGAAGATCACTTGTGAATCTTTCTGCTCTGTTGTGTGGAGGTCTGAACACCTGCACAGACATGGTAGATTTTAATGTAGCCTAAACAAGGAAACAACAACTGTAAATCGTTCTGAAAAGATCCAAAGTGACCCTCACAGGGTCACAAATCACACTAGTCTAAGAATTCCTCTAACCTGATTCACACAGTAAAATGGTGATATTTCAGCACTAATTAAAGACTGCTTAAAATCCCATGTTGCCAAAGCAGAGAAGCATATTACATGTATGTGCTATTAAATATAGTATTGTGTGTGAAATGCAAAGATGTTTAGTTTTAGCTTTTGCTGAAAAAGCTGAATCCTGCAAACATTAACATAATTTAATTATTGTTCTATTTCTATTTTCCAACTAAATTAACACTTGAAATTTAATATAGGTGACTTGTATTAAATAGTACTGACGAGACAACACTAACCTCCCCTAAAGAAATCCAGCTAAATTTGTCTTGAATCACATTTATAGTGACTTAAGAAGCAAGCCTAATTTAGATGACCCATGCAGGTTTGCAGAGTATCTTTATTATAGCAGAGCCAATTTATCAGCTATTATTAGCCATTTGCCGATAGCTCAGTGTCGGCATTTATAATGGTTGATAAATTAAAATTTAAAAAATGAAGAAGAGATGGGAGAAACACCAGTGTTAGTAGTTCAATGCATGGTTTGTACAGGGCACGCTGCAACTCCCCTGCTGGCAAAAGGCATTTTAAATTCAACAACAAGCTGATCCGAGCAGAGTCGGGTAGAGGGCAAAGTAGATTATTTTTAAACTGCGCATGTTATCTTAGATAGGGAAGTCTGTTTTTGTTTCATGTATCTGAAAGGAAAAAAAATATTGGCTGACATCTGATTTTTAAATCACCAAATAAAGGTGTCTGTCTTAAAAATCCTATACTGATCGGTTTCTAAATGTTTATTATATTTTTACATGTATGCAACAGGCCACTTCTCAGCATAAAAAGATAAATAACATTTTGTTTCACCACAACATTATTTCCCACTGTTTATCAAACTTGAAAGAACCAAATAATTTTCACCAAAATATTAAACGACTCTGTGTAGATATGAAAACAGGAAACAATGATGGTTCAAATTTTCAATATGTAGCAAAAAAATGTTGATTATACCCATAATTCCTTTCCCAGGCTTGTCTTTTATTATAATTACACATAGCTTTGCCCCACCAGCTAATTAAATATTTTCTAAAGGAATACAAATTGGTTTTTTTTTTAAAAAGGATTAAATTAACATGACTGATCGGTTTCTACTTTTACAAAAAAAGGCATTGCACAACAAAGTTGCAAAATAAACATCAAACGGAGAACCATCCCTGTCCGCTCTCTTCATCTATATGAGTAGCTCTCATCATCATACTCTAGTTCAATGTCATCTTGATCCAAGAGCCCATACTTGAACTTCTTATACACCGTTCCATCTTGTGTCATGTACACAATATCATCATCTTCCTCTTCTTCGTCATCGTCACCGTCAATAATTCTGTCGTTGTACTCCCCAAATGAAGAGCTGGCAGGTTGTGGTGCAGTGTTTTCCTTGGTGCTCAGTTTCTGGTACCCTCCAGCTCTGGTTTTGGGTGTCGCGGCACGGGATTTAGACCGAGCATTGAAGATGAGAAAGAGCACTCCGCCCACAGAGAGGATGATGAGAACACAAACGAAGGCAAAGACTTTAGCTCCACTGCTCTGAGCTTCCCCCTGCAGCACCACAAAGTTGACATCCAAGATGCACTCGACTAAGAAAAAGGAGAGAGCAGACCATGAGGTTAAAGTGCACAAATCTATTTACCATCCACTGCAGAAATTTCCAGCAAAACAAGAAGATTTTCATCAGTAATTTTACACATTAATCATGTAGAAAACTGAGATGTGCAGTTGAAACTGCACTTCTTTATCTTATATTAACCTCCTAAGACCCGAATGCTTCCATGGCATGCATTTTTAATTTCTCTTTGATATTTGGGTTGATTGGGACCTGATGAATGTAAAAACAAAGAATTGGCAGATTTTTTATTTTTTTTTTACCTGATTTTTGTTTCTGACAAAAATGAGATGCACATATGAGGATATTTGTTTATAATTTTGATAGAACAGTGGCAGTATAATGTCCTCGTAAGTGGATATCAGGCCCTTGTAGAGCAAAAGTTAGTACTGTGGTCTAGACAACCCAAAATGTGATGTCCACATATGTGGACGCCAGGTCCTAGAAGGCTAAGATATCTCAGGGATTAAATGTGCACTTAAATGCCTTTACATTGACAGGGAGCGGAGTTCACTCATCCATGGGCTGTATGAGAATTAAATTATTTAAATAGGGCCAGATGTATTGCAGGATTCACACGCACTTAAACACAATTTTCCATGAACAAGTATGGCGAGAGTATGTGTTCAAAAAGCTAAGGGAGGGATTTTCACTGAAAAGATCACACATGCTGGTCATAGAGGTGTGTTTGCTGGAAGTCAGTGTCTCAGTGTGACTCCTCATTTACATTGTGATGACTTGCAGTTGCAGCACTCCCTGGGGATTTGTTGTTCTTTGTGGCGTATCTCATTTCCACAACAGGTCAAGCAGCGGCCATCATCAGAGAGGAGTTGTCCCGCGTGGCACATGGTGCATTTCCATATGCCGGGACCTCGGCAGCCCAAACAAGACGGGTGGCACGCTCTGCACTTGAGTTTCTCGCTCTCTGACTTTGAGTCCTGAAGAAGAAAACATAGACTGAATCCGCGGGTTCACACATTTGGTCAGCTCTGGCAATTTGCTGCGTATGATAGGTGTAAGATTAATGAGTGATTTGAACATAAACAAAAACACTTGCTAAATAAAAAAAACAAGAGATCTGTCACCTCTGATGCATCGTAGTAGCCTATTGAACACTTGGCGGTACACATGGTAGCCATCAACGTGTAGCCAAAATAACAGGACTTACAGGCTAAAGCGCTGTTGTCTGAGAGGAGAGAGGCGACAGATAAGAGCAGTTACAATAGGCCTTCATCTTTGCTACAGTTTAAGATTAGATTCAATGAGAAAATCCATTTATTCCATGTTCCAGAAAAATTGTTCTCCATTTAATTTAGTATAATTTTTTTTATCTCAGCTACCCCTCAGCCTCCTAATAGAGGCACATATGGTTTAAATTTTAAAATCATAGGTCACATCTTTTTCAAGTTCTTCTTTTCATAAGAGTTTCAGAAAACTTGACCTTTGATGTCATCAAGGTCATCAAGATTCTAACTTAAGATTTTTAGCAGATGTAGAATTTTCACCAATTTGAAAATCTTACGTGTAGTTCTCGACTTATCGAGTTCACAAAGTTCGGTGTCTACACGGCTCAATGGGGCTCAATTTCCCATCAGCCTTGAGGGGTAAAAATAAGCTACAATGCAGATAAGAATAAATAAATAGACATGACAGGCTTCCCTTACCGTTGCAGGTCTTGCAGGTAGGGTGACACTTGTGACAGCTCATGGAATGACTGACTTGGTAGTATCCTGGAGGGCAGCTCTGCAGGCACTGGCCCCACTGCTTCATGTAGACATAGCCCTTTCTGCAGCTCAGACAGTTTCCGCTACCACCACCCTGACACTGGCTACAGGACGGGTCACAGCGCTCACACACCATGGTGGCTGTGTTGCCAAAGTGACTGAGAAAGAGAAAGAGGATATCTGCTTACTTCATGGTATTTTTTTTATTAAAGGATGTGAGACTACTCCTGAGATTTGCGAGCACGGCTTTGTTTTTTTGCCTGACCCCTCTGAGCAGGTTTCGACGCAGGTCTCTCCCTGCTTGAAGAATCCAGGTTTACAGGTGACACACTCCACACTGTGGTGGCCAGTACACGTCTTACAGCTGAAGTGGCAGCGCCCACACAAGCGCTCATCCTGGTCCTTAACGTAGTAACCCTCAGGACACTGCGGCACGCATGTGTTGTCTGATTGACACAGGCACAGAGTCAGCATTTCAAAAGGAAAAGGACAAGCATACATTAAATAATATGAGCTACAGTACATCTTTTTTTTCTTACGTAGTAAGAAGTGTGGGCTGTTACAGCTTAAGCAGTGGTCTTTGCCTGGCCCATTACAACCATGGCAGTGTTTATGGCACTGTTGACACTTCCCATTCTGGTCCTTGTATGAGCTCGGGGAGCATTCACTGTACCACACACAATGTCCAGTGGCATCCTTTTGCCTGCCTTCAGCACAGGTGAGACAGGATGTAGGCTCAGAGCCTGAGCAGGTCAGACATGAACTGGGACAATCTGGGAAAATATGAAGCCATTAGACAGAGCCAACTAGAATCTGAGTATAAATGTCCTGTAACAACTCCACTGATTCATTTTCATTCTCATTGTGTGGTCATGTTAAGTTTCCACCTTCCTACCTTTGCATTCTTTGCTGGTCTCATCATAATACGTTTGGCTGGGACACTCAGAAAGACATTCTCCACTGTAACGTACATTTTTGTCACTTTGACATAGAGTGCAGTCATCTATGTCGGGTCCATCACACAAAGCACAGTCATCATGACAACGCACACACTCCTGCTGGCTCATACTTTCAAAGTAGCCATCAGGACAATCACCCACACACTGATCATCATGGAGAAAGTAGTAAGGTGCACAGTCTGGGAAGAAGAAGGAGATGGCAAAATCATTTTTTTGTGATTTCCAAAGTCTAAGTATTTATAATTAAAAGCAAAGGATTCAGCTCTTTGTTGTTATTTCATTTCCTCACTTCCTGACCCTCTGCAGCTATCGAATTTAGGTTTCAGGCCTGAATTATTAGCAGTCAAGGCAGCAGCGACAGAGCTCTCTGCATTTCCTGTCTATCCCTCTTCTGCACCCCTTCCTCATCTCCCTTATCTGTTCAGCTAGTATCGCCTTTCAAAACAGCTCTTTTCCACATCTTCCATTCCTCTCCACTTCACTGTTCCACCAATCATACTTACTCTTGCACAGGCCATACTGATTGCACTCAGTGCAGTGAGCTGGACAGTGATAGCATTCTGTATCATTGGCATAATAACCCTCAGGACACTGGAGCACGCAGGAGTTGTTGAGCAGCAAGTACGGCCTCTCACAGCTCAGACAGTGAAAGATACTTTCCACACAGGATCCACACCCTGTGCTACATGGCAGGCATTCGAGATCTTTAGGAATCCCTCTGAGAAGCAAGCCAGAGAGATAAGAACAAGATGTTACGGACGTTTTACATTTGTGTGAGTTCAGCAGGGAAAGAAGATGAAATTGAAGAAGCACCTCTGACACTCCACCACACACTTCCTGTTTTCCATATAAAGTCCACTGTGACACTGCTGGCACAAATTGGCAGTCTGGCACATGACACAGCCTTGTGAGCACTCCTCACACTGGCCAGACTCCACGTTGGCAAACATGCCAGACGGACAGTGAGCCACGCAAGTGTGTCGAGCAGTCAAAAAATGGTCTAAAAGAAAAAAAGAAAAACCACATCACTCATTTAAATTTAAATGATATTGTCAGTGATTAACATCTTTCGGCATTTGCTGTATTTGATATTGTTCCATAGGATATATGAAAAACATCATGGTTGATTTATCACCTGTTGATGGTAAAGCATGGGTTCTGATAGAAATCAAGCTAAAGTATTTTCTAGTTTCACAGGCAGGCTAACACAGCATACAGCCTGCTTACCTGGGGGGCAGGTGGTGCAGTTCTCCTTCCCTCCACCAAGGCAAGTCTTACAGGAGGGGTGGCACACCTCACGTTTGTACTGAGCTGTCGAAGAAAAGAAAATGGGAAGTGTTTTTTTTTAAAAAAGGAATGACATACAAGTGACAGAAAAAAATAAAAGGACTTTTAAATATGTAAATGCCCCCAAAAAATGAAGGCTCTGCTACTGAGTACAATAGAAACATGACTTTCAGTTTCTCCAGCTTCATTTAAGTTTGATGTTTTAGTATAAGAACACTACAGAAGTAAACTCAGAATTTAGTACAATTAAACAAATATGGTGCTGTGAAACTCCTAATTTTACACAGAACATGTAAAACAATACGAGTCTATCACCAATCCACAGGATGCTAGATGGATCGTGCTGATGGCAGTTAGAACTGAGGTCAAATGATCATTTACTGTACTTTTTTTGAAGTGTTTCTCAAGGGAAGAGGCACGCTGGCTTCTCTCTAAACACTCTCCGTTCCTCAGCATAAACCCATCCTCGCAGGAGTCACAGTCATTGTACCGTGGCCCTCGGCAGCTACGACAGCTGCGGTGACAAGGCTCGCACTGCCGGCTTTTTTCATTCACAAAGGAACCTTCTTCACAACGATCCACGCACTCGCCATCTAAACACACAAAGAAAATGTGTAATGCATATAATGAAAAATGTCACATGTGCAGATCCGTCTAAGTTTTTGATGCTTTTGGTATTTCATTGTTGGGGTTTTTTGCCTGGTATTTGGTACATAAATAAAACTGAAGTAAAAAAAAAATTTGAATTGGATTTTTTCCTGTGCATTCGTGTGAGTTTTCCTTGTAAATCTTGACTGCTTTATCATGCTGGCTTGTCAGGAGACAAATGTTTAGTGCCTGCTTTCCTTGTCGGTGCATGAAAATCTCAGTCGAACTTAAAAATTAAAAATTATGACTCTGTGCCATTAAGAATTAAGGCAGTTCTGAAAGAAAAAGGAGGATCCAACCACTACTAGCATGCTATATCTAATAAGGTGGCCAGTGAGTGTATATTCTTAAAACACAAACATAAAGCATCATTTCTGGTTTTCAGTTCCTCACTTTGTCTACCAAATGTAGTTACATATTTTTCCATCGGCAGTTTATTATCTGATATTTTTGCTACACACCAAATAAGAAATGTTTCAAGTGTTACCGGAGACATAAAATCCATCTTCACACCAGTAGCACTGGGACTGGTCACAGATTACACATTGCTTATCTTCACACGGAGCGCACGCCATGGCATCTTCCACACTGTAGGTCCGATAAGGACATGACCGATGGCACTCGCCTCCTAATCTGGCAGACAAAAAGAGTCATTATAAGATGAGCACACACTGTGTGACCGTGGAGGAGGAGCTTAATGACTTACTCAACTGAGGAGACTTACTGGTAGTAACCTTCTTCACATTTAAGGCAAACAGTTTCCTGCTCCTGATCTCCCAAATCATCTGTGGCGAAAAGCAGAGATTGAACCACACAAGAAAAAAGGGTAAAAAAAAAAAAACTGCCTTAGTATGCATTTCTGAAATTCTTGTTTAAATCAAAATTTAAATATGATGATTTTTGAACAAGTGAGGTGAGGAACCAGTGAAGCAGGTAGTAACTGTTCGAATGCAGTTTCTTTAGACAGCAGCAGGAGGCACTCTGACAACACATATCAAATGTGTTCAGCTCAGCACAGAAATGAATGGCATGCTCAGATCGATCATAAGCCGAGTGTGATCAATTTTAAAGTAAGAAAGAGACCTAATCCACAAAGCAAATGTAAAAGCCAGCGAGTCTCCGTGCTCACTTTGGTTCCAATCTTTAAGATCAGTGCATTTCTCTCATCCCCAATTATTGCAAGTGTGTGATTTTCTGTTTGTCGAGCTTGCACTGCAGGTGTACTGCTGCTTAAAACACACACACACAAAATGCATAATGTGAGTGACGGGTTATGAATTTTTTTCCCTGTTTTCGTTAGACCAGGAAACATATGGAGGGGATATTAATAAGTAATTCAGGTGAGCGTGTGACTGTTTTTCTACACGCAGCAAAGGAAGAAACTTGTTTTCTTGCAAACTAATTAATTTGTGCTGCCACTCAAAACCATCCAACTGGTAAGTGGGAAAGAGTCACGCTGTCATCCCTTAGTCCAACAATGTCAAAACATCTCGAAGGACAGAGAGAGCATGGGGGTGGGCTTTTAAAACCCTGCATCTGCAGACTTTCCCTTGGGACCTTCATCCTCTCCAGAAAAAGCCTCTGCCGACCCCCTCTACATCCCCTTTCCTCTCCCTGCTTCTCTCCAGCACCCGCAACTTAGCACTGCACTGGTTTGCACTTCAATGCAGTCGACAAGCCACTACCTGTGAAAGCAATTACTCATACAGAGAGAGACTGAGAGAAAGGAAAGGTGGGAGGGACGGAGGTATATAGAAGAGGAGACAGCGAGCGAGGAGCCGGAAATCATGCCTCCAGGCTGTGTCTGTGTGTGAGAGAGGGAGAGAGAGAGAATAGCGCCCGCATAAATATTAACTGTGCACGCCAGGGGAGGGGGGATTTCAACAGAATTTAAAACCTGTACGCACATCCTGAACTATTCACTTGTGGAATGTGGACGCGCTCACACATATTACGCAAGCAACAATCACGCTTTAAAGCAAAAGATTAGGTCAAAGTTATACATGCTCAGGAGGGGAAATGGCTGAACTCGATTTTAACGTCAACAAACACAAATCATCAATTCAGCAAGAGAAACTGAGAAAGTGTGTTTATGAAAAACTCCTTGATATTCCTGATACAAAGAGACAAGCATAGAAATGAGATGCAGTGCATTAAAAGGGCTGAACTCTGGGGGTGAAACCGAGCTTTGGCATGCAAACAGCCTCTGAGCAAGAGGTTTAACTCTTTATTACTCCTTTTTGTAATGGACGGGAAGAGGTCAACGGTAGCTGCGATTCCTGAAAAATTAGTAAACAAATGGAAATCCATTAACTATTTAAGCCATCCTCACTTGTATCAAATGGAGTGTGGCACGAACAGCCATGTAGAGATGTTATGAGGAATGAAAATAAGGATGGGACCCAGACAGACAGAAAGGCCTTTTTTTATTTAATTGTGGAAAAATACTGCAGTACACGCCCTATGTGATAAAATAAGCAAGATGAAGGTCTCGAGTCCCAGGTAAAGGACAAAATACGGCGATTTCATCAGATCACACCCAGGTAAACAAGAAGCACGCATCAGTGCCATTACCCAGAACCAAAAGCTTGACTAATCCAATTGTAAAATATTTTCAAACCTCTCGCCACTGATTACAAATCGTAGTAACCTAAGAGGATTACAGGACATAAAGCTGATGACGAGTCAAAAAAGACGCGTTGAATTTATAAGATGGTGAAGCTAGGACTGAGAAACAGCTGCTGCACCTTATCACACACTGTCAGGCTTGAATTCATTGACTGATCTCATCCGATGTTACAAACCTCGAGCCTACAGTTTCTTAATCTCTCAGGCAAATGAAAACAAAATCCAATGCCAAGCGGTTAGGAATTTGGTTTCTTATAAAACACAATAGTGCATGATTTAATCCCCTCGTATATCTATTCATAATTATGATTTAAGGCTTAATATCATACACCCAAACCTGACAGCCAAAAGTCCTCCACAAGCAGGATTCAGATTAAGCTGCATTCCCCACGCTGACACACAGAGGATGACCTCTGGCACGAGTATGAGCACACACACGTCAGATGTCAGTGACACAAAACGACACGGTTTCGTCTTTACTCTGGCCTGTGGCATCACATCACACAGCCAATCATCTCAAATCTCTAATGTGCTGACTGACTTGTTTGGCTTGCAGAATTGCGATTGCTACGACTGGGTGGGTGGCAAGAGCGAAACTGAAGAAACGTATTCCACCCAGAGTGCATAATGACATAATAACAGTGAGCCTCCACCTCAGACTAGTTCAGCTCCACAATAACAATTTTCCACGGTATGTTGATAATTACCCCTCAGCCCTTTCGTCTTAACGTGACTTGTACCGATAGTGCTCCACAAATCTCATCCACACTAAGTCTATATGGTTTTCCCAGTGAAGGGAAAGTGCTCAGAGATTTAAGAGCGCCTGACTTTTTCATAAATTGACTCAGTTGTTGGGGGCTCCTCTAAGTGAATTGATGTACCTGCAGTAATGGAGAGCCTACAGCAGAGCGTGAGGTGCAACTAAAATCAATGGCAACGTCATTAAATGCAGCGGCGATGCCTCACAACTATCCTTTCAAACACGTTTAGAGAGCATCCCTCTTTAGTAGGTGTCATGTTTGCGCTTTCACAAATGTATCTCACCGATGAGCAGGGTGGCTCATGATTATTAATTCATGATTTTGTGCAGCGCCCGTGACTGCCTCTGCCTCTTATTTTCTAGGGCCTGGTTTTGTTTATGCAGGTCGGTTGATGGAGAAGGTTGGATCAGCCAGACGATGGAAAGAAAAAAATGCTTACTGCGTTTACACTGTGCGCAGCCGTCATCACAAAGAAGACACTTTTCATCCTCTGCATCCGAGGCCTCACCTGATGAACACAAGTGGACACAAATGAATAAGATTATATATAAGGACAAAAAGGCAGAGATGTCACATACAGCACAGCTAACGAACCCGGCAAGGTCCTCATCCTGTCTGTGGAGGTCTGCCTTCCACATAAGATCAGCATCTCGCCTTATTCATAAACTTTATCTCCTCACTTACACACTGCCATCATTCCTCCGTCTCAGATTCACTGTTGTGAAATTTTAAGTACCTAACTCCACCACTCCTCCTTATCTCAAACGCAGTATCTCAAAAAATATAACATCTCACTCAAAAATTTCAGCTCTTGCTCAATACTCGATTTGCTGGCATCCGCATTTGATCTCCCACGATGAGATAAAGTGCAGCGGGTTCGTCCTTCTCAATCTTTTCAACTTTAAGAAAACATTTGGCAAGTGTTTATTGGGCTGAACAGATCGGGAACAGAAAGTAGATGTAAGAACACATCAGCTCTGTGCCGGCCAACAGATGAACGAAGTTAAGACAAGTCTGACTTTATTACTCTACTAGGGGATCAGTTTTTATAGAGCCAAAAATAGCTGCTTCACTGAATAAACTTTCAATACCATCTATTATACTGTCATTACTATACTTCAGTCGGGACCAACATTTGTTCTAATTTATATTTGGCAGTGCAGCTTTGTTCCAGAGACTAAGGCTCATTTATGAACAGAGAAGGCTTCAATTACAACAGATATGAGACAGATTCAGTCAAACACAGCATGAAAAGGAGGAGGGGGGTTGCAAAGCTGCTTGCAAATGTAAAATCCTCGCTTTAAAAACCTGCTCAGCTGAGTTGTAGCTTGTTGAAGTTGTCTTTTGGAGACCATTTTCCTTTTTATGTATTCTTTAAAATACAGCTACACGTGTTCTCACAGACTAGTATATATTGTTTTATTACAAATTATATTATTAATGCACTTTTTCTTTATAGAAGGTGACCTACTACCTGCACATTCTGTACCGGCGTATCTCACCTGTGCTGCAATGCAGTGGGATGCAGTGGCCATTTCTGAGCTTGTGTCCTGGGCTGCATTGGAGGCAGCGATCTGTTTCAGTGCAGATGATGCAGTATGCCGGACACACGTCACACCGTCTCCCTTCTGAGCCTTCAAACTGGAACAACCCCTCTGGGCAGACATCCAGGCACTGACCCTGAAAGAGGTACCTGGCCACGCCAAACATATCTGAGGAAGAGCAAAAACAGCAAAAGTTTTAGGAAAAGAAATCTGAAGAAGAAGGAGTGCTGAAAACAGCTTTGAGGACATACTCAGACACAGAGTCATACACAGGTTAGGACAAAGCAGTTTTACTGCAGGCGTTTAAAGGAAGGGTACATGGATGTTTTGGTATACCGCAAGGACATTTGGCACAGCCAGTCACACGTGGGAGCTTCTCCTGTAAAATGTATGGAAGCCAGGAAAATGATAAAATAACCCAAATTCATAGGCAGCCCAATTATTTATTCACACAGGTTTAGAGACCAGTCAACAACCCCTTTGCAAATTACTTTTTTTTGTCGGCATAAATATTTATGTAAACAATAATAATAAGCTTTTTACAACATTTAACACATTTTGTTTGATCCTTAAAAAGTGTTTTAAACCTGCTGGACATTCAAATGAAACAATTTAGTGGCTTTAAATCAGGGCACGTGCTTTTCAAAGTCAAATATTTTTGAAACTGTAAATGCAATGATATTTAAATGTCAACATTAACCCAGTTTTTCACAGTTGGTCAGCTAAACACCCTCAGCCTGCCAGTCTGTATTTGCTTTCACTGTAATTACATTTTTTTTTTTAAAAATCTGTGTCTGGCCGTAATTTCATACATGTCCGGGCTTGTCCGCGTGCGTGTCAACATTTTTAAACTGACACTAGTATTTTGCTTGTTTCATCCATCTGTATCTTCGCTACTCGTAGTAGTGACGAGCGGGGGCGTCGAACATGACTTTCAAAGACCTGTCCTCTCAGTACGGAGCTGTACGCATGTGAGTGTGACTGGCCAAGATAACAGAGGTTGTTTTGAGAGAGGAATGACAAGGGCAGAGGCAGATAGAGGGTCTGTTCAAACTATTATTGTTATGTCTCACTGAGCCTCAGACAGACCGGCAATTAAATGGAACCACATTTGCAAACAGTCTGACAAGCTTGCCGGCTAATTGAGAGTGTATGCACATGTGAAGGTGACAGAGTGTGTGTGTGTGTGTGTGTGTGTGTGTGTGTGTGTGTGAGAAAGAGAGAAAGAAAAATCTGGTGTTAATCTTCTTTTGGCTGTCTGGTATCTCAAAGTGAGTGTGTGAGTGGGGGCTAGGTGTGTGAGTAACACAATCTCCCCAGTGTAAATACATTCATTCAAACAGCCATAATACCTCCTGAAATAGTGTGATAAACACAGTTATTACTACCATCCTCCGGTTGATATTTCTTCAGCTGTGGTTGCCTAATGACGTCCGGATTTTATAACTGCTGTTATGAGGGGAGGAAAAAGGCTTTTTGATAGACTGATTGGCTGCACAAGATCAGAAAACATGCAATTTTAGAGGAAGTAAAAGTAGTCATTAAATACAGACCTTTCTTTTTTTTTGACTGATCTGAAAAGCTGACCAAAGTGCAGTGACCTCTAAAGTATGCAAATGACTAATATATGTTTTATCCACATCTATCAGCAGACCTTGAGTGACCTGCTGCATTAATTAGGTTCACTTTTGGAGGATTTATTGATGGAATCTGGCACAAATGAGTCTTTGTGTGAACCAAAGAATACTATGAAGAAGCCCGCTTGGATGGATGGATGGGCCTGATGGATAGATTTGCAGCTAAACCTTTGCAAAAACCTGCATCAGTTCAAAGAGTGCAGCTTTTATGTGGCAGCGAAGAAATAAAGGACGTTTTTATCTGCACTAACTGGTGCTGCATTTCCCTGAAAGCTAACTCAATGCACTTGTGATTGATGTTTATAATTTCTAGGGGCATTGATGTATATTTTAAATATACCTGTGTCACAGGTGGTGCAGCTATGAGCTCCCTCATCAGTACACTCCTGACAGGTGTGGTGACAAAGGCGGCATTGTCTTCCCGCGGCATAACAGCCCTTCTGACAGCGGGTGTCACAGCGTCCTTCATCAAAGAACCTGCAGGTGGAACAAAATTAGGCCCAGCTACTGTATATAATATCCATATTTATAGTGTAACAAGTTGCTGCACTTGCATGACAAGTTGACAAGTTTAAGATGAAGATTTCACAAATTAAAACAGGTTAATCCAAACCAACTGCAACTTTTTTTTTTTAGGTTCGTGTAATTATTTTAGCTCCTTCCTTTGGTGGGTTGGCTCAATTGTCTTCTTTTTAGTCAATTGTCAATCTTTTCAGTATACACTACAGATGTTTGTGTGTCAGTGGCTGTCACCGTGTTGCAGGGCAGCTGGTGCAGTCATCTCTCTCTGGACCCTTGCACCGCAGACAGGAAGGATCACACGGGTGGCACTTGTTGTGTTTACTCAAGTACTCTCCTGCCGATAGAGAGCCACAGAAAACAGCATCACCGCACGTTCGGCCTCACTTATCTGCCTCTATTTGACTCACTTCATACTTACCGTGCTTACTTGTCGTATCACTTGAGCGATTTGATTTGATGCTTTGATGTATCCTAGTTGCACCAAATTAACAGCCAATTGCTTTTGTTTTCATTTCATTAAATTTTTCTCTGACTTCTCCTGCACAGAAACAGCTGTATATCTGCTTTTCTTTATCTTGCAAATATATTTCACACATCTTTTTTTGCTAAAAAAAAAAACTAAGGTGAAATGATCTGGTCATTTCTCATCTATTTAAAGAGAAGCTGTTGTCTTATGGGAAAGGACAACAGTGGTGCAGTAGTTAGCACTTTCACCTCATAAAGACTCTTGGTTTGAACCTCCCTGAGGCCTTTCTGTGTGGAGCTTGCGTGATCTCCCAGTACACGCGTGGGTTTTCTCTGGGCGCTCCAGTTTCTTTCCACAGTCCAAAGACTTGCATGTTAGGTTCATTAGCGATTCTAAATTGGCTGTCGTGTGGATGTGAGCGCTTCAGTGCGTTGAATAAGGCGCTGCCTGAATGTGGATTGTATTGTAAAGCCTCGTGTGTGCTCAGGATGAGTAGAGAAAGAGCAATATAAATGCCACTCAGCTTCCATTTCAGTCGTGACTACAAATTTTAAGCACTTCTAGTTCGCTGCACAGCGTTTCTGCACGAGTTCCCCACTTTGTGTGTTGACTTTGCACGTTTCCTCGCTCACATTTGGGTTTGTTCATTATCCAAAAGAATCACAGTTTAAGTCAGCAGTCGTACCCAGTGTAGCGTTTATCTAATTAAAGTCGTCTCTGAGGGGAAACAACGACTTTTCACGCCATGAACAGGAAGAGCCAAGATAATATACAAAGTCTTAAAGGAAGACATCATCTCTAATCACCAGCATCTGTAGCCAGGTAACGACAATATTTACAACCTCTTGCCATAGAAGTGAGCTTGCTTATTAGAGTGGAAATGCGACAGAGGCATCTGCTATATCATAAGGAAACATCCTTCCCGCAGCCCATTAACCACATCTTCCACTGATGAACGTGTTGAAAATGTGCGTAGGTTCTTGAAGGCCGGAAAGTTATTCTTACAAAACAGATTACTGACTGGAAATTCAGCTTCAGGCGCCAGAAACCTCAACACCTGGCAAAGCAATCGTTGAGTCACTGGATCCCACTCCAGGTAGTTCTTATTGTAAATGTAAAATTAATAAGTGGTGCTTTTCTTTCTCAGGAATGAATACTTAAACTTTGCTCACAGATGAAATGTTTGTAAGCGTTTGTGCCCAAGATTAAGAGGAGAACAAAACTTTACAAAAATAAAATCAACCTTGAAAACAATATTGTCTCCTCTTCTACTTTTGTATTACACAAAGGTGACAGACACTGGTTCAGGCGTAAAGATGGATGCTGTGTGTTTGTGTGCGAGCAGCCTTCAAGGCATCGGTGGGGTTTGTCTGTGCTCTCTGGCTTTCTGTGAAAAGCTCAATTGTTCCTTTCAAAACAAAAGAGCCTCTTTGTGTACAAACACAACAGGCGGTGGCTTCCCATTCAGTAGAGCTCTGCTGAAACGATTCAAGCAGCCCCCGAATACACGCCGTCACTCTTACTCACACACACAAATTGTCTCCCTGTCTTTATGTTTGTCTCCCCCTCACTCACAAACAAACAGAGCCAAGTTCTCAAGGGACAGAAAGCTGCACAACTCCACTCAGCAAAAGCAAACTTTGGACTCCCACTGCCAGACAGGAGAAAAATGGAGCGGAGAAGAAAGGGAGCCTGTCACTCAGGGGAGTAAAACTTTTCCTCTGTTCTGGACTCGGCTGACCTTGTGAGGACAGTGACACTCTACTTTGTAAAGAGAGACAGAGAGCGGGCGCTCTGTTGGCAGGTGTCACACTGACGTCTAACACACCTGATCATGAATCCTGATTCCTTTCCCCTCTTTCACCTGCTGGTCCCTGCGCCCACTCACTCTAAGAAGGTTTCAAGATATATTTATTCTTTTCAATCCACCCAAGTGGTTATTGAATACATTAGGTGTTTATTAGCCACAGTGGTTATTTAACATTGTGTATTTATCACCACAAGGGACCCTTCTTAGGGTTTCATACCCCAAGTGGCGTTTTTGGGATGCTGAACTCACAAAAACCAGAGGAAAAAGAAAAACAATAACATAATAAAATAATAACGTAAGACATAATTTGAGGGTATATCTCAGACTCCTGAAGACTCTTGTCTATATCAGCTACTATGAAGTTATCATGTTGCTTCGCACCCACCTACTAACAGGCTAAAAAGACCCCTTTTAGCATTTATGCAGATATACCTTTATACCATCATTTCATTTTCACAGTATTTTTTTAAAATAAATTCTTATTCATTTGCATAAACAAGACCTATCACTGCTTTTTCTCAATGTGATTATATTTTATTTACCATCACGAGCAGGCCAAACAGTCCTGCATCATGCCTATGTGCTAGTTTATATAGGATGCTGACGCTCTTCTTTACTATTACGAAAAAAATGTTTGATTGCTGGAAACTAAAGAGTTTCCCGAACTGTCCTATCAGTCAGACCCCTGTTAAAAAAATATATTTTATGCACAGCAAATCTAGTTGCAGTGGGGTGCAACTAAAAATAACCCTAATTTTGATAATGAATATACAACAGCCACACAAGTGTGAGAAGACTGCATCCTGGCACTGAAATGTTTCCTGAAAGGCTGATATTAAACAGTGATTAGTATTTAATGGGACATTTAACCTGAAAATATTATTGTAGTACTACATATCTCCCCAGAATGTGTTGAGGTCTCCAGTTTTGTAGATGCAGATACATCTAAACGGCACTCATTTACTACTTTGTGATTAAGTTTCATTTAAAGTCTCTAAATCTCCTCAAACTGTTCGATGTAAGAACGATGCTAAATAAGGTTTGTAAATTTCTTCATTCTCTGAGTGACGATTACTAGAAGCTGCTTTGGTCATCACAAGCCCACAAATGTCATTTATTCATGTATCCAAACTACTACTTTTTTTCTTCACCACTTATCCACTTGGAGACTATCTTTGTTGTAAACCTTGGACAGGTTTAACACAGAGACAGACATGTATTCATTCGTACTGCTAGATTTAGACTCAACTAACGTGCTAATGCAGAAACCCCACACGTCTGCAGGATCCAGCCGGCCAGTGGATTCAAACCCCAGACCCTCTTACTGTGAGGTATCAATCCAAACCATCACATATCTGCATCGTCCCATACAGCGTCATATTTTTGCTATTATTTGCGGCTTTGTGACAAACATTCTATATTCATAAATGTAATCTAATACATGTAAAAGTTAAATCCAAAGATGTTAAATAAACCTTGCACCCAAAAACACACACTGTTGACCAGTTTCAGCTTCCACCTAATTGTAATTGAGCACACATATCTCCCTTTAAGAGCTGCGCCTGGGGCATGTACAACTTTCACTTAATCAATGCGATTGAGTGCCAAAAAACGAATTCAAGGATCTGAATTTCAATGATGTTTTTGCCTTTCATGAATTTGTAAAACATAACTCAATAGAGTGAAAACAGGGAAACTTAATGACTTGGAAAGTGAGCAAACAAAAATGCTAATGAATGAAATAATACTGATTAATACACCCTCAAAATAATTAATGGAACTCAAAGGGAAAAAAACATGAACAGATTAAACATTTTAATAAGAACACTTAAGTAAAAAAAAGAAAAAAAAAAGATTTTCAAAACTAGGACTTTGAGTAACATTAATAATGCATTGTCACAGATATGTCACAGGTACACAATAAAAACAGCTTTTATATGAGGGGTGGGTATGTGCGTGCGTCTTCTACCACACGCACACGCGCACACGAACACGCACACACGTGTCATCTTAAACAATGACCAAGATTAAGTTTTTGTTAAACAAAACAGGGGATTCATCAATCTTTATTACAAATCATCAAGAACCATAACCAGATAACGGTACAACAATTCATCTAATACTGTAAATGCTCAAGCTGCGGGTGCGATAACCCACACAAAATAACAATCTTAAACATTTTTTTTAATATTTTTTACTTTATTTTTTTTATTGTTTCGCTGTTCTTTAATAGAAGCCAGCACCTCCAGGACAACCCTTTGAGTTCGATCAGGTAAAGTTCAGAGACAGGAGGAGAAACCGGGCACCTGACGTATGACGGCCTTGTCGCACACACGATGCGATTTGAATTTCTAACACAATGGATTCTGTCTAAAAAGAAAGTAATAATAATAATTTGATTGCATTATGTTTGTTTTAGGCTTTTTCCCCCTTGGATTAACTGGCCAAAAGTTCTGCTGCCAATAAATAAAATGAGAAAGACTTTGAACATGAATTTTCAGAGTAAAACCATCCCAGCACCCCGCCGTTTCGCTCAGCTGTCGCAGACCTTTACCTGCCGATGAAACGTGATAACAGCATTTTTCTGCTTCAATCGCTGACCCCACCATGGTCAGAGTTTAGAGCAGTATTTCAGCTTGATATGCTTTGCCATAATAATGGGATGACGAAAAGTTTGGACTTCTAAAACTCTATGTTATTTGATAACAGTAACATGTAGGGGATGCACCGATACACATACCCTTTTGTTTGTGTGGAAAATATAACCAACATGTAGTAGAATTTCAGTTCCCTTTAATGAATAAACTTCAATTACTTTAATCCAGTGACAACAAAAATGACGGAGGAGGCTTAAATCGTTTGATCACAGAGACGGATGGAATCGATACTCGGTTTGGGGGGGAAACAAAAAAGTTTAGTATCTATAATCATCATTTTGTGTGAAAAATTTGCATCGGTACATCCCTAGTACCACAAAATTACTATACCTCACTGCAGAAGCTCTGGAAGGAATGACTATTGACTCGTCCTGTAGTACCTCTTGATGGATCAATGCTGTCTGGGCTTACATCAAGAATTAATGGCATTCTCCGAGACCCAGTAAAGACAAACGCACACGCTCTTCAAAGGGTAACTTTACGTTTTAAGTAAATGAAATGGGGTGATTCTGGTCAGCGACATGCATCCGCCTTGTATACAGTGAATTCAAGTGGTGCACAGATTAAGTGTCTGCATAGTGTGTGTGTGTGTGTGTGTGTGTGTGTGTGTGTGTGTGTGTGTGTGTGTGTGTGGGGGTATGGACGCATTTGTGTGCCGTGTGTGTGTGTATATTAAAATGTGTGTAAATTTGTCTTCTCGCACAGCCAAAGTCAGCCCAGACACACATTATTTTCACATTACTGCGTGAGCTTGGTTTTTACTTTTTTCTTTTTGTCGTCCCCCCTCTTTGACGTATATTTACAGGCATAAAACCACGGCTTTTCCTACTGTATGTTCGCTTTCCATCTGTTTATCATTAACACTGGAAAGAGAGGAGGAAGAGGAGCCAGAATACAAATGCACACAGACGTATTTGACACAGGCTGAGCGGCTCCTGCATTTTAGCTATAATTCCTATACTGGCAACAAAAAAACAAAAAAAAGAAGGAAGGGGAAAAAAAAAGGAGGTTCAATTATTTTGGCATCAATGCTTTGGTCACAAAATACCGACACTTATTCTTTTGTTTGTTTTCGCTTATGTTTTCATTTGCTCATTTGTTCTTGAAGTAAGTCCCAGTCGTATTACGCCCTGACCTCGTGTGTGTCCCAGTACAGAAAAAAAGGTAGGTTTGTTGTAGTCCTGTCATCGCACCTCCGATGCAGTCCCTTTAAAAGAGGCACAGATTCTCTTATAAATTATGTGACTGTGAATGAGTGGGCAGGGGGTCTGAAGAGGAGTGGGGTGCCCCCTGTGCCCCCCTCCCCCCGCATCCCCCCCCTGCACTCCCTTTAACACCCAGCAACTACGTCCCATCACCCCTTTTGTGAGCATGTTCTGCAGCACAGTTGTTGCAGCACTTTCCTCTGGCAGAGATTGTTCTTTTTAACGAGCACGCAGAAGCTGCCTTCCGCCCAAGATTCTTCATTTGCTTTCCACAGAGCAGGAAGAGGAGATAAAGAGGGGTGGGTGGGTAGTGGGGATGGAGAGGGGAGAAAGGAGACACACACACACACAGACACACAGATACACAAGGGCAGAACCATTTGTGATGGTTTAGAGCCGTGTGATTGGTCAGGAGACAGGGTTCAGGTGACAGGAAGAGGTTTTTGTTTGTTTGTTTGTTTGTTTAATCCAATCACAGGTGGTGTTCATCGAGGAGGAAAATTATTGCAGTCCGGTGGAGTGATTTCAATCCATGTCAGGAGAGAGGGGAATCAGATTCAGGAAGGAAAAAAGAGAGAGAAAAGAGAGACAGAGAGAGAGAGAAAACAAAACAAACGTCACACAATTAGAAAATTGAAGATTTTTGAAATTCACAACGTGGTTTCATTTTGCACAACAACAAAAAAAAGGGGACAACAAGTGGACCGCCAGTCTGTAAATCCTGTGAGCCAATTCTTTCACAACTCAACAGCAGTTCACATCGGAGCTGCAAATCAAAACGTCACCAGTAAGAAGCTGGAGCGGAGGGTGGGGGTTTAGGAAGACAGGAAACAGACTGAGTGTGCACTTAAAGTCCTCATCATTAACAGAAAGGTCACGCAGTAAAGATATTTTATCCTCGGAGCTTTATCTCATCACAAGCCGAGACTTCGTGGCCAAGGGTTCATTTTAAATAGAAGGTCACGGCTAGAGCAGAAAATCACAGGATTTATTCAAAGCCTCATAATCAGACCATCACATCAGAGGGGTTAGTGGGGGGAAAGAAAAAATAATAACGAAAGAAAGGGAATGTTTGCATTTAGAAGAGCATCAGCAGAGCATGCTCAATTTGGGGAGGAGAAGCCACAAGGCGTGGATGACAGAAAATGGAGAACACAACGTAAGGCAGGAGAAGATTGAGCAGAATATTTAAATAAATATAAAAATATATCAATGAAGACTTGGAAGGGATTTAATAATGTTTAGCAACTGAACAGTTATGGTCACAATCCACCCCCTTGAGTTATGGCATTAAACAATGGTAACGCGGGCCAATATTTTTCATCTAGACCTTTAAGATCTCAATGAAAAATATTACCACTTCAGCATTTTATCTTGTTGGACAGTTTTCTAAACTTAAGCCATAATAAACACATGATTTCTCGAGTTATTACCAAAATGTATTTGTGAGGTCACAGTAAACTAGTGCAAGACTTAGAAGATTTAGATATTGGAGGCCGAAGTGAACATTCGTGCCAAATCTCAGGAAATCCCTCAAACAGGATTGCGTGTTGCTGAGAATGAATGACCCCAACATGGAGCACAAGAAATACAAAGGAAAACATAAAAGAGCGCATAAGTAGATACTCAACAATCTTTTCTGCCCATGCGATCCAACAAAGTTCAGGAACCCAGGAAAGCACTGTGTTAATGTCATATGATAGAAACGTGTGAGCACGTAGTCCCAGAGAGGTTTTATATTAGTGACATGCAGGACATGGATGTAGAGCACAGAAGCTAAAAGCACAGCTTTGTTGGTTAGGAGCTACAGCAGTGAGCGGTTTCATTTAACGTGTTAGTTCAGAGTTCAAATTTCTTAAAAATGGCCGCAAGTGAATCATTTTCTTTGTCAAACTACTTCACCTGTGGGCCAAATAAAAACCATTCCAAATAATAAACAACTATCCAGATCATGGTATTGATAAGAAAGCTGACAACTCACCATCTTTGCAGATGGTGCTCACCACGCAGGCTCCTGCCTCCAGATTGTAACCACTGTTGCAGCTGCTGCAGTTTCTTTCCCCGGGCCCCAAGCACTCATAGCAGCTACTGTCACACCTGCCGAAGGGTGCGTGAGGAATTAGATGCTAGTCAAGGCAGCACAAACTTTATTCCTGCACGCCAAAATCGGAAGTAAATCGATCGCTATAAAGGCAGTGATGAATGACACCTGTTAGAGCTCACATTTCAACTTTGTCAGTCTACAAACACCAGAACTATTAAAAGGTATGACTATATTAATAGCAGAAAACAACCCTGACGCATATATTATACTGCAGTATTAGACCTTTACAAAAATGGAAAAAAAGCTGTAATTTATGTAGACTCTCTTATTTATTCTCTTACTTTTCTTATATGTAATATTATTGGCCTATTCGGTTTCTGCTGGTGAGCGGTGTCTGCAAATGTGCCAAATTTCTGAACACAGAAAATCTGGAGGAGAAGATACCTGAAGCAATCCTTTAGGAGCAAGTGTTAGACACAGTTATCACATTTATCATCCCGCTAGTGTGAAAACATCACTTTCTGAGACAAATCTGAAGCTGAGCATGAAGGAATCCAGTACGGTAAAAGGGTCAAGTGGGCAATAAATAATTCAAGACGGGAAGGGAACATAGCAGGGAGGTAAGGCCATAAGAGGAACAGACAAGATGTCTGACGCTGTGGATGAGTTTCAACTAGCAAAGTAGTCATCAAACCATTGTCAATCATGGGGATATGATTATGTTTACGTGTTCTTTCCGTCCTCATTCAGGTTAACATTAGCGAAGGGTGACTCAACAGAGCCGTCTGTGGGAAAAGCTCACACAGCTTAAAGACAACAAAACAATGACGGCACCAAATGTCAGCGCTGACTGGCTCTGTGACTGTGGTTTACTGGGAAGTCCTTCATTGCAGGCTTTCTGTTCTCATTTACTTTTACTGTCATCAGTGACTGATTGCAATTTTGCTGAATTACCCCGTTTGAATTTTTAAATACAGGTGTAGTGCAGCAGAGTTTTGATTTCATCAGATGTAGGTGCCCATCTTCAGGCTGCCAGCTCAGAAACCAGAAATGCACAGAGCAGGGAGAGAAATAAGAAAATAACAGCGGAGGCTAAAGTTAGGTTTAAGTTGGAAATTTGCACTTGCACTAGCAAAAGAAACTTCCTTGTTTATCTCTACAGACTGGAAAGTCGTCCCCCCACACCACCCCTTTTCACCGTGGCGTAGAGGTGTTGGCAGGTGTGCTGACTCACTTCTTACAGGACCTCTGCACCTGCCCGTTGTCTGAGGTCTGCTCTGACAGGTAGTAGCTAGGACTGCATGTTAAAACACACCGCCAATCCTCAAGTAAGTAGCCGTCCGCACACTTTGTGCACGCCTCGACTCCTGTGCCTGCAAGACACAAATGCATTTTTGAGCGTTACACTGGCGAATAGAAAATGTTGATCGTGTCTTTAAAACGCACAGATTTACTGCACATTACAAATGTAATCCTGCAAGCATTGCTTCCTACCTGCGCAGGTGGCACAGGCCCGGTGACATGGTTCGCAGGTCCTTCTGTGGCCGTTGTAGTAAGTCCCGGCGTCACAGGTCATCTGACACTTGTTTGCCTGAAGGCTGGAAAGTGAAGCGAAACAAGGCACTCGTAACTTTAAAGTAAAACCAGAACATCCTGCAGTAAAATCACCGGACATTAAAAAGCCTCATGTTTTCCTTTGTGTGGATGCAGTGTGCATCAAAACAACATGCTTCTGACTTTTGCATTGATTTTAAAGGTGGCAGATGGTGGAGAAGAGGTCAGATATGTAGCAGGTTTGGAGGTTACAAAGTCGGCTCTGTGGAGTCGCAGTGAGGACAGGTTGGTGAGCTTTGCTAAGCTGAAAAACAGCTGGTCCGCGTTAGCTTAGGTTTCCCAGAAACAATTTCGTCTGGTCCCGTCTTCCTCTCCGACTCCTAACTGAGCATTAATGGTGGACTAAGTGGAAGAGGAGAGACTGTGTGTGTCTGCGCGTGTATGTGTGTGTTTCTGTGGTCTCTGAGGCGTTCAGAGGAAATTATGGCCTACAAGTGTCCCTCCCCACCTCCACCTCTGGCAACACTATGCACTTAAAAGTTGGGTTCAAGACCACAGTATGTTTAAACACTTCACAAGTGTTTCTTTCCTGACCTAGCTGGAATTCCAGCACTTTAGAAACTATCCTCAGTCAGGTCAAATGCAGCTGGGTCATTTTGAAGAGGCTCCTGTGGAAGTGGCCAAATGATGAACTGAACCATGTCTCAATGGCTGGGTAAACGGTTCAGATCATAGCCTCTTCAAAGTAAGGATTACAACGCAAAACAGATCCTCTTCCTTTGGGTCTCCACATTACACAAGCATATGTGGGCTTTAATAAGCCACTGACCACACTGGATAACTATCAGTTTACTCAATATGGATCCCAAGTGGATAAAAGTTGGGAAACCCTCGTTTCACCGGTTCACTGTACAAACCACAAAGTATACAATGTTCTGGAATAAAATGGCAGCACTTCTGCAACATTACAGTCAATGAGCACAAAAGGTTTTTATCCTGGAACCACAACAGTGATATTTGGGGGGGGGGAAATCTACGTCAAATTTTATGTTCAAGGCTTATCAAAGCACAAAGCCCTTCATATGATACATATTGTAGAAGCGGTCCATGTATAATGAACCACAACCCACTTGCGGTTCAGGAGTTAAAGCGAGTTGTCCAATAATCACAGCAGTTCAGTGGCTGTTCCTGTTGAAGCATCACTGAGCAAGAGTGTAAGAACGGGTGAAAAAGCTTTAACTGAGCAGTGTGTTTGAGACCAGCTAGTTTGTACGATTTTCTGACCACATTTAAATGTGAATGTTATATAAACAGACTCAACGATGGTGACAAAAAACATCCAACTGTTTGCAATGAGGGGCAAAATTTGGAGGTTTTCAGACCAATCTTTTCCTGTTGCAGTACCTCATACATTAAAACCTGATTAGTCAGATGATAATTTAAAAGCACTTAAGACAGAAGTTGAGTCCTGTTTACTTTCTGACCGTCATGCAACTGACCATTTTCTAAAAGAAGTTGATGTTCACATCTGATTGTCAGAGATTCTCACAAAACATCACAACACTCTCCTACTGCCCAACATCTTACAGCCAAAGCACAACCGTCACGAAAAACGCAAGGCAGGATTTCTTGTAATTTAAGTCGTTTTTAGGAATAGTTCTCCTGGTTTCTTGAAGGACATTTAAAGCTCTTCTTTGGATGTTGGCTGGCATTTGTTCTATTCTCTGTCGAGATGATCCCATACTGTTTCATTACTGTGTTTTTCTCTACACAGCTAACCTTTTACTGCACTGGCAGTGTGTTTGGGATCATTGTCATGCTGAAAAATACATTTACTGCCAATTAGATGCTTTACACTTCGTATTGCATTGTGAGTCAAAATCTGATGCTAGTCCATGTTTGAAATTAAATCAGTTTTGATAAGATCTCCAGCAATGAAAATGCATCAATGTCACCATGTTTTATAGATGGCTGTAGACATTTGTGTCCTACCTCTCTCTAGGCATCCTCCATACATATTGGCAACAATCTGAAGCAAAAAGTTAATTGGATTCATCACCCCATAAACCACTGATTTCGAATCCAGTTCTTGTGTAATATGTCATACCTGGCTGGTTAAAAAACTTGGCTTCTTGACAGCCACCCTTCCACTCAGACCAATTCCAATGAGGCTACAGTAAACAGTAGACGGATCGACTTGTAACGCCGTTACTTGTAACGCCGTTATTCCCATCACTGCTCATAGGTCAATATTAGGTGGCTTTAAACAACAACAACAATCATTCTTCTGAAAATGGTCAGTACAAGGCCTGGACTGATAATGAGTGAGAAAGCAAGACGTAAAGGAATGGTGGGTGGTCTAACACGAACACATTTTGCACAGTGCTACATTGACTTTTCATATGCACCTCTTTCACGTGATGACTAAAAAAGTTCAAGGCTGTGCTGTTTGTGAAAATGATTAATGCTTTAAACTATAATCAGTGACTCTAGTCAGGAATTGCTCAACGTGGCACCCATCTTACCTCATCCCAGGTTTACATTCTGTGCAGATATTGGAGGCTGTACACTTCTTACAGTTCTCCTGACATCGCCTAAAAATGTTGGAATCTGGAAGACACACAGTGCGCGAGTCATACACAGCACATAATAGGAACCAGAAGTCTGGTTGCATTTAAAAAAAAAAAAAAAAAAAAAAAAAAACAGCAGGGGAATAGAGGGGAAAGAGTGATGAAGAGTATCAGTTGGAGTCGAATGTGTGAGGAAGACCAGCGAGTAAAGTTATGAGAGAATATTGAGAAGAAGAGGCAAAAAGGACAAAAAAGGAAAAAAAAAAAAGAGGAGGAAATCGAGATAGCGAGATGAGGGGTGAAAGGTTCTGTGGGGCTGAAAGAAGATTATAGTGTTGAGGGAGGATGGGAATCTGGATGAATATTTCAAAAGGCAGACTAAAGTCAATGACACGCTTTGACACAAAGCACATGGACTCCTCTGTAGCAATGGTGATTGCCAAAAAGTTATGCTAATAACATGTTTTATCATTCCCTGAAAGGATGAGGAGACTGTCAGTAAGAATGCTGGTTGGATTTTTTGGATTTTTAGGAATCCTTACAGGATGAAGGAAGGACATGAGCAGGCTACGGACTGGTTTCCAAGAAAGGTTGGACGATATGTTGTTGTGGCATTTTGGCTCAGAGCTGTAGGTGAACATTAGAGTGTAATTTGGCTCATCAATCAATATAAATTCTTTAGAAATTGTAGGGTTTTTAAAATGGGTATAAAAACCATCTGCTGCTGATTTCTACCCTTCTCCATGTTATATCAGGGTTTCTTGAATATTTTTGCATTTTAAACAATTCACAAAATGATTAATGATTAGAAAAGATTTAGTGAAACCACAATAAATAGTACAATCCTGGTCAAACGCTTTGTCATTTAGTATATATGCACTAATTTTAACATCAATAGCACAGCGAGCCTAGCTTACATTGGTTTATCCGTGATATGGTAACAAAATAATGTCAACGTTGCTGTCAGAATGTTAAAAAGAAAATAAACTCCAGTTTTCTTATTTAAAAAAAACAACAACAACCAAAAAACCCTCGGCTATGCTGCCATTCCAAAAGGGAAAATGTACCCACTACATCTTGGCCTGTTAAAATGTTATGATTAAACTTGCATCAGAATATCTCAGATCTGCTGCCAGAGACTCTCAGAGCTGCCAGGGCTTACACACTATCCTGGCAAATACAAAGACATAATTATAATATATACATAGTGTCAGTCTCTCATTTCTGGTTTGTTTTTATTAACAAAAAAAAAAACAAAAAAAAACACTGGCAAAAATTCTGAACCCGTAAAGCGCATACTTTCTGTGAATACTACTGCACTACTGAATACTTTACATGCCAGAATTTAACACAGGAAGAAAAAAAAGAAAGGAAAAATGATTGTAAACCTAATCCAAGCATAATCTTCCTGCAGATCTGCTTTATTTCACGTTTTATTCCACTTTAATTTGACGTAGCCAAACGGTTCACTACCACAAACTTTTCAGTTCAGCTTGAATCAGCAAGTGCATTACAATAAACAAGCGGCTAGACATTACCTCAAGGGTACAATGGCATCATTCTGGTGTGGTGAATGAAAGCAGACTGGTGATAGTTACTGCTAAGGGTGGAGGTTTTTAGAAACCTCCTCCACCATTTACAAATGGCAGTGTATTTCTCTACAGTCGTAATCTAAGGAACTTCAGGCACAGATGATTGTGCAGTGGACACGGAGAATAACAGTGAGATTTTGGCATTTTAAGAAAACAAGTGCACAACAGAAACACAACTGAAGTCCCAAGAAACTTATAACAAAACTGTGTGACAGCCTGTAAATAAGAAATGCACAGCCACCGTGATGTGACTAATTGGTTTAAAAAAACCTGACGTTTTGAAACCGAGTGAAGCATAGATCTGAGTGAGAAACAGTAATATATTATAACACATTCCCTGCTTCTCGTTTATGTTACTCTAATGTTTATTCGGGGCGTTCGTGGCTCAAAGAGTTGGCAGTTTGTCTTGTAACCGGAAGGTTGCCGGTTCAAGCCCCGGCTCGGACAGTCTCGGTCGTTGTGTCCTTGGGCAAGACACTTCACCTGCCGCCTACTGGTGTTGGCCAGAGTGGCCGATGGCGCGATATGGCAGCCTCGCTTCTGTCAGTCTGCCCCAGGGCAGCTGTGGCTACAACTGTAGCTGCCTCCACCAGTGTGTGAATGTGAGAGTGAATGAATAGTGGAATTGTAAAGCGCTTTGAGGGCCCCGAAAAGCGCTATATAAATCCAATCCATTATTATTCTACGAAACAAACAATGTGTTTTCTTAAATAAAATCTAAAACTAGCGACTGAGACCATAAACCCGTCGGGATGTTTTTTTACTTAGGGAGTCGCCCCCTGTTGGGTGTCAAAAAATATGCAGGATATGGCACTTCTGCAGTAGCTTTACTTTTCAGACCCAGAGGTTAGCCATGACAAACCCGGTGTGACCTGCGGGGAAACCTACCGCTGTCGAGGTAGAAGCCGTCAGGACAGTTGGCGACGCACGTGTGGGAGCCCTCGATGAGGTTAAAACCACTCCTGCATGTGGTGCACTGGTCACTACGACTACCAACACAGGTCTCACAAGAGGAGGAGCACTTCTTGCAACGTTTCCTATCATCACGGAAAAATCCACTGGGGCACTCCGATACACACATCCTGGAAAGAAAAGTCATTGAAGACAGGAAAAGTATTTACATTTAGAGCATTAGGATAACCTCCTTGAGATGGAACATGTCATTTTGGAGGTTTTGAAGACAAATATAAAGACAACAAAAAAAAGGTGAGGGAAAGAAAAAATTACAACCTTATACAAAGGTTGTAATTTTCAGATTGATTAGTCAACGCTGCGCAAAATAAGTGAACAGTTACACTCGGAAACATGTTTATGCAAGTTTAACACTCAGGTGGAGCTCAAAACATCAAAGCTTTTTTTTTAAAGAACTTCTTTGGATACAAAACAGGAAGACTTAGTATAAAAAAAATGAAGAATGGAAAAAAAGGTGTCATGAAAGCATGTAAAAAAAAAAATCTATAGCACATTTTTCTTAAAGATTTATTGAGGCTGTAGTTTCCTCTGAAGGACAGCGTTCTTCAGCAGCAGACCAGTGAAGACCAAATCAAAACCAAAGACCGAAATGTAAAAAATAAATAAATACATAATCTCTGCAGCAAATATGATCTAAAATGCAATAAAATATCTGTGAAGTAATGCAAAAATAAATGTGTGCGTGCAGGTTTTACACAACGAACAGGCCAACATCTACTGAATAACTTCACAGCTCCTTAGCACCCCATCATTTTAACCCGAGCTCACATCCTGAAGTAATGACCTCCATAGAGCTAAAGAGCAAAAAAAAAAACAAAAAAAAAAACGCACACACAAGCGTGCACCTTCTGCCAAAAGACACACACTGCACGTGTGTAAGTACAAAAGACATGCTTTTATCCTCCAACTTAAATACATGCCTGGTTTGCTGAAATGGTTATATAAAAAGAAAAAAATATCTTTTGTAACAACAGCATGTACTGTAGTGTAACCTCTAAACCCAGGACACCAATTAAAACTTCAAACCTTATTTTGTCTCCGACACACTGATTAAACATGTAGAAGACAATAGAAGGGAACTTTGAAATTCAAACCTGAATTTAGGCAAGAAATTTGGAAAGCCAGAAGGGTGCGCATTCAAAATGTTGGCCCCCTGTACATGCCAACAAAGCTAACAGATCTAAATTCAAATGTGTACTTTATAAACGGTTACAAATATTTGCATATTATTATCCCTCAACAAACACCGATAGTTCTCTCAGAACCTAAGAAAATGTTTTTAAAATGTAATCGATTACTATTTACAAGCTGATAGTTTACCCTGAGAATCAAACTCAAAAATACATAAAAAGAAATTCCAAAGACCCCCACATCCTTTGGTGTATGTGAAGCATCAAACACGCATGTAGGGATGTAATTATCTGATGACTAGACGCTGCTGCCACCCCTCCTCCTTCCTCCAATCTTCATTCATCAATTGCTCCCTGTGGTGGCAGAAAAGGGCAGCACACCTCTAAAGTGAGCTAATGATAAGGCAGCACCTAAGCTTGCACATTCTCATGCACCTGCATCGGCCTGTCTTTTATTAGACCAGAGACAGGCCGACACAAAGGCAATTACTACAGACTTTGATCCCGGGGGGCAAGCACAAAATGTAGACACATGCACAAATTTACAGTCACACACGGGCTTGTATACACACAATTAAGAAGGGGAAAGGACAAACAGGACACACCGTGACTGACAGCGTTTCTCTTATCAGACTGACGTGGTGTAATTAATCAGGCCACCATCAGGAAAGTTTCCAAGCTCACCATGTAACAGTCTCCTTATATAAAGCACAGTGCAATGCAAAGCTTCCAAAAACTCAGTAGCCAGTTCTCAGTTCTTGTTTTTCTCTCTCAGATTTACTTGTCAAAACGTAGAAACACTCTTTTTCTGGATTCACATGAAAATAAATAAATAAAAGGTTTCCTAATGATCAAACCCAATCACACAAAACAGGCTGGCGAACAGATGTTTCTCTGAGGTATGTAAACAACTGAAATGTTGCCTTCGGCTGGTTAAGTCTACAGATCGAGGGATTTGTATGCACCAATGTTCACTTTACCTTTGGAAAACTATCTGATTGAAAGCCCCTCAGCTAATATTGATCCGTCTGCTCATTGGACCTCTTACTCCTAAAAACGATCAAAAGACGAAGCAACTGCTGGGCCAGACATGGTTTTTCCATGTGTTGCCTTTAAATTAACAAAGGAGATGGCTCAAATGGCTCTGTTGGAGTTCATTAAACAAGATTTTTTTTGGCATTGTGGGTCATAGGGTTTGAGCTGATCCAAGTAGTTCTAGCTCCTAATTCTACAACGAAGAACATAAAGGAATAAAAGTTTTGCCAGGACAATCATTCAATCATTTGTTTTTTAGTCTGTGATTAGTTTTGTTTATTCATGTGTTGAAATCTTTTATCTTCTTTGTTAAAAAAAAAATCTAAGAAGAAAACCCAACAGTAAGGCACTTTTCCACTGCTCTCCTATTTAGCATGAGGTTGTTGCCACAGTGGATAGTTCGATACGTCTGACTTAGCACAGATTTTATAGTGGCTGGCCTTCCACCCTCGATACTCTCATTTATCTGTGCTTGGGTCTGGCACTAGGAGCATACAAGCCCGTGAAGTCACTGAGGCTGGGTTCTTGTCTCCTCCCGGTCTCGAACCAGGGTTCTTTCACATTTAAGGAGAATGTATAACCAGACTATAACTAGATGGCAACCACTTGGGTCGAATCCGTGAGTGCAAAGAGACACGTGTGGACATGTTACACTCATCGGTGGAGACTTACTGCAACATGTAGCAAAGTATTTGCAAACCTTCACCAATTTGCCTGAGAGTGACTGCAGTCGAATACGGCTGACTCTGCAGTCATCCATTTTTTTCCAAATTGCAAGGACTCTACTGTCCTAACAGACAGACAATCATTTACACCCAGATTGACACCTTAGCTAATTTAGAAATGCCACGTGATGCATGTGTTTGCACTGTGGGAGAAAGCTGGAGTACCCAGAGAAAACCTACATGTGGAGGGGGACAGCAACAGAGTCAACACAAAAAGTAAATCCCTATTCTGGACCCAGGACCTTCTTGCTGTGATAAGCCAGTACTACACAAGGCTAAAGCACACCATGTAAAGCTTTTCTGGCAGAAAGTCAAGTGGCATAAAACAAAGAGTGATACAGTTCGATTCTGAAGGTTTGATTTTGAGTAGATGTATACACTCAAGGAGCAATATAACTTCTGACAATCTAAAGCAGTCTGACCTGGTGTTGTTCTTGAACTTGAGGAAGTAATGAAGGCAGTTAATGCAGTGGTGGGGTCCAGGACCCCAACAGCCATTCTCACTGCATTCAGAGTCACAGGGGCCTGGATTCAAATACAGAAAGAAAAAGGGGTTTCAAGTCTTATAGCCTCTTAAAATGATCTATTTTAACTGATTGCACTTCAAAAGTACCCTTAAATCACAAACTACAATACTAATATTTTGACACAACAGCAGGGAAGTAAAAAAAGGCAATGACAAATATGTTACTAAAGGCTGCTATTGTCACCAACCCTGCTGTGGGCGGCAATGGATTTATCACTTACCAGGGTACTCCTCTGGGAATTCCTCATCAAGGTCTGCAAACTGAGGCTTATCTATGTGCCCAGTTGAGTACGGGTGCACAGAGGTGCCATACAGCACCAGTGACCACTCCTTTAGCTTGCCTGAAAAGACAAGATGACATTTATAAAAGTTATCCTAAATAGAGGTATTTCGTTATCTCCTTGCGGTGGGTAAATTGGGGTGTTCTCATATTTATATTGTAGAGTTACTGGTATAATCAGGTCACACTATAAACCCGACTACATTTTTACGCCCTGCATTTTCAGAAACCACCGCGAAACGTTTTAATGATACCCAAGGAAAGCTAGGTAGTTTATATGGCATTACAGTGACTGATGTAACAGCTTTTAAGAACCTACTACTCTTCATCTGAGACAGTAAATTAGTGGGTAATTTCAGTTACAAAATTCACGGCTTCCCGAGCAACATGCATGGCCCTGATGGCACTTTACCTATTCCAGAGAAAGTTAATGGCTCCTCTGCTTCTTCTGTTGCCATAACATAAAAATCAATGTAAAAAAAAAAAATGAATACAACATGATTCAGTTAAAGAAACTATTCACACTGTCATACCAGGCACTTTCTGGCTGCGAAGTTGTGAAGGTGAGTCATAGATCTCTAGGACCCAGTCGCCAGCTGCCTTCTCTCCCCAGCAGTGGGTGGTCATAAACTCCCAGTTCTTAAAACCCTCCATGGAGTGATCAAACAACCTGTGCATCAGAAGTACACACAGTTACAAACACACAGACACTTATCGGATGAGGAAGTGTTTCAAACACTGCAAATACAAGAGCAAACAATCAGAGCCTTTAATGAGCTATGCGCAGTGTACAGTACTGAGATTTACTACAGGCTAAGTAAACCTGTGAAAACTCTGAATTCTGATTGGTTGGAAGATGCTGATTCACTTTTTATGAGCAAAAACTGTTGATAAAGTGTTGTAAACATAAACTCAGTGGCCACTTTATTTGTTACACCTTGCTAGTACTGGATTGGACCTTCTTTTGCCATCGTGGCACAGATTCAACAAGCTGTTGGAAACATTCCTTAGAGATATTGGTCCATACTGACTTGATAGCATCACACAGATGCTGCTGATTGGTTGACTGATGTGAATCTCTTGTTCTACCGCATGCCAAAGGTGTCCTGTTGGATTGAGGACCATTGAGGGCATTTGAGTGTAGTTAATACACTGTCACATAGAAGAAACTGGTTCAAGAGGATTTATGCTTTGTGACATTATTCTGTTGTAAGCTGGATAGATGGTACGCTGTGGTCATAAACCAATAGGCATGTGGTGTTTAAATGATGCTCAGTTGGTACCCAGGGGTCCAAAGTTAAGAACCTGAGGTTGAACCATTATTACAAAGCAGAATGATCCATTTGCATTCCAAATTCTGACCCTACTCTAAGTCAAAGAGAAATTGAGACGCATCAGATCAGGCAACATTTTTCCAAATGTTGCCGACCAATCTACTGCTTTCCTATTTTGATCCAGCTTCAATTTCCCATTTTTATCTGACAGTAGTGGCACACAGTGTGGTCTTCTGCTGCTGCAGCCCATATGCATCAAGGTTCAATGTGCTGTACATTCACAGATGCCCTTCTGCATATTATGGTTGTAACGAGCGGTTATTCGAGTTGCTGCTACCTTCCTATGACCTTAGGAAGGCAGTTCTCTCAAAGAGCTCCCACTCACTGGATATTTTCTCTTTTTCAGACCATTCTCTGTAAGCCCTAGAGATGGTTGCGTGGGAAAAATTCCAGATGATCAGATCAGTTTCTGAAATACTCAGACTGCCACAAACAACCATGCTACGGTCAAAGGCACCTTTATTCCCCATTCTGATGTTCAATTTGAACTTCAGCAGGTCGTCTTGCTCTTGTATACATGCCTAAATGCACCCAGTTGTCGCCATTTGATTACCTGATATTCGATATTTGTTTTAACAAGCGGCTGAGCGGGTGTTCCTATTGAAGTGATATATTTGCCACTGTTCAACTGCAGGTAAACTGTAGATGGTAAACACCAAGCTTCAGCTTGAGGTCTTAGAGCCAACAATAACGACCAAAGATGGGATAAAACCATGAATATATTACAGTTAAGTGATGAGGACTGTATGATGGGCTGAGGGTTGCTTTGCTTTTTGAAGGGAGAGCAGCTGTTTTTCACATAAACCACATGATTTTTTTTATTATCTTAACACATTCCCATCTGTTGTCAGTTGATCATATTTTTCCTAAATTAACCAGACAAACTGTGGGGAGTACTCCACAGCAGACCAATGAAAAAGAGGTCTTAGCTGACCTAAAGTCCGGCGATGGTATTAATTTAATAGAAAATAAACAGATGAAAGAATTAATAACTGAAGATCAGAAACAGTGTACTTCAGCCCATAGAAGTTGCAGATACTGCTGTTAGGTAAGGAGTTTAATTTGATTTTCATTCATATTCAAATTAATTTTCTTTTTAATAGAAATACTCTGGCACTGGCAGCCCTCATCATCATCACACAAACTTCAAGCTGTTCCTGTCTGTTGTGGCACTCAACTGCATGCTCTTTGGTTGTAGTAAGTGGACTTTGGACATATTCAGATAAACATGCAACTATATGAAAGGACGTGGCAGGCATGAGTCAGAAAAACTGGTGGATTGAGCAAGTTTTTTTCTGAAGAGTTTAAATTATACAATTGAGTCCTATAAGATCAACGTAGCTTCAAGCTATGTTGATCTTATAGGACTCAGATGTATAAGCTATAGAAGCTAATAGCTTCTATAGCTTATACACAAAATTGTTTACTCTGTGTTTTATGCTAAAGCAAAATGAATAAGTGGAATAAAGCCATTTTAAGCCTGTGCAAAGGAAGCCGTCTTACCTATGCATTCATTCATTGGTTATTTTAAGCTCCCGAACTTGTTCAGAACACTATTTCAGTGCATGAGCCGCAAGGTTATATTCCTACTTAGGAGCTGACTGATTGATTCTTGACTGATAGATATCAACTACCTTCTATAAAGGTTTAACAGTTTTTTGGCAGTGCCGGTATTTTTTATAATGTTCTGTGAAATAACACAGCACTGTTCTGTGTTTTCTTCAAAACGACAGCACGTAAATTACTCAGTTTGATGACAAGTGGCTACAGAAGCATCCAGCCCAACCTCTGGAGCTCAAATATAAAAAAATAACAATAATTTAAGAGAGTAATGCAATCACACTTAGCTTGTTCTAAACTTCAGAGGGCCTCCTTTCTTATTTGAAGTTCTTTCTTGAAGTGCTACTAACTTTTCCTTTGAAGAAAAAGTATCTCCACCAGTGTGTCATTTATCTGATTTACTCCACACAGCTAAAGCTAAAGGATATACAGCCAAAGACCCTGAGCACTGCAGTGTCTCGTTTTAGGTTCCCTATGGCTGAAGTTTTGGAGCCTCCTTTGTTGTGATGTCGCACACAGTAAAGAAGGTTTTTAGCCTGTTAAAGATGACGGGGTCACAGTTGGCATTGTTGTAGACTCAGCAACTTACGGCTGCTTCCTTATTCACAAGATATCACCACACAAGATATCTCCACATGTTCTATTTGGGGGATTTTATGGAGGATGCCCTTCCTGACATAACCCCTTAAAATTCATGTAATATCTCAGAGGGCCCGGTGGCGCCAGTGTCGGGCAGCCTCACCTCTGTCAGTGCGCCCCAGGGTGGCTGTGGCTACAATGTAGCTTGCCGTCACCAGTGTGTGAAGGTGTGTGTGAATGGGTGGATGACTGGATGTGTAAAGTGCTTTGGGGTCCTTTGGGACTAGCAAAGCGCTATATAAATACAGGCTATTTACCATCTAAGTGCCCGATGCCCTTGCCAGGATTTATATTTGCAGATGACGAGCAAGTATAGCCACCAAAACACAAGTTTGTGGTGCAGTTTCTCTCTTTAAGCTGGTTTGAAAAATCACACCAGAAGAAGCAGCAGCAGCTGGAAATGTTTAGGAGGAACCTACAGTACTGAATGGGCCAATCACAGATCCTATGGACTGTGTAATTACATTTCTAAAGAGGTGCACATTACGTTTTATTTATTTATTTTTATATATATATATATATATATATATATATATATATATATATATATATATATATATATATATATATATATATATATATATATATATATATATATATATATATATATATATATATAGTTTCAGAAGGAATTGCAATTATTAGGTACCGATGTAGATTTATCGCTAACATATAAACCCCTGTTAGACTCCTCTGTCATGACAATATGCTTTATAAATAAATCCCTAACCCAAATATTAAACAGATTAAGGTCAGCTATTCTTCCTTAGATGGAACGGCACAAACCCGCTGGGCTACCAAAAATTATTCTCAAAGGCGTTGGTTTGGCAATGTATAATATACACATGCATGCATTTTTAAAAAAAAACTAAATTAAAAAAAAATACATAAAAAGAAAGTGAAAAAAGTGATCTTTTATTTCAAGTTCATGAAGCTGAACCTTTGAAAAAGATCATTCACAGTAGCTTCTGTACCTGTTGGCAAGCAGCTGAGACTTTGTCCCTGAGGGTGAAGTCAGGTTGATTGACAGGTCCCCACGGCGAGGGTGTGTAATCGTGATGCGTACGACCACATGCTCCAGGTAGATCACGTGATGGTTGGGGTTGTCAGTGCATCCTGTCGCCTTGTACACGGACCGAACCACGTGCTCTGGACGGATGGTTCTGGACGAAAACAGAGTGTAAACATCAAAAGAACCAACATGCTGCAGCACAGTTTAACCACTTTAAGTTTTTCAGAATCAGAAAACTTTGTTATTCCCAGAGGAAATGATGTGGTCACAGCAAGGACAGCAGTGAACAAGTACCACTATCACAAAAAAGCTCCAATAAAAAAATATACACAATATATAAAATAATAATATAAACTTGCAGCTGTGGCGTCTCTCTTACCATACTGACAGTTATTTTCTCTGCAAGGGATGTGCAGGATTTATCTGCCCAATATCACTCTACATGAACTGAGGCATTTTAAACCTTAGACTGTGGCCGTCTCCATAGCGATACGGCTCTAATTGCCATGACACAATTAATGTAATTATAAAGTTTCACTTCACTTCTTTTGATTTAACCTCCGAAAACCAAAGGGCATGCAAAAAAAGAGAGAGAGAAAAAAGTCCATATTAATATTTCTCATTTCTTGAACCTCACTCTGCCAAAGAAACCAAGAACCTGAACACGATAAGAAAGACAAAGAACATTATTTGTTCGGTCTGCTATGCACGGCTCAGCAGCAGAAAGCTCACCGAGCAGCCAACATAAACATCTAATGGCCCCTTGAATAACATCTGTGCTATGATTTAATAGAGCAGCGATACAGCACCAAAACCTGGACGAGTCCACAAGAGGGGACAATGAAAACCATCTTGCCAGCGCAACACTTTGGAGAAAAGGAGTCACACATGGAGCAGCTGAGCCAACTTAACACATCAGCTCACTGCTGCCAATGGATTACATGCAGCGTTTACTCACTGGAAACTAAAACATTACACTTTCTTCAAAACATTACAAAAATGAGTTACTAAAATAATTTCTTGCAGGCTGGAGGGGGTTGAGAGAACAGCCATTGAGTTCTGTTGTTTGATTATATATTGAATAGAATAGAATAGAATAGAATAGAATAGAATAGAATAGCCTTTATTGTCATTGTACAGAGTACAACGAAATTGGAGTGCCACTCCCTTGGTGCAAGTTTCAATAATAAATATAAATGTAAAATATAAAAAGTACAAAAACAACAATCGTAAGTACTCAAACAATAGTATGTACAATATATACAGGATAGCAGCATTAATATAATGACAGTATGAATAGCAGCATAATATAATGACAGTGACGGTATGGAATAGGTTCAATTGTTTTTGTGCTTATTTACTACGGTGATAGCTCTGGGAAAGAAGCTATCCCTGAATCTGTTTGTCCTGGTTTTATGTGACCTGTACCGTCGGCCTGACGGTAATAGTTCAAACAGTTGGTTGCTGGGGTGAGAGTGGTCCTTGATGATATTGCCAGCTCTGCTGAGGTACCGAGAGTTTGCAGTGACCTCCAGGCTGGGCAGAGAGCAGCCAGTGATCTTCTGGGCTGTGTTGATGACCCTCTGCAGTACTTTCCTGTCTGCAGCTGAGCACCCTGCATACCATGTTGTTATGCCGTACGTTAGGATGCTCTCTATGGTGGCTCTGTAAAATGTCACCAGCAGCCTCTCCTCCAGGTTGTTCCTCCTGAGCACTCTCAGAAAGTGGAGACGCTGCTGGGCCTTTTTAACCACCGCTGTAGTATTTGCAGTCCAGGAGAGGTCATCAGATATCTGCACGCCCAGAAACCTCATGGAGTGTACCCTCTCCACACAGTTCCCGTGGATGTAAAGTGGGACCGGGTCTGCTCTGCCCTTCCTGAAGTCCAAGATAAGTTCTTTAGTTTTCGTGGTGTTCAGTTGGAGGTTGTTAACTGAACACCACTCAGTCAGTCTGTTGACCTCATCTCTGTAGTCCGACTCATCCCCCCTTGAGATGAGTCCAACCACTGTGGTGTCATCCGCGAACTTTATGATGGTGTTTGAGAGATGGGTAGGGGAGCAGTCGGATGTGTAGAGCGTAAACAGGAGGGGACTCAAAACACATCCTTGTGGAGACCCAGTGCTGAGTGTGATGGTGCTGGACCGGTGGGGCCCGAGTCTGACAGACTGTGGTCTATTTGTCAGGAAGTCCTTGATCCAGAGGCAGATGGGGGTGGAGAGTCCCAGGTGAGACAGTTTCTGGACCAGGATCTCCGGGATGATATGATTGAATGCTGAGCTGAAGTCCAGAAAGAGCATTCTCACATAGCTTCCTCGGTGCTCCAGGTGACTCAGCGCAGTGTGGAGCGCTATGGTGATGGCGTCCTCGGTGGAACGATTTGTCCTGTAGGCAAATTGGTGGGGGTCCAGAGTGGGAGGCAGACCGGCCCTGATGTGCTGACAGACCAGTCTCTCAAAGCACTTCATCACTACAGGCGTAAGTGCAACAGGCCTGTAGTCATTTGGGCTGGCCACAGCTGTCTTCTTGGCGATGGGGATGATGGTGGAGGTTTTGAGGCAGGGCGGGACGGTGTTTGATGACAAGGAAAGGTTGAAGATTTTAGTGAAGACTCCGGTCAGTTCGTCAGCACATGCTCTGAGAACCTTTCCATATTGGAAACTTTTTTGAAAGATTCAGTTTTAAGCGTTGCAATCACGACCACGACATTTTCTAGTTATGAAGCCATGCGGTACAGATGTTCATCTTTGCCAGTAAAATTGCCCCGAGGCAATTACAAACTAGCCCGTGATATCAAAAGCGATTCCAGGAGCGACACTTCCTCGCATTTGGCTCGATAATTGATTGAGAACAACAGTAACAAAGTGGCTTATTTCATTAATAAAAATAATCAGCTTTGGCTGTTCAGACCGTGTAATTAATGCTGGTCTGCTGATTATTAATTACTGCTAAAAAACATCAATTTGTTGTGACTGATGTGTTTGCAAAAGGCCAACACTGGCCACCAAGATGAAAGTAATGATTTCCGCTGAGAAATGCTGCTTAAATTACCCAAGCTGGTACGTTAAATTAATCTGTCTCACATCGGTTAGAGCGGTGAAGAAAGGAACGACGGCAATTTATAATTAAAAGCAGCACATGAGCAGCACACGTTTTCCTGAATGCGGAGAGGAAAATAATCTACGATAATCTTTCCATTTGTCCCTCATCTCTATCTGAGCGTTTCCATAATGGAAGTCTGAGCAGCTAATTGACGCAAATACTTTTACATAAAGTACAAAACAGAAACAACTGTTGGTGGTGAAGCAGATTAGATGGAGCGAATAACAGTGAACACACTGAATGTCCGTTTTGATGACCATTTGGAAAGCGGTCAGCGGTAACATCTGGGGAGTCTGGAGCCGACAGAACAGCTCTGCTCTATGACACCGCACAGATAGCTGAACCGTGCGTGCTGGGACCGAGCAGATGCACAGCTGATTACCACCAGTCTGATTGCACTCGGATCATGCAGTTTTCCTGCTGCATACTCCAAGTGGTGCTGAGATCAGCTGCAGACAGACATTACCAAACGTGGTCAGAGGGGCCAGCCAGAGGGTGTGTGGGAGCACAGCAGTGAGGTGATGACTGCACTTATGTCGCAAGTTGCACTAGAAGCACAGAATACACGCCCAGAGAGATGTGGCAGCAAACTAACTGCACATGTGTGCCTGCTGTCGTCTTTTCTTTATTTTTAAACAAACTCTTGGGTTTATGGAGGAGGTCGTTTCGCTCCTTTTGGGACGAATCCAGATTTGAAAATGTGTCACAGATAAAACTTTTATGATTGTTTTGCCTTCACTTCAGAAGCAAAAAAAACAAAAAACAATACAACGCCTTTTGTTTCTGGTGATTGCTTACTTTCTTCTTATTGTGGCTTAATGGAAGTGTTACTTCTGTTCAAAAACAATGCTTTAATCCCATTCACAGCACATATATTTCTTCATTACCCACCAGTAAGGATTGCTTAACACAACAGCCTCCGACAGGAGTTAGACTTTTACATAAGCCTCATATGGGCTGGCTTGTGCACTGGTGCAGAACAGACAGAATGACAGTGATAATGGTGCAGTCGCTGGCCACTGAGCCTTCAACTGAAAGCAAACCAGTTCGGGGCCCAAGTTCAGCCAGCCTGCCTAACACAGAACAGAGCTCAGGCTTCCAGCTGCATCAAGAATAACAAGTTGTGAAGCCCTGGCTCTCTCTATGCAAGTGTGTGCACATATGCGTGTGTGTGTACACACACACACACACACACACATAGTAAAGGTCTTATGTGAGAACCACCCTGCCAGAACTAATGCTTGGCCCCTATCAAGGTACAGCTTGCACAACTGCACTCTGAAACACATGCCAGTGCAAAACACCAGAGAGAGAAAGAAATAAGAAAGAAAATAGAAAGACAGTACAACTGAGAGGGGGGAACAGATTGAAACAAAGAGTGGGGGCGGCAGGGGCTCTCACAACAGCTTACAAAATCTGACTTAGCCAGAATGAAAGCATATTTAATAAGACTTGTTGGTATATGAGGACACTAGATGGGATCAGATTCCTTTGTGTCATAGAAACTGTACATATACATATACTCTTTTAACAAATCACCCTAGCAGTAGACATCCATGATTATTTAATGCAGGAACACCAAGCTTTTAATTTAATTGGCGAAATTTTAAAGCTCTTTTAAAACTGTTGCTACAAAGCTGGATCACTCCAGCTTTGTAGCAACAGTTGGGGGAGGCTGTTTCCCATATCCCGTGCTTCCTTAGGGATCATTTTGGAATACCAACTACGAACATCGCTCATCAGCTTACAGAGTTTAATGATGCTTTTGTGACTGAACGGAGTAAAATTCCTGCAGCCAGGTTCCCAAAGTCTGATCTCGAATCTGCTTCAAGTGTTTTGTCCACATACTTATGACTTATAAGAGATTTTGCAACCTGCCTTATGTTTTACCTGATTTGTCGGTCTGCACTCTCCACACAAACATGTTGAGTGGGAACTTGCTTCCATCGCTCCGCCTCCTTCACCATCGCCTCGGCATCCATCAGGCCGAAACCATACAGGTGGCTGACTGCAGGAAACAGCAGAAAGTCACAGGTAGTCAGGCCGATTTATTCGATTGTTTTTGGCTACGAACAGTTTGTCAGAAGAGGGTTACATCTTAAAGCTCCTTAAGAAGATTTTGCGTTTTTAAGCAGCCACAGTACAACATCGGCGTCAACATCCTTTTACAGAATCTGGCCTCACTGGGTAGCACCAGGTTGGACGAAAGAGGGGTTTATTTGAGTCACTGTTGCCTTCCTATCAGGTCAAAGCAGTCTGACCAGTCCTCTCTGACATCAACAAGGTATTTTTACCCAGACAACTACAACTCCCTGGATACTTTCTTTTTTTTGAAGCACTACGCCACATTCAAAGTCACCTAGCTCCTGTTTTTTGTTTTTAAACCATCGGTCAATCTCATAACCAGTCTTCAAATGACCATAATAAAAGGCAAGCGGTTTCATAAAGAAGAGAAGATGACTTTTGAGGTTATGTCTGATGTGTCACAGTAGCACAAAGCTTTCACCAAGTACGGGTGTCTGAAGACAAACAACAAAAAAAAAAAAAAAAAAAAAGCTCCATTTAAATTGTACGTGCTTCACATAACCATAGCTCCTCAACAATTTTGGTCTAGCGGGAAAATTCAGATGCTTCCTGACAGATGAGAATTAGTCCAGACGCCGCTATAACACTTGGGTGATAAAGGGTTAAATCACCTTGTTCCTCATTGTGATGCTCATTGTGAACTTAAGCAGGTCATCTTAACCACACCTACACCTCAAAACTGAGCATGTGATTGCCTGATTAAATATGTTAATGTGTTCATGAAGAGGTGTGCCTAATATAGTGGCTGATGAGTGTAGTTGCTTTTAGAGTCCTACAATTGTTGCCCGAGAAGAATCAGAACGCGTCAACCAAAGTGAAACTCTATCACGTACGTTTTAAATGCCCCTCTTAGTCAGAAAAGAGTTAGAAAAAAATAAGACTGCTTATATGTACAGCTAATCAAATATGAATTCCTTTCATACTTCCTCACCCCTCCTCCTCTCCTCTGTCACTTGGAAAATCTCCAGGCACACTGGGCCTGCAGCTTGGCTGACCCTTAGTTCTCCCTCTCTTGGTTTCTCTCCAACACACACACAATAATACACACACACACACACACACACACACACACACACACACACACACACACACACACACAGGTACGCACTCAAAGTTACAAAATAGCACCCACCACATGGACCCTGACAGATGGCAGCTGGCAGCGCCGTACTTAAGCAAGCAAGAACAAGACATTTTTGGAAACTTCTCATCAACCGCCTTCAGAATAATCTAATAAAAATATACATTTTCACAATGCAGTAATTGGTTAGTTAAGATAAGATCTGCTGAAAAAGAAATTCCTTACATCATCCTCCTGTGTTCAAACTGATCTGACTTTTCTAACACAGAGCTGTTACGTTTCCTTTTTACCTTTACCGTCAGCTCCACCTGCTAGAGAAACAGCTCAAAGGAAGCTTTATGTGAAAGCTCTACTGGCTCTGTTCTGTGTAACGTTTATTTGTTTGTTTGATATTCTGGCGGTATGAAACGAAGAAGCGCAGATTCCCAGCAGTAAATCAAAAGCCTCAAACAAATATCAAACACTTCTAGGGGGGGCAAAAAGTCAGCTTTATAAAGACAAATTCCAATTAAGTTAAATCAACTTTATTTCAAAGACGTTTTTTAATGATTATCACCCATCCAGACTTCAAACACCGCTCAGTGAACTTCTTGAAAATTAATTAAAATCAGTCACATAGGACTTGTAACCGATTATTTTTATTGTGTAGAGGCACTGATAAGATATTGAAATTCAATGTGGTTCATGGTTGAGAAAACACTGTGGTAGATGGTCTGAATTCATAAGCAGATATATTTCGATGCTCTCTTTTTGAGCAAGAAGTAAACAGGTTTGGATGCAACAGAGATTCAAGAATTTTACTGCTTTCATTTACGTCTGAGTGAGTGAGTGAGTGAGTGAGTGAGTGAGTGAGTGAGTGAGTGAGTGAGTGAGTGAGTGAGTGAGTGAGTGAGTGAGTGTTTACCATTGTAACCAGCAGCATTCGTCTTCCAGTCAGGAGCGCTGAGGTGTCCGGCTCTAGAGGTTTTCACAATGATATGCTGAACGTCTCTCCATGATAGCAGAGGACTAGCAGAGGAAAACACAAATAAAAAGAAATAAAAAGATTTATTAACGAAAAAAAGAAGAAGAAACTTTGCTTAGCTGTCCTACACTACCGCTAAATATTTGAACTGCCTTCACAAAAGCAGGAAGTTATCCAGGAATGATAACGTTGATTAGACATTAAAAAAGGCAGAATGGAGATAAAGACAGACAGACAGATCTTTGTTGTGAGAGTTAACAATCAGACATCATCGTGGCGGGGAGGGGAGGAAGAGGCGGCCGTTGGCTAGATGAAAGGAACGTTGGGAAAAACAAATCCAGTACAAAAGGTGAAGCGGGTTAAAAAAAACAAAGCAGAAAGACGAAATGTAGGTAAAGAAAAATGAATATACAGTAGGTGGAAAATTACTGAGAGAGAAAATTACAGAGGGCGTAGATGGAGGGCGTAGATGCTTGTTCCATCTCTAGTTTCTTAGATCTCACGTGAGATCCATTACAGGATGGCAGCCATGTGTCTCAACTCCTTTGATGTCCAAATGTTACATTAAAGGAAAAAAAACCAGGAAGAAGTGGGTCACCAAGTTTCCTGGGATTCCCTTCCATCTCATATGCTGGCCAGATGCTCTGTTCTCTCCCCTCATGTCACTCCCTCACCATCTGAGACCTCCAGAATTTGCAATTCCCCAAAGCTTTTGACCTAAAACTATGATTTTAGGCTTTCAACCTCACATTTTAGTGTTAGAGCCTAACAAAATAGACCGATATCTGCCCCAATTTCGGGCAGATATAGACAGGAACGAGGCTTGTTGAGTTGCTAACATTAGAGGAGCTACCTGCGGTCTGTGAAACCTGCTGTACAGAGTTTTGTTTCACCGCCAACTGGCTATGCCTGTGATATATGCCTCCAAGGAGGAAAGCAACACTGATGGTAACCTGTGTTTGTCGCTAATGGCTTACTTATTAGAATGAATGCAAGATAGATTAACTCTTCCTAACGGTTTACCTCGTATACTTATTCATCCTGATAGTGCACCAATCAGGTCAGGCAAACAAAACATTGTGTAACAAACCAGCATAGCAAATAACCAGCAAATAAATAAATAAATAAATATAGATAAAAACAAAACAAAAAACAACCAAGCCACAGAGGAGGTGCTAGCGGCTGGTGCTGTGCGACTCAAATGTAAACAAATGACCCCACTGTAGCGCTTGCTAGCTGTGCTCCACATGACAGAAAGAGCAAACAGTGACAAACTGACGCTTGCTTGGTAAAGCAGGACTATAAGCAGTTCGTTAAAAAGCTCCAACATCCCAGGTAGAAAATGTTTGTGGGTTTTATTGTGTGACAATTTTGTTAGAAGTTTGAGCTACTTTAGTTATTGCTAATCATAAGTGTCATGCAGCTGTTTTCATTTCCATGTAAAAACACTACAGTAGACTGCTGCTGGCAGCTTGTTTCAATAGATTCACACTTTAAATGTTGAAGTGTGTCAGTGGTAACAGAAGCTCATTGATAAACATTACTCACATTTATAAAGTTACTGCCTACAAGCTAAAAGCATTGATAAAACATTCACTACATTTTTAAATATTCATTCAGAAATATTGTTACTGCTAATTTTCTTAAAATGTGATATAATTTGGGGGCCATATTGTCTACCCCCCTACCCCTATTGGAACCCCAAAAAACACAACAACCAGCTGATCCAAGCAGGGCAGAGCATAAACAAGAAAATAAAAAAAACTTTAAAAATAAAATACATGTGATGAATGTTTATGTTTCATGTGTCTCATCAGGAACAAAAAGATTTTTTAATATCCAATTTTTTTAAGTCTTAAAAATTCCACACTCGTCAGGTTCCAACTTGGACCCAAGCAAACCCTAGAATACTTACTTAAAAATAAATAAATAAAAAAAATCTTTTAAGAGCTTAGAAAAAAAATCTGTCCAGCATTTCTTTCTTTCAAAACGCTGATTTAATATAAAAGATGGACACAGTTTCTGGGTCTGATCAGTAAAACCAATGCAGAAACAAAATCTTTCTAGAAGGAAGTCTGAAGCTACGGCTTAGAAACGCCTTCAGAGACTTAGATGAGAAATTATTTGAAGCATCCTGTTTATGTTCAATTTCAAAAGTCGCCAAAAATGTATCTTTGTTTCTCCTCTGATACGTCGACTTCTACCTACATCTTTGCTGCTGAGGAATCCTCCCATAGATTTTAATTTCACATTCTTTGACTTTGAACGCCCCTCTAATAATGTCTCTAGTAGTAGCGCCTTAAACCTGCATTATTTATGATTGCCAGCAGAGGTTGAACCCCCTGATTGGTTAGCATCTTAGAAAATCTCCCCTCTGCCCCCTGTCATAAGAGCTCAATAAATAATCTCCTGATGGGTTAATGGGTCTTTATCATCATTTTTGTGTCTTATTTAATTCCAGTGTGATGTTTAGTTTGTGAATTATGGCCCAAATTGGAGTAAAGTAGGTGATAAATTATGTTGTGGTTTAGGGCAAGGCTCCGTCGGGATTGGCAAGTCTCTACTATATGAGCAGGAAGTGTCAATGAGCATCTCAGTCAGATCCACCCTTTAGAAAGCACGTTAGGCACAAAGCATCAAGATGGCGTTCAACTTCCTCAGCTCGAGGTCTTAAGACAGGACTTCACTAACCTACAGCTGACACCACGGAAAATATAATCAAATTCACTTAGTTATAAGAGTTTATAGTTTAAGCACTTTTTGCAGGACATGAGGACGATTAGACAAAAAAAGGAGATTTTACAACACATTTTCTCTTTTTTCCCCTTTTTAAATTTCTAATAAAATCCAGAGAAAAGAAATCCCCACAATGCCAAGAATGCAACAAGACATTTACAAGCTGTTACACATGCCCAAAACTCACTAATGCTCTCGATGAGGCCAGACTTGTAATTGTAGAACAGACCTAATGTCTTAAAATAAAGTCAAGTAAGAAATAAATAAGTGATGGCAGCACAAATAAGTCCAATGAAAAGTCAGAATAATTAATGGTCAGATCAATATTAATAGGCTTAGCTGCCAGTGTGTAATTATGGGTCCATAAATGTTTTATGGTCATTAATTAAAAGTGACTTTGGCATCGTTATCTAGGCCATGACTGCCTTCCCATAAACAAGCCAATACTAATTAATGGAACAGCTCACATGCTGGGGGAAACCAGCAGCAAATCAGACATCTAATATAGGTTTCTTGGTGCTTCTCTCAAGCGTAATTATGGCTGAAAACACACAGGGGCAATCTGAAGGGAGACAGCTAAAAGCACAGTGACAGAAGAACGAGAAGTGGGTGAAGCAAAACACTAAGACTCCATCTATTTTCTACTCTTACTTCAGTCCAGTGATACAGTTTTTCATGCCACTCTCTTTAATTTTAAATCTGAAAATGTAGGGGGGGGGGGGGGGACTGAAATCCATCTGTCCCTGTTTTGGTTTCTTAAAATCTCCCAGTAGATGAGGTTCATATGTCAGGCAGCTCATTCTCATTTCTTGTTCTTTCGTCAGTGAAGCCTTTGGTCTCCACGTTCACTCTCTCTAACGTTTCTCCATTTTAAGGACACAAAGCTTGCTTTAAAAAGCTTGCCGTGCTAAATCTAGCACTCACTGAAACATCTTAAACTTGGCAAAATCCACAGAGAACATCACATGGGGCAGTTTTCTGAAGTTTCCCATTCCAATCTTTGCTCATACCAACAAAGATTGCCTCAAAACGGAGATTGTAGTGAAGTCTAGCATAAGGGCATCTTGATGTGTTTATCACAGAGTTTGCTCGCCCTCATTCACCAGATAAGAGCCGATATGATCAGTACGAGACAGACTTTTTCTAAACAGTTTACCCTTTTCGTCTTTCATCCTATCCTTTTTGAATAAATAGGCATGGAGGGAAAAAAAAGATTTTGGAGGAGTAAGAACACAGAGCATTGTGACTATAGTAAAGGCAGAGAAAGTACCACAGAGACGACGTGAATGCCAGCAAAAGAAGAAAGCAGGCAGACAAGAAACAGTGTGTGATAATCTTGTTGAGGAAACAGGCTTATGTGTCCAGCACTGCCTGGAAACGGAGAATATTTTCTACAGGGAGGATTTGGATTGGATTATCCAGGTTAAACGAAGTGACCTCAGCTAACTGAGCCGCTCAACATGTGATGATGGGCCTAATTCAGAGTCTCTGCACCTGCACTGTTTCCAATTCATGAATGTATCACACACTGAGCCCCTCAACAGGTTTAAAGTGAGAACAGGCCAGCACAGAGCACCCAGGGCTTTGAGAAGACATGAACGCTTAACTGAAACCAACTGGGGGACAAAACAAAGAAAAACCTGTTTGTTCTTAATATCTGTCTCCTATTTTTCTCATTTCACTTCTTCACATTGGCACTTTAGTCAAATCTAAAAAGAAAATAAAAAGTCCCTGGGAAAAAGACGCCCAAAATGTCCTATCTGCTTGTTACAAATAGCTTAAAAATCCAGTAAATCTTTAGTGTTGACCTTATTCTGCCAAATTAATTTAGCTGGCACAGTTTGGGTCCACTTGACCTGTTATGGCTCGGTCACACTAGTAGAATGAGATTGGATGTAAGTGTGTGGTTGCAATCACTCTCACACAGGTCGACAAAGGTTTGCAAATAACTATTGTCTAATTTATTTTTTAACAAAAGTGTGCTAACATGCTAACATGCTGAGTGTGTTGTCTGCTTCTAATTGTGGACTCAATTCAACTGGTTGCCAACTGCTTGTATTCTTTATATACTTGGATATAAAAAGCTGAAGGTTGCTAAGCACCTGTATCATTCTGCAGCAGCTGCGTCACTATTTGTGGAGGAATTTCTAAATTTTTGCTTCACATCTGTGGGCTTTGAACTGGGCTCTGAATGCAAGTAGTTTATGTGAATGCCTGTGTATGCAGACACAAAGAGATGTTTACCTTATCATGGTTAAATCTCTATATTATTGCAAAAAGAAAAAAAAATGCAGATAACGCGACACAAACTGACAGCAGACTGATTGTCTTATTGCCGTTTGGTCACCTTCACTATCACACACCAGCGTAGTCACAGACCTGGTCCCCATCTTCAAAGCAACCGTTTCAAAAGCAGCGAGATCCAAGTTTGCTGCACACTGTTGCAAAAATTTTGGTTGTGCTGCCATCTCACTGTTAATGTAGCATTAGGGAGAGGTCATTACAAATACAAAGTTGTTTACAGTGATAACGCCTCCATCAACAGGGCACGAGGGGGTGACCGAACACACCAGCTCTCCAGATTTAAACCTGAAGGGGAGATTTTAAACCAATGTGTTTGGCAGCACTCTTCTAATGAGGGAATGTGCTCATCCATCCAGCAGAATCAATGCCAAGGTCTACTGGATTTTCTTTTAATTTGTCACATATCTGTGGATGTTCAACGTAAATTTCTGACAGTCAAACAGGCTTTACAGCAGCTAACAAGCATCCTGTATTCATGCATTTTTTTTCACCACAACGCACACTCACAAATATGCTGAGCTTAAAGTGCAGAAGCAGCAAATGTGAATGCATCACTGAACGGATGAAAGTTTATTGCACATTCAAAAACAGGCACACGCGTTTTTTTCTGGCCCACCATCCAACAGTAAGTTTACACGTCACTAGATGTGCCGCTGAAACTGAAAACAAGCAGATGATCTGTTATCCAGTATGACCTCATCTTGTAAAACTCTTTACAGCTTCACAAATGTGGGCTGATAAAAAGAAAGACAGCATTTCCGTGTAATTAAATGCATCTGTCCTGCTGACTCTGACAAAAAAAAAAACAAAGAAAAAAAAAGAAGAGAGCAACTTCACGTGCCTTTTACACACCAAAACAGGCCAGAGGACAAGAAGGCATTAGAAGGTGAGCACAGGGCAAAGGGATGAAGTGAAAGGATGAGGTTAAGTGGATCTTACTTTGCCTCCAGGGCCAAAGCAATTATCGCAGCAGCCATGGGAGCTGAGGCTGACGTCCCTGTGTGACTGTCTGTACACCGATGCCTCAGGTCTGTTGTGATCTGTGGAAAGAGAAGTGAAGGGAGTCAGAGGCAACAAAGAGACAGGCGCAGGATGATGAATCAACGTCAAAGATGATAAAAGAGAGGATGAGGAATCAGAAAGCCGTAAGCAAACAATGAAGGAAACCATGAGAAGGGCATTACAGAGGTGGAGGAAAGGAATCAACAATGACAGTACCGGGAAGACCAGAGGGAGAAAAAGACGGGAAGAGATTGAAGTCATGAGGATCAGCAGGATTTAGACACACCTGAAACTCTTTAAACTACCATTCCAGCTTTGATACGCTGCCTTTCTATAGATAACGCACACACACACACACACACACTCAACACGCAAGCACACAAAATCACCAGATTCACAGGGAATAAGTTTAGTGTTAAAGAAGAAAGGAAAACACTGTAAGAAGTATAAAGTAGCATAAAAACGTGTTATTAAAAAGCTGCATGTTCCCTTTGATTGTATGGACTTTAAGCAGCGAACTAGTCAGACAGCTTGACAGTCAGTTAGCCAAGGAAAGCCTGGCTAACTTCCAGTCTTAGCCCTCATCAAAGGACCTTTTCTGGACTGAAAAGTTTGGGGGATTATCTGAAGAGACACACACACATATACACGAGAACAGAAAGTGGTTCAATAGTATTAGAGTCGACAGTATGTGCCCAAGTAGATATGCTGACACTCATATATCAAATATATGAAGTTCTACTGTGAACAAAGAGTACACAGCCAGCGATAAATCATACACAGCATGCGTGTTCAGGGGTGTGTGTGTGTGTGTGTGTGTGTGTGTGTGTGTGTGTGTGTGTGTGTGTGTGTGTGTGTAGTAGCATCAGTATGAGGAATGCAACAAGACGCTGCCAGACAAGCCAACTCGAAGAGGCCAACAGGCACTGCTCATCCCAGCAGGTCAGCGGGACTGATGTGGTTGATCTGAGTTAAACAAGGCTACAAAACTGGACCTACAAGCACACACGAGGCCAGGTTCATGTCAGTTTTTATCATGCTGCACCATACCTCCATCCATCCATCATTTAACTCTGTTAAAGGGGCAGCATTAAAGGCAGAGAAGCCTAAACCTCTCTTTCCCCATCCACCTCCTTCAGCTCTTTTGGGAGAAACAGATGTGTTCCCAAGCTAGCTGAGAGAAATAACATCTGCAGCATGTCCTGGGCCCACCCTGGAGTCTCCTACCAGCAGGTCATGCCTGGAAATACTTCACCTGGGAGGTGCACAGGAGCCATGCTGTATGCTTATTTGAAATTATACTATACTGGGTTTTCCTCCATCTATCCAGCCATCCATGGCAGCAGACTGAGCAAAAGAGAAGGGGAAGACCAAAGCATTCCCAGGCCAGTCAAGATACATAATCCCTCCAGCATGTCCTGGGTCTACCCCAGTGCCTCTTCCTGGTAGGACATACCCAGAACACATCACCCAGGAGGCATCCTAGCCAGACGCTTACATCACCTAAACTGGATCATTTGGATGTGGACAAATAAATGTATGGTGTTTGGTGCGTAACTGAAATCATCAGTCATCACCCATTGGTGCTTATTTTCCTTCACTCAGCACTTACAATCTTTCGGTCGTAGTTCTCCCCGCTGCTGTAAGTGGTGGTCAGTGTAGACGAGCACTCCTCCAGATACCAGGGCTTGCGTCCGCTCTCAGCCGTGCTGGAGATGGAGATGGTGTAGATGGAATTGGTGTAGCCGTCACAGGAGCAGTGGTCTCTGCTGCGCCCGCCGTTTCCTGAAGCCCATACAAAGATGGAGCCGCGGCCCTTTCTCCCCTGACAGGAGAAGAAACAAGAGAAGGTTTTTATTAAAAGACTTCAAATTGTCTTTGTACTTGGAGGCAGTTGCTGCCCGCTAGACCTTTGGCTTTATTTTAAAATGATCTTTTAATGTATTTTAAAAATGAAAGCGATAGATTGAAGAATTGCTTGAAGAAAAAAGAAAAAACAAATCTTTACCAGCAACAGCAAAAGAGCAGAAAAAGATCAGAGAGAAGCCAGACATATTAAAGTCCTCAACGATCTTGTGGGTGTCTGGCAACAGAACTGATGTTATCTGATCCAAGTTTAGTAATCATAATGTTTTAACTGGCCAAATACTGTGGATGTGTGTGCCTGCCTCCACCTAAAAAAAGAAAAAAAGATGTTGGCAATGCTTGGAGCCATGCTGTGTAAGTGAGGGTTTTTAGGATCTTGGACTGAGCGAGGTTCACTTCTGTCTTGTCACGTCACTGCAGCAGAGCATGCAGCATCGTTTACTGACTGACAGACGTTACTGGAAACTATTACGTTCGTTTTAAATTGCAATAATTGAGCTACAGGAAATTACATTAAAAAGATGCACGCTTTCCTGAACTGTACATTGCATTGTATGACGTCTGAAGTCTGACTACACTTCATTAGTAAAAACTATAAACTTAAATTTGTCAAATACTTTGTATGATTAAAAGGAATTGCATATCAACAGTAACTCAGGCTCTTCAATTCCCTTAATTCCACATTTTCTACCCTTCAACTCCGTTTTTGTTGCTTCTTGTTACTTTTTTTTTTTTTTTTTTTACGCACCGTCTTTCCCCTCTACTCAACATTTCCATTTTGTTACATCCTAGAGAAAGATACTGTGTTTTGCTTAGTATTCTGTGGCTTTTCTTTGAAATTGCCACGTAAACATCAAAGCAGTCACATTATAATGTGAAAAGAAAGCACTGAACAAATACAGACGACAGATCACGGGCATTGCTTGGCAGAAAGGAAGCCTTCACGACTTCAAGATGGGAAGTTTTTTATGTGCATGTTTTCCAGATTTTAGGCCCTGGTTACATGGGCGTAGAGAGACCGCCTCAACCATCTGAAAACAACCGGTTATAAGTAAACTGCATTCTTCGACTGACTGGTCAGTGGGTGCTGGAGGTTGCTGCCAGTGGCTGTGAAATCAGCTCCCGAAGCCCGAGCCATGCAGGCAAGTCAGAGACCTGTCAGTTCCTCCCTCCCTGCCAACCACTGATCGCTAAAGCAAAGTATGCATCCACTGCAGCACCGTATACCTCTTTGTGACGAATTTTATTCAGCAACTGCTAGCAGCCATTCATCAGCCAGTAAGGAAATACTTTTTTCCCCTATGTGACCAGAGTTTGCCACAGGACATAAACATAACACAAACCGAAAATACAAATCTTGGTGTTCAGAACATTTAAAAAAACAACAACAAACAAACAAAAAAAAAAATCCCAGTCGTATTCAGAAAATCTTCCTAATGGAGAGCCCATGTTAAGGGTGAGCCTCACACTCACATTAATACAATTTTGCCTCAGTTTTTTCTTTTACCATTTCAGTTAGAAGGTATACTTCCACATTTGTTCAAACTAATTTTGATCTACACCGCGAACCCAGCGGAGACACGCTGAGGATGTCACAGTCAAAGTTCACCCAGGAGTCAGCAGAAGAGATCTCTGACAAACACACGGGTGCTAAAATTCACAACGTTTGTCAAGACACACTCGCACAATATGCGCACTAACACACACAGACACACACAGACATAGAGCCAGGAATAAAAGGTAGAATGGAGTTCTTCAAAAGGGGGCTTCTGTCAGGCAGCGATAAGCGAGCGAAGCCCTCTGTGAAGGGAGGGTATCAGACAGGAGCAAATGCTGACAGATGAGAGGGACGGAGAGCGCTTTGAAGAGCAGTTATGAAAAGAAAGAAGGGGACAAAGAAGAAGAGAGGACGATGAAGGAGAGGAGAGAGGCGATACACGGGATAAACAGCATTCATTAGCAGCTGAGAAAAATAAAAAAGCAATACCTCCACAAATAACCTTCATTAAAAGTTCTATTCATTAAAAAAATAACTGATCAAGTCAAATTAAAACAGCACTTCAGAAAACTATTGAAAAAAAAAAAAATCTGCAAATGTGTTAATGGGATTTCCCTCTTACAAAATATACACAGGCAGTCTGATTAACACCTAAAACAACAATTCCCATTCAAACAATCGCATTTAAACTGGGACAAGCCAGGGTATCTCCCCACAGCTGTCAGTGTTATTTCTAACACCTTGGCTCTCTGTGATAAACTGCCACTTCAAGATATGCACAAGTACTTGTTACACTCACAAACATGCCATTTCCAGTCAGGCTCAAACGGTTGGTGGGCATGCAAGGACACACGTGCCCTACCCATACCAGTGGGACAGATATCCCCCTCACTTCACCTCATGTTAAAGGCCAGCCTGTCATCAACAGGCTGGCCTGTTCTTCTAACACTCACAGCCTGTTCCATCACTCTTTTCCTTCTCTCCCTTCCTTCCTGTTTTGCGACAGGAGCCTTTCGTTCTCATCTTCTAGAGTCAAGTCTGAAAAAGGTCCATATAACTGCTGACCAGCCCCACCGATTCCCCTCCCTCCCTGGATCACCCCTCAAAAGGTCAACATCTGCTTGCCCAGAATGGAAACAGCCACCTAAAGTAAACTTTTAATGTTAATGAGCACATTTGTGAGACATAACCAGTAAATGACTTCACCCCACTTAACCTCTGATATTGCTTTTTCGCTCCACTCAGCCGACATCACAACACTAGCTTGCAGTTATGCAAAACAGGCTATGAATATGTAAATGAATATATGCTAATAGAGCAGAGCTGCTCTCTAATGTCCGGAGGAGCTTCACAGGTAGAGATAGCCTGGAAGCAGCTTAGACTACAATTATATTAGCGTGAAATGCACATCTGCTTTGAGTGTGTCTTTGTGTGTGTGTTTACATCTTTTCTTGCCACATGAATACTAATGCCAAAGTCCTGTTTAAACAATGAATCACATGTTTACTTGTTTCTACATGTATACGAGAGTCCATGTGTACGTGTACCCACCGTGCGGATGCCATTGTCAAAGGCCTGCCTGGCCAGAGTTGCTGGTCCATCCACGGTCTTTCCGTCATCATCGGGTCCCCAGCTGGCACTATAGATGTCGATGTGCTGTGGGTTCAAGCTAAGAGATCTGGCCTCCACCATGTCCGTTACATCTCCATCCAGCATTCGCACACCTGATGCATAAACACAGAAATAAAGCATGCATTTGATCAAGTTAGATCAATATCTCAAGAATCTACAGAATAAGCTATAATAATAAGAAGAAGAAGAAAAAATAAAAAGTAAAAAGTTTGTAAAACCTCTATAATTTCAAGCATCTATGGAATTACTGCTCATAACACGTAGCCTGATTCTGTTTCAACAAACAACTGGTGAAAAAACAAAACTAATAACAGAAAAATAGCTGAACCTTCATTCAACACACCGATTACCGTAGTTTTCGGGTCATAAGCCGCTACTTTTTCCCCCACACTGTGGCTTATACTGACATGCGGCTAATGCATTTTTTTTTCATGCGGCCAAAAACATTTTGCCTGGTAACAGTAGACCAATAAAATTGATAAGTAGTATATATACGGTATATATTTTTACGGGTTGTTAAGAGACGTAATGTTGTGTGTGCACTGTTCCGTAAAAAAACCATAAGCAATGTAATTTGTGTGTTACCGATACGTACGTATACTTAAAGGTAGCCGTGTTACGGGCGCTGTTCGAGGAAAAAAAAGCATTTGCAGTATGTATTTTGTATGTTACCATAACGTTTATGTTACCTTACGGATTAAATTAAACGTTAAAAATCCTCACGTATAATATTTCTGTGTAAGTATCTCATATTACAAGTGAAACGCATACGGCTTAAAATCCGGTGCGACCTGTACAAGTACAAAATTGATTTTCTTTCTAAAATTAGAGCATGCGGCTTTTAATCAGGTGCGCTCTGTAGTCCGGGATTTACGGTAATTACAGTTCAGGCTCTCAATCTGATGTGAACTCGAGTTATATCCTCTTTCAGCAACATCCTCCATGAAATAATTATTGGGGCTGCTTCTTTATACAACTTTGAATTCTTTATTCCCTCAGTGATTTTTAAGGCATCCAAGAGATTAAATGCAAAGCAGCCCAAAACAATGATGCTCCCTCCACCATGCTTCACTGTGCGTTTGGTGTGCACAGTCAAAAGCTGAATAGGTCAAAGTTTTCTGGAACATCCAGTGTTTAAAAACAAGACATGATTCAGTGTTTTTGTTTTTATTTTTAAGAGCAGCTGACTCGAAATGGCTTATATGGCATAGAGGTGTTAAATGAGGCATGTTGAGCACAACGATTCATGTGTCACTAGTTGGTCATACTGTGTTCATCTATAATTGTAACTTGAAGGAAGATATTTTTTTAATGCAACATTAAAAATATTTGAAAATGTCATTAATAACATTTTTAAAGAATTAGGAGACACATATGTACAGCACATTTGTGCTACGATGTCCTTTGATGTCTAATGACATTTCAGTTGTCGGGTTTATAATGAATATAAACAGAAGCAGCTAATCTGTCGGTGAGATTATGATGTGCATGAGATATAAAAAAAAAAACCCTAACATTTAGGGTGAGCCAGTAACTCTGCATAGGTTAATGACATTCACAAAAGCAGTGAAACCAGAAGAGACAAAGTTCAGCAGTGGCAGTTCTCTTCAGCATCCTTTGAAATGCATTAAAGGTTCTTAACTCTTAATGACACTAATAAATCCTTATGATGTAGGTCTCTGCTGAAAGAGATGTCATGTCAAACATTGTTGATAAAGTGCAAATATAACATATCGCTCACCTCCTATTCTGGCATTGTAGGCAATTCCCACAATGCAGTGGGAGTTGTTTGCAGCTGCAGCAACTTCACCCGCACACCGTGTGCCGTGTCTGGGGAAAGAGTGGGAATGAAGAAGCTTATTACAAAAATCTAAACACACACACACACACACACACACACACACACACACACACACACACACACAGATCATGTAACTGAGCTGGAGAATGTCCCAGATGAGTAAATATATACACAAGCAGAATCACACACGCAAACCACCACATAAACATGCTGCATCTGAAGGGGAATCGACAGACGTGTAACCGTGCTTTTTCATGGACAAATATGTACATTTCTGCTGAAGTCATCAAACTATACGCTTGAAGTGTACAAATGTAAGAAACGCTACAAATATTTCTGCAATTCTTGTTTTTTCTTTTCCCTGACAGAGGATGAAAGAGTAGGTACTTCATCATTTGTAATACTATCAGGACAAATGTTTGGAGTAGTCAATGTCAATGCTCCCCAAATGCACACGCGCGCACACACACACACACACACAGGTCCTTTTGTGATATTTTCTGAGCACAGCATGCAAGTAATGTGCTCCCTACGAGCACACAGGAAATAAATGAAAAAAAAACTAGTATGTTAGACTGCTCACACTTCCTTTGACAGTTAAAAATACACACATGTACACACAAAAACACACACCAGGGTAACATTCCACAAGCAACTGCAGTGGTGACAATCGGCCCAGGCCAGGGACCAGCGTAAACAAACATGGCATGTTTGCGTCCGCCGCCTGCTCAAAAAACACCACTTTCTGGATCGACACAAACACACTCACACACGCATTCACCTCCTGCAGAGAACATCTGCATCATCCCGCCTCCCCCTTGTCCCGGAAACAGCTCTGACCGTTGCCACGGAAACCCAGCATCTAGCTATCATGAACACCCCCCGACCCCAGGGGAGTCAGAGCAAAGTTTGCTCCACAGATACACGATAGACTCAAATTATCTGTAATCACTGTCCTCACTTAACTAAGGTGCTGTGTTTCTGCTACTATTAATCTAAATAAATTTAAAAAAAGAAATACTTATAAGCAGAAAATCTAAATTGCTTCAACATCAAAGATTTCCAAACTTTTGGGGTCACAGTTTTCTCCCCACTGGGGGGCCACTTTCCCAATTTACAACCTCATAAACCTAACACTGGTAGGGCGAATGCCTATTTTCACATTAGAAGCGACTGGAGCCATTTCAATTTTAAATGTTTTCAGACTAAACACTTCAGATGTATGCGCTGTGATGTGTTACAATGATGTCAGAGTTTCTGCTCGTACAAAGACAAAATGGGTGAGAGTAAAGAACACACTATGCTGGCTTTGTTGCTGTAAATGGTTCCAATTTGCAGATTTGCACTTGAAAACAGAGCGCAATCCTTTACAGGAAATTATTTTGGGGACCCCTTTGCCAATAGTCATAGTAATGCTCAAATTTTAAGCATTATGTTTTACATGATAGGCTGTTTATCAAACCATTACCACTTGACAAAGCAACTTTAACATGACCTTTGTGTCACGCACTGGATCTTTTGATTTATGCTCAATTTAATCCAGCCTAGATATTAAATTAGGAGCTCATCGTGGACTACAGGAGGAATGCTGACCCACATCCACCCATCCACATTAAGGGGACGGCTGTGGAGCGTGTGAGCAGCTTCAAGTTCCTGGGAGTCCACATCTCCGAGGATCTCACCTGGACGACCAACTGCTCCAAGCTGGTCAAGAAGGCTCACCAGCGCCTCTTCTTCTTGAGGACTCTGAGGAAGAACCACCTGTCCTCAGACATCCTGGTGAACTTCTATCGCTGCACCATCGAGAGCATCCTGACCAACTGTATAACAGTCTGGTACGGGAACTGCTCTGCCTCGGACCGGAAGGCGTTGCAGAGGGTCGTGAAAACTGCCCAGCGCATCGCCGGAGCACCACTTCCTGCCATAAAAGACATCTACAGGAAGCGGTGTCTGAAAAGGGCTGGGAAAATCATCAAAGACCCCAGTCACCCATCACATGGACTCTTCACCCTCCTGCCCTCTGGGAGGCGCCACAGGAGCCTCCGGACTAAGACCACCAGGTACCGGAACAGCTTCTTCCCCACAGCTGTCAGATTCCTGAACTCTGCCTCCTGACATCTGACCCACGTTAAACTCATGGACTGAACATACACACACCCACAATGGACAACTGTACCCTCAAACACAATAATAACATGGACTGAACCACCACTCACAACCACTAGCACTTTATATAGCCTCTGTAGGAATTATATCTCACTTATCTTAACTGTACTACTGTATAGCTCTGTGTAAATAATCATTCTGTACATTCGATAATTTTTAATCCTACAACTGTTTACAACTTGCATAGTTCCCATTTCTGTATAGCTGTATATCTCAGATTCTGTAAAGTTATTTATTTCATATTCTGTATAGTTTTTCATATTTATATCCTGTTCATAGCCTGTACATAGCTTGTACTCACTACAGCCTGTACATACTTATAGTTATAGAATATTCACAACATACTTCATACCGTGTACATTATAACATACCATAATAGACCCATTTCTGTAATATACTCACATATCTATATTATTGCTAATATATATTGTAATATATCTATATCACTAAAGCACTTCTGGATGGATGCAAACTGCATTTCGTTGCCCTGTACCTGTGCATGTGCAATGACAATAAAGTTGAATTCTATTCTATTCTATTCTATTCTAAATGCATATGCCATATGTAAAGGTCTGGTAACCTTCAGATTCTGTGTCCATGACACAGTGAAGTTAACACAAATGCAGCTGTGAGGGTTAAAGTATAACACATCAAATAGCTGCACATCAGTGATAGGCCTCTTTATCAAAGTTAATGAGCCAAGCTGCTGGCTCCTTCTTTCAAAATGCTTCAACAGTCCCAGCCCACTCAGTTCACTTCACTCCAGTAATCCATAAAATCGTCCGTGTGGCCGTCTCTCCAGTCTTTGTTTGCCTGTATTTTCCATTTTTTGCACATCTGTGTCACAGCCACTCGGGGTCTCTTAGTTCACTTAGAACTATGTATTTGTGCAATGAATGACTCTAAATGGGGCTGTTTCAAAAGAAGACAGAGTTTAAACTTTTTAACTTTGTAAAAAAAATTTAAAAGGGTAAAGCCATCAGATTTTGTTTTTGTTGCTTTTGGCCCCAGTGCAAAGTATTCTTGTTGGTTCTTTATGAATTAGGCTCAATATAATCTCTAATTTTTTTGTTTTTTATATTTCTTGGGATTGTTTCACCCCAATCCATCTGAATATTATTACTAAATCTTACATTTTCAAGTCACTTTGTCAAACAGAGTCGTACTGTTGTATAAATAGTGGTAACATCAAACCCAGCAAATGGGGATCCTAAAAACCTATGATCCTAATTGTAGGTTAATGAATAGGTTAAACAGAAAGAAAAATATTGTCCTATAAAATTTTACCTCCTTAACCTAATCCACAGTGTGTAAAACCACTCGATGTCAATACACTCATAGATTGTAATCAACTTAGAACTGTTTTCTTACCCCTCCCAATTCCAGTGTGTAATCCTACCTATGGTGGGACCACAGTAGGACAAACAACTCCGGCCACCATCTGTAGTGAGTGTAAGCTGTCAGTCTGCTTTTTAACTCAGCCATCAATATGTGCTCATGTTCAATTACTCAAAAAGCCTCCAAAGTTAATTTGTGAAATTAGTCTGAAATAACTCGATAAATCCGTGAATCCTTCTTCCGTCTGATGACAGCAATGCTAAGGTGAGTTGTTGTCGATTTCCAAACTTTTTGTCGGTACATGCAGCTGTTTTTGCTGCCGTTAGCCGCTGTTAGCTGTTAACCCAACATTGCTAGACTCACAGACACTTAGCTGGAGTTACGTTGGCTTATAACCAGCTGTTGTTATTAATTAGTGGCTTTTGTGAGCCATCTTGAGATTGTGAGGGACGCATGTCTAATGTACTGACAACAAATAATTGCAACAATATCTGGAAAAAAATGAGCATTTTTAATGCAGGTTGTTGTGTATCATAGAGCTCCGACTTTAGTACAATAGGTGAGGCTTGAAGATAATGGAGAGGATAAAATTTTATTATTGGATTGTCTCTTTGCGCTTTTGCTTTTTTGGAGAGGTGGACCCTTTCTCAGATGATAAAATATGTGAATGACCCTTTATATCTCGAGTCTGAAGGTCAGACACTAATTAAGTTTTGCTGGGAAGCCCCACGTGCACCTACAGTTTCTCTTCTCCTCCCAATTTGGCATTCTCAGCCACTGTATTCAAGATGAAGGGGCAACATGGTGGCTTCCACAAACTGACGCCCATTCCTATATATTTTTCATGGATTAATTCTAAGATTATGAGAATGCATCAGTTTGTAATTTCACACTAACTAATCAAAAAATTACAGACTGTACCTTTAAGAGCATCTAGGCTGATGCGATTTTGATATTTTTTCCCCCATTTTTGTCAAATTATATTTCAATAAACTGTTGGTAATATGCACTTTCACTGTTAAATAAATAAATGATCCAAAGACAATACTTCAGAGAGGAAGAAGGAGACTAATATAGTGATAATGCAGTTGTTTATCCCCTCCTGCTTGCTGCTTATACACATAGACATCATAAATCCACAAGCATTATGTAACTGCTGACAATAATCTTCATTTTGATCCCAGATGTAGTTAAATTTAGCTTATCCCTTTACATAGCTAACAGATTACGTGCCTCATGTATTCAGATAAAATTATCTGCAGAAAATCATCATATAGAGAATGATAAACTCAAAAAACAAAAATAAACCAGATTTCTGTTCCACATGCTTCACAGTCAAATATAAATCCAAACCCAAACAGAAACCAGCTCGTTAAGCTGCATCGTGGCCCTCATGTCTCTTTAAGACAACGTATTACCAGCAGGGACTGAGCCATTGCCACGGCACTTGAGCTGCTGTGCCAAATACACATACACACACACCCAAAAATCACTCACTGAGCCAAACTGGCACAAGACAAGTGCACAGGCAAGCGAGTTCCAAATTACTTCTTCATTCTCAGCTGACTGCAGGTTTCCCCCGACCTTATAGACAGTACATTTGCATAATGACTGAAACTAGCACCACTGAATGAACAATGGGCTCTGAGGTAAGTTTCTGAATCATTAATATGTAAACTGTCATGACCATTGACCAACAACCACTGATCAAAGCTCATTGATCATTGATCAGTGACCATGAGTACCGTTCACAGAGAGTTGGGGAATGGCTGCAATCACAGCATTGTAATAGGGCGAAAGATGTACCCTTAGGCCCCCTCCTCGATTCAGAGATGGTCTTTCCCTCTTCTTTGTAAATGGACTCTTTGACTCCCCGCTCAAACCAGCCTTCCTCCCTGTTCAAGATGTGTACATCCTTATCATTGAAAGTGTCCACTGGCCTGTAGGTGTTAATAGACTGCCGAGTCCTGGCCTGATGAGTTAGCTCTTCTGTATTGAGCCATCTGCTTCATCAGAGGTTGTTTGGTTTCCCCGATACACCACACTACTCTGTTTGTGTCGGGGGACCAGATCCTTGATGCGGACAAATTTTTAAAACAGTGTGTTTTGGTGTTTGAAAGCCAAAGATATGCATTGTTTAGAGAAAATGTTTCTCGACAGTCCCGATACTCCTGAAACATATGGGATCACCATTTTTGCCGAGGCAACAGTTGTCCTTCTTCTCTCCTGGATCGGCTGGAGAGAAGAAAGAAAGCTTTCTTCAGGTGCCTTCCCAGCTTTGACAAATGTCCAGCTGGGATAACAACATTTACTCAGGGCCTTCTTGATGTGATGTTCTTCTGCTTTGCTGGCCGCTGTATCTGTAGGGCTGGTGGTCGCTCTGTATTGTACCGTCCTGAGGACACCCAGTTTGTGCTCCAGTGATGAGAGTCGAACCTTAAATACTGATCCATATGCGTAGGTTTACAGTACACAGCAACATTTAAATGTCCCCCATTACTGATGGAAATCTCACAGCTAAGAAGGCTAAACTGTCATAAATCACATCCTCCCTGGTGAACTTAATGCGATCAGTGGTTGTTGATCAACGGTCATGACAACTTGCATGTTAATGACGCAGAAACTGACCTCACAGCCCATTGTTTGTCAGTGGTGCTAGTTTTAGTCATTATGCTAATGTACCTTTTATAAGACTAAGAGGAAACTGCAGTCAGCTGAGACTGAAGAAGTCACTTGGATGAGCGACGTTTCTCCCACTGAAAAAGCAACGTCCAGATGAACAGAATCAACTCTTTGGGATTTCCTTACCTGACTGATTGAGCATGCATCAAGACAAATATGCTAATATAACTCACTGCACCACAACAGAGTCAGGACTCAGCAAATACAAACATATTGAAGCACAGAGCTTGTTTTAGAAATCAATGAAGGGAAAAAAAAATTATCCTGAAGAGCTTTTGGCAAAAACAAAACAGTGAAGCCACATGCTTATTTTCTAAAAACCCTGTTACAGTTAAAATTTAATTTCTTGCTCTCTCTGTTATGGGGTAGATTTCCTTATTTATTTTCCTTACTTGTTCTCGTTGGTCGCATCATATCGAGGCATGGGATCCACATCGTTGCTGTTGACATCATAGCTTGCCTGAGGGTCCTGGAGGAGACATTGAGGTCAACACAAGTATAACAAAACATCATCTCACACACACACACACACACACACACACACACACACACACACACACACACACACACACACACAAAAATATCAAGCAAACAAGTGAATTCATTAGTAGAGTAGGTCCAACACTCTCTGTGAGTGTGTGTGTATAACTGGCTTGTAGATCGCCAAAAAGCTTCTCTAACCCAATCGAAGAGTTCACATCAACATGACTCACAACAGTTTTGTAAATCGAATGCAATCAGAGCTAACCCAATCTGCGGCACCACTGGCCCTTCGGCATAAACAAATCTAAGCATTAAGAGTAGCTAATAACAGCAGCGCAAAGAGGGTGTGAATCATTTCATCTGCGCAGCTGATTGATGGCTTTACCTGCTGCCTCAGGCCAACAAGTTAGTTCAACTATCAGTTCTCGGTCGTAGGTAGACATACCTCAGCACGCACACACACTAAAGTATGAGCCCACAGAGAGATAAACATGTACACACAGCATAACTGCACATCTGCAAGTTTAAGGAAGTTTTTCTCTGGAATTTAATTGCAGACACATGATGGGCTGATGATCCAAATGGCAGCAAATATCACTACCTAGGTCATCACATGACTGCTGTCTTCTGGAACACGACTTGGTTACATGGTAAAGAGAAACAGTGTGATTACAAAGCAGAATTTGTATTATTAAAATCACAATTATAATTGTCAGATTTTTATTTTTGTTTTCTCCACATTTACATAACTAGAAAAAGTTGCATTTCCTGCAAAAATGCAGTGTGAATGCTGTGAAGTGAAATCTAAAAACAGCAGAAGAAGGAGAACCATCTGCTGAAAACACTGTGTAGAAGCTCAACTCTTTGCTGAAAACTGCTGTATTTGAAAGGGTATACTGAACAGTGTCAATAAAGCGTACATGCAAGCGGGGAAGATGTGCGGCAACCGCCACAGGTAGGATTCGAACCACGGCAGCTGCTCATCCCACTGAGCCAAGCCAGTTCTGGTCACAAAGAAAGATATGATGAGAGGCAAAATGTACACTGTGCAGAAGAAGCTGAATTGTGCTGAAAAGAGTGGAAAATCTAAACTTTCTGCTGAAAAAAGCTGAAAAGAGGTGAAGAAGCTGTAGTTTCTTCTGAAAACAGCTGAAGAATCTGGAATTTGTGCTGAAAAGAGGTGAAAAAACTGAAAATTCTGCTGAAAAGGGGTGAAGAAGCTGAAATTTGTGTTGAAAAGAGTTAAAAAGGTTGAACTTTTAACTGAAAAATTATTGCCATAAGGGGGATTCGAACCCAGACCTCCCGCTCTGAGAATGGCTGCTCATCTCACTGAGCCAAAACACAGGTGACCCCGGCAAGCAATATCAGTGACCACACTGGTCATGTGGTCCCAGTCATCTCAATGGGACAAAATATGGCATAAAAAGCTTAATATTTCAAAAAGTATAAAAGTTCTGAGCACCAAAAGATATAGCAGTCATTAGCAGAAAGAGCAGAACAGGTTAAAATTTGAATGGTGAAAATTGGATGAAAACTGAGGGAGTAGTTAAGCGGAAACGGAGCAACTAGAATAATAAAGGATAAAGAATAAAGAGAAACAGGATCACAATAGTGTGGCACTGCATTGCTATGTATTAATCAGTGCACTGTGTTGTATATGTGACTTGTTAATCCTGAATGAGGCAGACTCATAGCCATTCATGCAAACACATGCAGGGGCATTTACATTTGAACTCATACACTTCCTCACTTGTCACACACCGACTCAAAGCCAATATGCGCACACACTGCCACTCATAGCCGCCCTACACGCGCATACATACACACTCACGTAGTTCTGATAGAGGTCTGGGTGGTTCCTCTCGATCCCGTCATCTAATATGGTCACCACCACATCTTTACCCGTGTAGCCCCTCTTCCACGCTCCCATGATGTTCATATCCGACTGGCAATTATGGACGTCATCGTTGCAGTGCTGCAGAGATGGAAGCAGATGGTGAGAAGAGAGCAGGTGGGGATAAACATATGAGGTGGGAGTTTAGGAACTCCGTCATGTTCTTGCAGATGTTCAGCTAGGAGTTACAAGTTATGAGCGTACTCATGTCACTTTCTTTCAACTTGGAGCAAGCAGGAGAGTTCTGATTTTACTTAGAGGGGAACGATTTCACTTCAACAACTCCAATCGAGTTAAAGCCCAGCGTTTTTGAAAAATACCTCACACAGTGCGTTTCAACCATTAGAAACAGACTCCAACTGCAACTACACACTGATCACCAACCAGTCATTACTTGCTGCCATTCAAGACCTGCATGATGTCATTGGGAATAGGGTGCCAAGAATAGGGATGGGAATCCAGAACCAGTTCCAACTGAGAACCTTTTCCAAATTGTCCAAATCACCGGAATCATCTGCCTCCAGGCTTACTAATTCCCTTTGTCAATGCTGGCATGCTCTCTGACAGTGGAAAAGAAAAAAAAACAATGACGTCAACTTCATGACAGAGAGGAGCTTCTGCACACCTGAAAGTTGAGTCTTTTTTTGTTCCGTTTCAAAACTGTGTTTAAACTCAAAGATAAACAGTTTTGCTCATGGCGAATACCTGTGTGGGCCTATTTTTTCCCCACCCGGAGAAAACCGGTCAAAGGTAAGACGTTAGTCCTTTTGTTAGCTATGATGTCAGCTGCATCCTTGCTCTTTAAGCAAGCCCACTAAGGAGGTAATATCCCAAAACCTGGCATTACTTCTCTGCACAAAACTAGAGCAAAAACTTAATTCAAACATTCTCTCTATCGAGAGAGAGATAGATCTATCTATCTATATCTCTATCTATTAGGGGTGCAACGATATTCGTATCGATATTGAACCGTTCGATACAGTGCTTTCGGTTCGGTACGCATATGTATCGAACAATACAACATTTGTAATTTATTTTATCAACTTTTCTTCTGACGATGCTGTCTGTGTTGAGCGCTCAGTGAATCTGCGTTCGACTACTCCGCCTAGGCTGCACTGTCGAGCGCAGATCCACTGAGCGCTCAACACAGACAGCATAGTCAGAAGGAAGAGCGCAGGGCAAGCTAGCAAGACAGAAGTTAAGCTCTCCTTACAACATTCAGATCTGGTGTTTGGAATTATTTTGGTTTTCATGTGACGTATGACCCTGAAGGTAAGCGAGTCATGCACTAAAGTAAAACAGTATGTTGGATGTGCCATGCAATGCTCAATTACATGGGTGGGAACTAGTGTGTTAGCGCAGTTAGCTCGTTAACGTGTTGGCCGTCTAGCCCCATGCACGGGGCGATCGGCGGTAGCTCGTTAACGGAGATTTGCCGTGTTGTGGCGTTAAGGTCATTTCAACGAGATCAACCTGAAAGCACTAGTGGGAACACAACGAATATGACTGCACATTTACGCCGACATCATCCTAGTGCAAAGACCAAAACAACAAGCATGCTACTAACTTTAGCCGAGTCATTTAGACAGCTGTTAGCACATGATTCTCCTTATGCTGCTGAGAATATAGCCCAGAAGAAGCGGATAGTATAGCTTTTATTTTGGAAAGAGACATTTCTCTGTAATAAACTCTCTTTTCCAAAGATGAGTGATTCCTCAATCAGATACAGGGCTTGCAATATCGCTAGCCCGACGTCCTGGGGCTAGCGATTTTTTCAGTCGGGCTACCAAAATCTATCTCTGCCCTGCCCGTCGGGCTATTGTAGGAAGAAAAAATATATGTCAATGCTTTTGCATTCTTTCAGAAATGTAGCTGGGTAATTATGTCATTGGCATCGGTGAGCCACTGTCAATATGTGACATATTGAAGTCGCGTTTGAATTTGCGCTTGTTTTTTTGCTTTCACTTTGCAATCGTGCGAACTGTGTATAGAGAGCGACAGCACTGATCTGTGAGTGATGATAATTTGTGCACCAATTCCTCTGACATCGTCTTATTAATCGTTAGCTTACTATGCAAACATGACAAGTGAAATCTCCCGCAGCTTAAACATGTGAGAGGTTGATCGCGCAGAGAATCGCTGAGCTTATGTGAGTGCATGTATAAAAGCAGCACGATATATATTTTAGTTCTGCTGAGCCAAATAAGACAGGTCAGGGTGAAGAAGTGACAGCCAAAGAAAAGCTTACCAAAAAACGGAGAAGTTATGACAAATCAGACTATAAGGCAAAAAGAAAGTGCAGCTTTATGGTTTCATGGACAAAAGAATTTCTGTGGCTGCAATATGACGAGCTATATAACCAGGGCTGCACATAAGTGGTCCGCAGGTGCGCATTCGCTGTCAAAATAAAAAACACGCACAAGGGTTAGGGTTAAATTTAAAAACTGTACTTTTGAGTTAAAATATATATTTATAATTTTAATAAATGACAAATTAAAAAGGCATGAACATTTTTTTTGTATCGAAAAAAATATCGAACCGTGACACCAAAGTATCGAACCGAACCGTGAATTTTGTGTATCGTTGCACCCCTACTATCTATCTCATAGATAGATAGATAGATAGATAGATAGATAGATAGATAGATAGATAGATAGATAGATAGATAGATAGATAGATAGATAGATAGATAGATAGATAGATAGATAGATAGATATCTATATATATACATACATACACTGAACAAAAATATAAACGCAACACTTTTGTTTTTGCTCCCATTCCCCATGGGATGGACGTAGAGACCTAAAATTCAATCCAGATACACAATATAACCATCCCTCCCAAACAGTGGTCACAAATCAGTCCAAATGTGTGGTAGTGGGCACATCTGCTATATTGAGATAATCCATCCCACCTCACAGGTGTGCCACATCAGGATGCTGATCTGACATCATGAGTAGTGCACAGGTGTACCTCAGACTGCCCACAACAAAAGGCCACCCAGGAATGTGCAGTTTTGTCTCACAGCAAAATGCCACAGATGCCACAAGCAATGAGGGAGCGTGCAATTGGCATGCTGACAGCAGGAATGTCAACCAGATCTGTCGCCCGTGCATTGAATGTTCATTTCTCAACCATAAGCCGTCTCCACAGGCGTTTCAGAGAATATGGCAGCACATCCAACCGGCCTCACAACCGCAGACCTCGTGTAACCACACCAGCCCAGGACCTCCACATCCAGCAGGTTCACCTCCAAGATCGTCTGAGACCAGCCACCCAGACAGCTGCTGGAACAATTGGTTTGCACAACCAAACAATTTCTGCACAAACTGTCAGAAACCGTCTCAGGGACGCTCAACTGCATGCCCGTCGTCCTCATCGGGGTCTTGACCTGACTCCAGCTCGTCGCCGTAACAGACTTGTGTGGGCAAATGCTCACATTCGATGGCGTCTGGCACGTTGGAGAGGTGTGCGCTTCACGGATGAATCATGGTTCACATTGTTCAGGGCAGATGGCAGCTGAGAATGTCCCAGTTCTTGCATGGCCAGCATACTCACCGGACATGTCACCCATTGAGCATGTTCGGGATGTGCTTGACCGGCGTATACGACAGCGTGTACCAGTTCCCACGAATATCCAACAACCTCGCACAGCCATTGAAGTGGAGTGGACCAACATTCCACAGGCCACAATTGACAATCTGATAGACTCCATGCGACGATGTGTTGCACTGCATGAGGCAAATGGTGGTCACACCAGATACTGACCGGTTCTGGGTCCCCAGACCCCCAATAGCGCAAAAAACTGCACATTCCAGGGTGGCCTTTTGTTGTGGGCAGTCTGAGGTACACCTGTGCACTACTCATGATGTCAGATCAGCATCCTGATGTGGCACACCTGTGAGGTGGGATGGATTATCTCAATATAGCAGATGTGCCCACTACCACACATTTGGACTGATTTGTGACCACTGTTTGGGAGGGATGGTTATATTGTGTATCTGGAATGAATTTTAGGTCTCTACGTCCATCCCATGGGGAATGGGAGCAAAAACAAAAGTGTTGCGTTTATATTTTTGTTCAGTATATATATATATATATATATATATATATATATATATATATATATATATATATATATATATATATATATATATATATATATATATATATAATATATATATATATATATATATATATATAGAGAGAGAGAGAGAGAGAGAGAGAGAGAGAAAGAAAACGTGTCAGTTTTTCCCCACAATAACACAGTTATTGTCCTACATTAAGTCTCTAATTTAACAAAGACACTTTACACTTTAAATCTTGAGGGACTTCGATTGCCAATCCTAAACTATTATCCTGGATCACGATGTGTGACTGGCAGATAATTTGGAATTCCAGCAACCAAAGACATCTATCCAACCAATTTCTTAAACCTTTATCCAGTTCAAGACTGCAGGCACGACACGGGGCTAAACGGGAGCACAGGTCCCCAGCCCATTAAAGGGCTAACACAGAGACAGACAATAACTCACATCTACACCTGCAGCCAATTTAAAATCACCAATTAAGCTAACGTGCATCATCTGTGGATTGTAGAACGCAATCAGAGCTACACCACCGAAAGCTGCGTGCCGTCTGCAAATAAAGACAACACCACCTAGTTCACAAATATTCACCAATCTCTCCCAAACTGACAGCGGCAGATCGATAACATGAGCAGATGTGCCTCTGCTTTCTCACACTCTGCTTCCACTGGAGCGCGACAAATCAGGAGGCAGGCGTCAGATATCGTTTCATCTAGCACGGGCGGGATTTTTTTAGTCCCGTCTCCCGCACCGTCTTCATTGAAAACAGCTACATGGTCACTGTCGCCGAGTGTAACCCTGGCATTTCAATATTGTTCACAGCAAATCTTATTCAGAGGCGTGTGTCACGAGCTATAGTTTATTTTCTAAAGGTTAAAGTGACATTTAGATGTGTAATGTTTAACCCTAAATTGCTCCTTCACACACTTTATTCATCGATTAGAAGCACTTTGCTATGCCTCTCACACAGCTCAATAAAATTCTAGTTATTTCAAACAATTAATGGTGTAATATTGCACTGCACTTAGATTAAATACAAACTATACAACTGGACAGAACTATCAGGCTGTGTAAGGTCACTTTGATGGGATTGACCAGAGGAAGCTTGTTTTCCATTCCAGGTTCAAAACACACATGAAGTTCTGAAAGTCTGAAAAATATATAAAACCTCGGGTCAAAGTATCGGCAGTTATCTACACTGAGTTAACAATTGACTGAGCTGGGAACACTCGACCGCACACACAAACATATAACTAAGGAGCAATGATCTCAAGGTGTATGCAAACAGGAGTGATAAGCCAGCAAAAAAAAGTATCTCCCCCCCCCACCACAGAGACACGTACACGCCTCTGTGTGGGCATTCCTGTGACAAATGCTTACAAATAAACAAAGAACCTCAATTTCCTTGTTCCAATTAGAGTTCAGATAAAAGCTAAATTTCCTCATTAATGCCGGGATTTTCAAGGCACAGGTTGGAATGGTGAAGCAGAAGCCAAAATGTACAATGTTTATTTGAGAGCAATCGTTCCCTAATAGTTGTCATCAAAGCCCCATTATATTTTTGCAAAAGCAATCCCTTTTTAAAAAATTAAAAGAAATACCCATTATAACTCTGCTCATTTTTCTGAAACATCTTTGTGGGGATGCATAAGCATTTCTCTATAGGGGAAAAAAATCCTATATCAACTCTTCATTCTTATAAGACACAAACAAAGACACACGCACACACAAATCCCTCAGCTCAACTGCAGTAATCAGGACAATGCCGTGACCTAACCTGACCTTTGACCCACAAACTGGATAAATGTGGGCAAAGAACAGCATGCAATCCTCCGAGCAGACTAGATGCTGCATACACTGAGTTCATGGGCCCTTGTTATATTCTTCTGTCTGGTGTAAACAGAGAGGAAGCCTGGAATAAGTATACACTGGACTTACAATATACCACATACTGTTCCACTTGGCGTCATTATAGAATATGTTGTTTTGGGCTGGGCTGCTGTGGGCGGGGCTTGACAGCGAAAGGAGCGGGGCCTGTTTGAAATCCCTCTTGATCCTCCTTTTCACCACCTGCTGCTGTATCCACTCCACCTGAAACACACAAACAGAGACAGGCGATAGAAGAAACTGAGGAGGCTTACAATAATAACAGGGGAGCAGAATCACTTCGGAGATGACACAACCAGTATACAGGTGAAGTTCCAATGAACTGAATACTGAAGGTGAGGCAACATTTTAGGAGGATTTAAAAAAGAAAAAGTGCAAAGACATTGTCTATGTTTGCTCTTATTTGCCTTATGTGATGAACACGCAGAGGGAAAACAAAGAAACCACCTACAGAGACTAAACTACATTATACTGTTGTACGCAACCGAGCAAGACAGAAACAAATCTACTGAGTCTTAAGGGGGTGTTTTTCTTTTGGTGCTCAGCCTTAAAGTCGTTTTTATCCCAATGGACTGCCTATAAATAAGCGTAATAAGGTTTTATGTGCTGTCTCCTCTTTTAAACGTGGTAAAAGGTGAACAAATGAAGACTGCTGAAGTAAAACAAGCCACTACAAGCCCAAAAAAAAAAAAAAAAAAAAAAAGCAAACTATAGATGTGGAAGACTCGCAAAGTCATGATTTATTTTTAAAGAGATATTTTAACCATGTCAGTGTTACTGTGGGCTCATCAGTTCGCTTCTCCTTTACGGAAAATTTAAAAAAAAATAAAAATGTTAAGACATTTGATGCACACATACGCACTAAAGGCTGTAAGGCCTCACAGGTAACATCAATCTCTCAAATGTTATGGGCTCGCTTCGAGGCGCAGAGGCATTCCTTGGCAGGAGCCTCGTTCAGACTTTGAGGCGGAATTTTCCAATGTCAAAATCCGTGCTGCCTGGATCCGAACGAGACGGCTGGACCCACTCGCGCCGCCCCAGTCAGCTCCTCTTAAAAACCTGCAAACCTTGTGTTTAGTCTAGAAGACTTCATCTGTCTGAGAAGGCCCGATCAGAAGTTTACGCGGACCCAGCGATGTTAACACAGAATCTGAAATATTAGCAGGTATGCGACTGGCACAACACAGAGCAGTTCTTTCTGAGACGTAAACATTTGTGTGATAAATGATCCAGGGATTCTCCGGGACCGAGTTTGCACCCAAACATGATTGTGCAACAGTTTATGGGGACGGGGGAACGGTGCACATTGGCACGAAATGTCAAGGTAGTTCTTCTTTATACAGAGTTTACAAAAGTGTGTAATTCTTCTGAGATGTCCGCCACACCAGCTTCTGTTTCTAGCTGTATAGACAGAATAATTTTCACACCGCAAGTGTTTTTGTTTTGCCGCTCAGCCCCGATAGTCCCAGAAATCTGAGGTTTTATTGAGCTATGTCCGACTGTAAAAGACAAAGCATTTCTCCACATCAATAGAGCTCCAGCAGACAGGAGGAAGAGGAGGAGTAGAGAGAGAGAGAAGAAGAGAATAGCTGACATAATGACTGCAGAGTGATTATCTGGTCTCATGCACTGAAACAATCTGCCAGGCTCTCTCCGGAGAGTTTGAGAGCGAGGCAACAAGACAAGATAAGACGAGAGGAGAGGCGATAAAGAGCTGAAGAGAACGAGTCCCGGGAGAGTCAATAATATAAAAAAAGAAAGAGAGAGCTGGAAGGGAAGGGAAAACAAATAGCAAGAGAGACCAAACGACAGCAAGTGAAGGGAGGATAATTGAGTTTATAAATAACTGATTTAATAACTTGAGTATGTACCTCTTTAGAAATTGTGAGGGAGGGAAAGGAATAAAGTGCAAATGATGTAATTCAATAAATGACCTCCTATAAGGAAGAAAAAAAGATGGGAAAGGAAAAGGAAATGGCAAACCAGCGCAGAGAGAAAGATAAAGTGTAGAAACGAAACAATTTTTTAAAAAACCCAGTGAGAAATTTTACTTTAGCATGATGCTTCTCCCGTCTGCCAAGGTCTCAGCTCATTTCACTCCAACTTCTATCAGGACCATCAGTTTCAAAGCAACCGTTTACACAGACCATTAGCCTCAAAACAACACTGTCATCAAGAATTGTGCGTGAGTGTGTCTGCGCAAAACCACTGGTGTATCATTACAATTTGCATACATTAGCATACCATCAACCACAATCTTTGATCAGCAGTGTAACTCTTAACTGCTCTTGTTCGTAACTTGGCAAATTGCATGGATATCTGCCCCGTGTATACCCGTAAATCCTCCTTCACCGCCATCAGGGGCGACGCAAACGCTTCAAGAAACGACAAAAAACCCCAAAAACAATAAATTCATTTTTTGCTGAAGTTTGTCTCAGATGTCGCGGGGCAAGAAACACACGTTCAGAGGAATCTAAAAGAGTTTAAAGTGGCTTTAATGAACAAGGTCAACAACCACAGAGCTGGAATTTTAAAATGCTTCTGCATGCCAGCAAGTGTACACCCTACTGAAGCGCCTTTGAGCAAGACACTGAACCTGCCACCTCCTGGGATTTAGTATTGTTTGCTACCTAAAAGCTTAGTGTTGTGAATGAGAAAGGCTCAGCTGAAGCACAAACCATACTACATCTTTGGAGATTACTCTAGATGAGGCATCTTTGTAGACTGGTGTTTGCCAATTTCACATATTCTATTGACAAAGGGGCTCTTTTTTTTCCTCTTTATGAAGGCTACGATGATTCAAAAATATTTCTGAAAGCAAAAAATTATTTAAGCCAACTTTGACCAACAACGTCAAGGCAGCTGCAACCTTGTAGATCCCTTGATCATGACTAGATTGTGAAAAGAGGTAAACTCTGTTATCCCAGTGCATCCCCAGTTTTAAAAGGTTACCTGAGGTGAGCTTTAAATATTACAGCTTCCATCAAACAGCACAAACACCATGAGCACATCCTTACACCATCTTCCAATTACACTGTGCTGCTCACGCCGACACAAAAACTTGCCCTTAATTTAAAAACTGGTTACGAAAAAAGCTGCTCAGATGAAGCGTGTATTTCACCACAGCTTTGCTAACATAGTAGCGTCCCTGCAGCATTACGCAGGGTCTGTAACATAAATCATATGCCTTACTTTCAGTATCTGTGTGTCATATCTATGCCTGCATTATTAACACAATAAGAGCTCAGTGGGTGGCAGCGTGCTGGCTGTGGGGGTGCTATATGTCAACATGAGATCGCAGACATTTGTATACAAATTCTTTACATCCCAAGGAAGAAGGCTCAGCTTAAAGGTCTAGAGGTGGAAATGCCAACACTGGCATCATAATTTCAAGACTGATGGCACCCATCCATCCATAGTCATTTATATCATTTACTTCTATTCTTAAGGAGCAACAAAAAAAGCCTGGTCTTCAAGAAAAACATGAATCCATGAAAAATTAATCATTTGTTTGTGTACACGGATAAGAACTGACATTTTTTTGGAACAGTAAGTGCAAATTTGTGAGTAATGCATTTCAACAGGGAGTGTATTTTGTGTCTCCGGCATGAATCTAGCCCAGACAAAACGGAGATGCGTCACCATTGCAATTTAAAAGAATAATAATAATACTAATAAAAAGTGATGGTACTTTAATTCCTAACCAAAATCAAATTGTTCTTAAACAGCTAAACTTAACCAAGTAAATAATATGAAAGTATAGTCTATAAGTAAGCATAGACCCTACAATGTTTAAAAATCTGTGAGGTGTTACAGCTTTAACTTGGGTCTTGTGAACGGTAAAATGACCAAGTGCACCATGAACGCCTCCAGCCGCCTATTAAAAATGGAAAATATTCATTTCATGTACATGGACACAAAGATTTATGATCATTCAGATGAAAAATGGGGCTCAGAGACAAAAGATTTGGGTTTTCATGTTTTCATGTCCAGAAACAAGACTTGACAGAGTAGGTCGAGACCATTTCACAAACTGCGCTGTATATTGTGCGTGTTTAACTCTTCCACAACCTATTTCATGAAAATTTTTTAAACTTTCCACTGCTGTTGCTACAGTTGATGTTGGATTTCTTTACTGGGATTTTATTTTATTTTTTTTTTTTTATTAAAAATACATGTTTATCCTCTCCCTTCCTGGATTACCAGAGGCAGATAACGGCCTATGTAACACTTTTTCTGAAGTCGTTGAGAATAATGCCATCCTTTATTGTGTCTGCTAAAAATCACTCACTGATAACAGCCTGCAGTTATCCGCATCAATTGTGCCATGAATGCGAGGCTCTATCCAAACAAAGCCAATATCGCCCGTATTATTGCCTCTAAAACTTCCCCATGTATCACTACCATTGTGTCAGTGCCAACTCACTGGCTGGCTCTGGGGCATAACGACCTCCTCCATTCATTTAACTGCAGTGTGGTGTAGCAGAGGAATGATCTGGTAGAACCTGTACCTCTGTCACCCTGCCTTTACTCCCAGTCTGACTCCCGCTCCTATCTCACTTCCTTTTTTTCCCCCTTTTTAAATCCCTTTCCTCGTCAGCCCCCCCCCTCTCCTTCGCTGCATTTTTCAGTCTTCTTCTCTGCAGGTGCCCATTTCTCTCTCAGATGGCCTGTCTCTGTCTCTCTCTCTCATTCCCACTCCAACCCCCTTCCAACCTCCCTCCCTCCCTCGCTCTCACTCTCATTCACTCTGTATAAGGGTTTGCAGGTGGCTCTAGCTGGCTGGGTCAGTAACCAGGGGAAACTGGGGAAGAGTTCACTTCAATAGAACAAATGGGAACAAATTGATCCACTTTTACTGCTGTTTGTGTGACGATGTTAGAGCTCCAGGCAAAAAAAAGCTAATGGATAGTGAGCAGAACACCCAGTGAAACCCTTGCAGTAACATGAGAAACCAGTTCTTGTCCTCTCTCTGGGGTATTTCAAAGACTCGGCCCTAACTCGGCCATCACAAACAGCGTGGGCCGTCACGGCCAGCTGTGGGGGCTCGTCTCAAAGCTTAGACTATTTTAATGGTTCATTTGTTAAACAAATTCAAACTAAAAATTCAGGATTCTCGGCCTAATGGAAATTTGTACTTGGGACTAAGATGAGTCTGATAAAATCTAAGGGTATGCACATTATCCCTGAGGTCCAGACACTAA